GACATATATACTTTGCACATTGGGCAAACCCAATCTTTATCTGACATATCATAGTCATCACATTCACATCTTAAGCAATTATCACACAAATACTTTAAGCATTAGACTTTATCATCTAACAATCAATATATTTAAATACTCTCAATTATATAATTTGCAGAATATAAGTCTTGATAAAACTTTTACATATTCTGATTTGATATGCAATATCTTTATTGGTTCAGTAAATCGTCATTGTATTAATGTAAATTCATATCAACATGATTATAAGTGCATTGTTTTTAGTTACTTTTTTCAATCATTTGTCTACAATAGTGGCACATCTAAAGATCTTAATTTTATTCATTCTATTGTAATTCCTGACCCTATTCTGTTAAATTTATGCGAACTTCTCTCAATCTTTAAAGAGATTCAAATTATTATAAACTTAACTCTATAGGATTCGGACTTAGATACCTATCTAAACTAACAGTAATCATATTATCTATTAAGAGTAAAATCAGGTAATACCTTTTTAATTATAGCTAACCTTCCCTATACTTTCGGCAACTTAGTAGTCTTCATACATTTAAATCAAATTATAAAGTTAATCTAATTCTTCTTGATGATGTTAAACATGATTTCTATAAATTTTCAGGGTAAAGTCTCCTGTTTTCTAAATACTGTATTGATATCTTAATGATTTATTTATTTCCGAGACGTGTGTTTACAATCTACAAGAATAAAAAGATAAATACCTTTCAATATTTGAAGTATTTTTTAATTGTACTTATGTCAAATCATTTTCTAATTCCATAATCACTTAACTTATTTAATCTGGCCAATCTATTTAGAAATGCAAACTTTATAATTTTTATTCTTCTTAATTATAAATGTCAATTTGTCTTTCTTCTGGCATCTGATGGATTTTTTGAATCAATTTTTAGCATCTCTCTAATTCATCAACAAGTTTATCTTCACAAACTACATCAACCATCTCTTCAATCAATTATTTGATTGGCTCGGATGATTTTTCTCTTTACATTAATATTAAATGCAAACGATGCATTAGATTGGATTCATTTAACTATTAAATCTTGCTTTTTTTCTTCTTTGATAATCTTAAGACTTTTTGTATCAATTCTTTTGTTTACTAGTTAGCATAATTGGGAACTAAATTTAGGAATTAACAGTTTACTTTGTTTAGATTGTTTTATCACATTACTCAAAGAAACAGGTGCTTCTATCATGAAATATTCCTCATGAATTTATCGCCAAAAAGTAGAAGTGAATTAGGAATCAACATTTTTATCCATTTTTAATATTAATTGTCATATTAATAATCACAATCACCTAAAATCTATAATTATAATAAAACAAATCAAATGTTATTAAACATAGCATACACATTTGATTGATAATCTAGAGTTTTTGAGTTGTTTAAATTTGTAATAATACCCGAAACCCTAAAATTGCAATTAAATATTAATATTAAACTTAAAAAGACAGTACAAAATTTAAGTAAAACCTATTTAGGTTTTAACAATATTTAATAGTATTATTAAAGTACTACTTTGTTTGATTTCAAATAAAACTGCTTATTTCTAAATAACTATTTTGATGAAAATATTGAACAATTTATATTGATGTTTACAAAAGATGAATTCGCAAACAACCAAGCATTAAAATATTGAATATACCTAATTAATTGACAACTCTTTTTAAAATATTAAAGATTTTTTATAAGAAAAGCATTTAAAAATTTAATATTTCCATTCTTAGTTGAAGAATGCAAAACATAAAGAAATTGCAAAAATAAAAAAATTCAAAAGTTGAATTTAATCATAATAACTTAAATTTATTAGGTTTATTAAAAAATATTTATAGTTTAGAAATAAATTAAATTGGTAATCATTATTGTTATTATCTCCATTTAAATTCCTGATTGTTCTTTTATCCTTATTTAAGGATCTTTCCAATCATATCCTTTTTCCTATAAGAATAATCTTAAAATTATTCCTGAATTGTTAATCGCAAAACAAACCCAGAAAATACCATCCCATCCTATTTCTAAAAATAGTATTTTTGAAATCACAATAGTTTGATAAAAATTAGTTGCACTCTTGTAATTGAGGTTGTGTATCTATTCTTTAAGTGAGTATTCTAGTTTAAATCGCTCTCTTTGAGCTCTTCCATAAAATTATAATTTTTATTTGAATTTAAATATATCTTTGAGATTATATCAAGGAGTGAATTAAAATGTAAAGATAATTATCATATAATTATAAATTATTATAAATCCTAATTATTATAAATTCTATAATACTATATATATATTCATTTAACTTCTCCAAATAACTATTTCATTACATTCTGAACATTTTATGGGATGATGAATTTGTCATTTATAGTGCTGTTAACCTGAACTTTGGACAGCTCTGTTGGCAACTCATTAAAAATATAGTTCATTTGATTCTCTATTGATGTTTCTAATAAGAAAAATTCAGATTCAATGTATTTCACGTATTCTTCCAAAAAGTTGTTTCCTTAGCTGAATAATAAGACATAAATTACTTTTTAATATTAATAAATTGGATATCACTATTTGACATGATAAAATTATGAATATTCGCAAATTCTCTGGCTCCATTCTATAACTATACTTGAGAATAAAATGTTGTATCGAAATTCACAAATATGTAGCATTTGTATTCTTAATTACTTTGTGACACATCATTAGAATTTTAGTAATTTTTAAATTGATAGCCATCCAAACTGAAATGAATAAAAAACAATTGAATCTGAGGTTATTCTTATTCTTCTTTCTTCACCTAAAAAAATGGGGCTATTATGTTAGTGAATTAAAAATCTTTAAAATAATTTTAATAAAATTGTGTCTTCATTGTTGGCAGTAGTTCTTCTTACTATTTGATTTGTTAAATTTAGTGATCTTGTTAGTTTGATAAATACTCTTAGAAGAATGACAAACTAAATTTGAGATTATCTTCTAAATCATAGATGAATAGGTATTAATAAGGAAACTTTTTTCTTTCAATATCATTCTTATAATATCGCAAGGTTCTTAAAGTGAATACTCTCTCCTTCACAAGCATGTTATAATACCTAATATTCTATGTCAATTCTTACTGCAATCCTATTATTTAGTCCTTTAATTGTGAACCATCCTTATATCCTTAGAGATGTGCGATGGTAAACAATATTCCCCATCTAATGAAGTGCAAGCCATATTAAAATTTTTCAATCTCATTAATTGAAAACTAGTTTTCTCCCTATTATTGAATTACTCTTCTTTACTTTCACATTAAATAATTCAATAAGTCCAAAATCTATTTCTATTAGCTTCGGTCCATAAACTCTGTAAAATTCTTTAAATTCTCTTAAATTATAAGACCTCTTCAATAGAGTCTTAAGACTTTAAATATCAGACTTAAGACATCTGTATTTCGACTTTATCAATTAGACATTTATTTGTTTTTGAATTGGTTCAGGCACTTTATTCGACACTTAATTTGGCACTTAATTTGATTCCTTCTGCTTAACTCTTACTGTGACTAATCCGTCATCCCTAGTAAAATCGAATCCTTTCACATCATAAGAGTTCATTACAATTAATCAAAAATTTATAGTATAAAATATATTTTCTATACCAATTCTCAAATTAAATAAGACAAATCATTTCGATAAAAGTGCTTTTGAAAATTGATTATAATTTATTTAATTGCTTCTCAATCATATTTTAGGAATCTACTTTCCTTCTTAATACCTGATAATTAATTATATTTTAATTCATTATAAAGTTGAAGTAATCGATCATATCTTTAAATTATTCAACCTTTTAGGTATTTATTAAGTTTGAATACAAAAAAATGTTTATTATATCTAACTAAATAGTTATTTTAATAAAATAATTTAATTATGGGCGATATTGATATCAAAGATGATGAAAAGACTTTATCATTATAAAATTAAAATTTGACACAGATTGCAGTAAGTAAACAATCATCCAATAGATCACTCTAAATAACCAATTTAATGCATCAAATAATACAATTAAATAAATGAGTGGAATATCTATTTTTCGCAATTTAAGAGTTTTAAATTTATCCAATAATCAAATTAAAAAGATATTTGGCTTAGTAAATTTAACATAATTGTGTGCTTTGATTTTAAATAACAATTTTAAATTCAATTAATCTAAGGATTAATAAAATGCTTAGAGTTGAATACCTTAATCTTATCTAACAATCAAATAATAACTGTATAAGGCATCTCACACTTAATTAAATTAGAGAAATTATAGTTATCTCATAACTAAATAGAATTAATCAAAGAACCAAATATTATAGGATTTACATAACTGTAAATGTATGAATATTGAACAGTTAAGTGTTAACAATAACAAATTACAGGAAATCAGTGCATTTTTTTCATAATTGACAAAACTAAAGAGACTTGAGATAGGAAAAAATGAAATTAAAGATCCTTTATAAATACTTGTTCTAAGTGATCTAAAATTAATTCATTAAATGTTGCAGGTAATCCTTGTTCAGAAAAGCCTATTTCAATTGCAATTAAATTTCTAAGAATTAGATTCATCAATAATTTAGCAGCTGGGAAGTTTTGGAATAACATAAATCAAAAATTCCTTAAAAAATCATAGAAAAAACTGAAAAAGTTAAAAAAGGATTACTTAGCCAGTCGTTTCATATGATTTAGAACAGTAATAAGAATAGGAAGCTGTGATAGTGTAAAATTCAAAAAGAAGTTCTATTGTGAAAATTGAAAAGAAAAAGTAGATTGATAAGAAATAAAAATAACGAATTAAAAATATTAACTTAGGTCAGGAGCCTGAAATAGAAAAGTGGTGACTTTATATTTGTGTATTAATATTTTATATATGATTCTGTAACTTATTAACAAAGATTCAAATATGTGGCATATTGACATAATTTGGATAGGATGCATTAATAGTTAACTTATAGGTTCTTGGGTATTGAAATGCGATTTCAGGAATTTTTTAACGATTTCTTATTGTTTAAAATAGTTTTAATTATTATAATAATTCATTACTAAAAATAAGAAGTTTTCACTACTTTCTGACTAAAATTCAAGTTAAATTCAAAAATACTGAAATTTAATGTAATGACTATCATTAAATTAATAATGGCAAATGAGACTTTTCGAATTACTCCTACTGGTACTTGCAGGATTCCATTTAGTTTTATGGGGAGCTAGCAATAAGAAATAAATTTAGAGTATATTATTGTAGTAATATATTAGAGTTATAAAAGAGAAACCAACAAGGGAACAAACTCAAAGAGATTTTGTAGGTTAGACCTTGTCTCCCAATGCCTCTACAATAAAGAGAAGTTATAATAATGAAACAGATATCGAATTATAAAATAACCCATTTTATATGACTCCTGTGGATTATGACTGTTCTAATTGGATCTATAAGACTCCACAATAATCGAATAAATAGGTTCCCAAGTGTAATCCACGAATTCAATAAAAAAATAGAACAAACTTACAAAGATAATAGGATTCATTGCATGAACAAAGTACATCAGTCAAAAAAATAACTACTTAAGAGTTTTCAGAAGTACAGGTAAAAGTGTTTGAGGAGAAGCAATGCAAATTTTGCAATGAATAAGATTGGTCTGTGCATTTGATCAGACCATGTTTATGTAAGGGAGGGTAGTAGTATGCTCATCAAAAATGTGTGTAGAATGAAATTGAAGCTAATTATATGGATTTCAACAGGAGATAATTTATCAAAAGATTGCAGTGTGATTTCTGTAGATTCTAATATGTAATTAAAACATACAAAGAATACAGTGTAATGAAATCCTTAAAAGACCCATTGAAATTCAATAAACTATTTTGGTTAATGTCATCAGGTGTTATTTTGGCTAGTTTAATTGTGGCGACAATAATACTAATTTCATTAAATGTTGGATCAATGAGACAATAGATTGAATCACTCATTCTCACAATAGTGGGATGTTTGACTTGTGTATTATTGGTCATAATTTTGATATTCAACATTTTCGAACTGATTGTCATAGTAATAATTTGAATCTAATTTAGTTCGAATGGAAAGTAATGGATAAGGATCATCAAAATATCGAAGATCATGGATTAAGAATGAGCTAAGATGAACTTAATTTAATGTTGGAATTGGCAAGATAAAAGTTGGATAAACAAATATCTTAAGTCTATCCACAATAACAAAGCTAAATTCCTTATTGAGTAATCTATTTATTCACAATTTTGACCTTAACTATATATTATATTAAATATCAGTAATTGCACACACATACATATATTGCTCAAGCCTGAAAGTAAGGATGTTACAAAGCCTCCTTTGCCGTTATTCTTCTCCTAGGATTGATCTGAAGCATTTTCAAAAGGAGATCAATCGCAAGTTCATTATTAGGAATATGGGAGAACTTGTTCAACCAAAACTTCATATCCTTCTACTCGTATCCCTTGAATCTCTTTTGTATCTCTTAATTATAAGACTAATGTTGGAATAGATATATCATCTCAATATCTTTTAGACTTCCCAAGGTTTAAAAGATACAATAGAGCTAATCTCCTTCATTCTTTCCTTCGAACAACACTTTTAAGTCCATCATCTCTGAAAAAATGCACCCAGCAGCTAAAATTAACAACATTACATTACCCCAGATGTCAATTTCAGCTCCATAATTGGTGTGGGATAGGATAAGTTCGGGAGCCCTGTAGTATTGGGATACCACATAGGAAGTATTCATTCCACGTTGATCAATGACCTTTGCACTCCCAAAATCACATAGGACCAAATTGCCATCCTTGTCAACTAGAATATTTTCACTTAAATAAATTATTAAAATTACGGTTTAAGATCTCTATGAACTACATCTTTAGCTGATAAACTACACAATCCTATTATGATTTATCTCATTAGACTTTTGATTTGATTTGGTTGTAAGAACTATCTGTTCCTTATTGCCTAAGCCAAAATATTTTCCAAGGAGAAATCCTTATATTCAAAGATGATATTTTGAACATTTATTCCTTCGTCGGTTTAAGACAAATATATGTCCTGTATATAATAGAGATCATACTTCTATTTGAATGATGTTTGGAGACCCTTTGAGTAAGAGTAGTATTTCATATTCTCGACTTAATTGTTTAGAAATTTTTTAGATTCTCTTGATAGCAACTTTTTTGTCATTGGTTCTATCATATGCTTCAAACACATATCCGAAAGTTCCATGTCCTATTATCCTTTAGAACTGATAGTTGGGCAAGAAAGAATATTAAATGTTCATTAATTATTATACTTCAAATTTATAAGACTGACTTCATTTTAAATATTTATGCAACTCACACTCCAGTTTAATTTTTTAGCTAAATCATTTTGAATTCTCATAAATATCTTTCTTTCGGTCAAATTATCATTGTCCAAACCCTCTAAAATTGGTTTCATTTCAATTTGCTATTGGCCTACCTATTTTTGCAGTTCTTCAACACTTTTCATAAATATAGTTAGAAGTGCTTATTTTCTTTTAATTCTTATGCTTTATAACTAAAAATAAGTAATTAAGTAATTATACTTATCCTAAATTAGATGATGCATTCAGAAGTCCTCTTTGATAAGTGCCAATTTCTAAATTCGTTAACCAAACTCATATAAAATTTATTTTCTTATTTTTGAATATCTCTAATCTATCCCTAAAACAAGTTAACTCAAATAGTAAAATAATAGTTCTTTTTAGTGTTTAGTAACTTCTTCTTCTTGGCCAATTTTAAAATTTTTTCATATTGGTTCTAACTAATCGATTTCAGTTTAAGTTCTTCTTAATAATGAATGATATCTTTATATTTAAGTAAATGAATAGAATTTAAATGATATGATTGCTTTTGCTTTTGAGAAATATTATTATTAAGATATAATATTATAAGTTGAATTTTCCTGTAAAAATCAATTTTACTTAATATGGCAATCTCAATTATGGTTTTATAATGGGAATATGAACTAAAATAAGTGTTAGAGTGATTAAAGTAAATTTCATTGATTATTAGAGAATTTAATTTGATCTTCTTTGTCAAAGTATTTTCAATAGTTTCAAATATTGAGGCCTAGAACAAATAATCTGAAATCAAATCTAGTCAATTTGAGTATATTCATTTTGATGCTAAATATTTTTGGTGATTTTAATTCTAGGAATCGGAACTCTAAATCAAGTAATATAAAATTTTATTATTGCATAAAAAAATTAATATGGGAAATATTTTAAGAAATTAAAAAGAAATATCAAGAAATTTGGATAAAAGTAATTCATTTTATTTTATGTATTTAAGTTGCTTAAGGTTAAGTTTAGGATACACCTAATATTTTGATTAAGGAATCCAAATAAGGGAATGTTGATGTCATAAAACTCAATTTGCAGATAATTAATGCGGAAATAGTCTATGATTCTGTTGATAAAATTCAGTTGGATCTAACTTTCAGCAGCCATATAAATTTCTAAATGATAGTTCATACATTTGTTACTGAAACCAAAGGAGGGAAACAGCAAAGGTTTAAATTTAAAATTCAAAGTTTGTAGATATGAAAAAAGCATGCCATCAAGTACATCGCAATAATTTAAATGTCCATCAGGATTGAACTACTAATTTCCTACTAAATACATAGAGTTCATGATTATTGATCTTCTAAGATTTTAGAAAATGAGAATAATTCCAGACGCATAATATCACACTCTAATAATCGAAATGGTAAGTTTATATATCTATGAACATAAAGAGAGCTCTAAATTCAAAAAGCTTCCAGATAATTTACTTTTATCGTATAGATTGCAACGAATAAACCTATTAATGTGAATTGACTAATACAAAATAAATTCTGATACAAAAGGGCCGCTTTTTTGAAATAAATGAACTCTATGGTGTATAAAATACTCTATTCAATCCTGAATGGAACCCTAACACAATAGAAGACAAAGAATGTGTAATTTGTTTTTATAATATGATTAATACTGTACTCTTGCCTTGCAAACATATGTGCACTTGCTCTGTCTGCGCTGATCATATCATTATGAGTTAGAAAATTAAGCAATGTCCTCTTTGCAGAATCGACATCAATAATTACTTGGCTTTAGAAATTAAGGATAAGTAGAGACAGGACGTATAGTTACAAAAATACAAAGAGGAATAGCAAAAGTACTTAGAATCCATTAAAGATAAGAAGGAATAATAAGCAATAAAGCAAGGTTCAATTATGGAATAATTAAAATCTAAGCTAAAAGAAGAATAGATGAAATAACAACAATTAAAGATTAAGAATATGAAATATTTCAATGATCTTGATGATTTTAATTAGGATAATGAATAAAATGAAAACATCTATGGCAATTAGAGTTTTTGTTCATATGATGAAAACTAAAATGACCCAGATCACAATTAATTCAACAATTCAGTTAAAGATAACAGACAACTGAAATTCGAAGATGACAATAACTTAAGAATATCTAATCAATTCGATGACGACAAGCAAAAGAGTACTGCTAATCAAAGAAGTCCTTGTGATAGAGATTTCTTAAGTAGCTATTAATAATAATAGGAAATGAAAGATTCCAGATAAAACCCTCTCATAAACTAAAGTATCTCAGTTGAAAATGACATATCCTAAGATTAAGTTCACTCCCCCCAATAGCATTAAGTTTCATTGGAAGTCACAAACAAAGATGATGAATAAAATCTAAATCTATCTTCTTAATAACAACTCGCATAATAAAATGGGATTAAATTACAAGTAATTTAGGAAACAGCAAAAGAGTGTTAAGACATTATTATAGAATTTCAATAACATTAGGAGTGTTAACAATAAACTAATACTTAATTGATTGATTTTTTTGATGAAATTTCAGAATAAAATGAGGAATCTAAGCAATAAAATAGAATTAAATCTCTTTCTTAATTTGAATTGCACTAATAACCTTAATAGTTTCAATAATAATAATAACAATAAAAACCAACAAACTTGAAAACACCTCAATAATATAATTATGGCTTAATATAAAATGATTTATAAGATGATATGAATTAATTCGGAGATAAGAATTTCCCTTAGTTTAACGATTTTAAATTAAAAACAAACTAATCTCAGATATCCAATGAGCAAAATCAAGATTTTTATAAATCAGTCAGATCAGCAGAGTATATGTAAGATAATGAGTAAAGACTCGATCAAGAACATGGTATTCAGAAGCAAGCTTCGTTAATTGATTTGGAAGATAAACAAGAAGAATAGAAAGATCCTTCTGATTCGAAAGAATGTAGGAGTGAATAAATTTCATTGATAGCTTTTGATTGATGATGATAATTTTATGATTTTAATGACAAACTCATATTTCAACAGGTTCTTATTGTTATGGTTCTTCGTCATCATCATAAATTTCAAGGAAACCTTCTTATCTTTAAGGAATAACTTTCTTTCCTTATTATGGGAAGCAGAAGCATTAGGTTGTTGGTAAAACAAATTATTTGTCTTACATTAATTACTTTCTTTTCTCTAATTCTTCAACAACGTTGTCAATATTGGTCAATGAAACATTTTCATATTAATCTCCAGCTAAACAGATTGGACTATTAAAATAAAAGAATCAATTACTCTTTCATTGGTGTGCAATCTTCAACTGGTTTAGGTGTTGGTTAATAAGTAATGTCACATGCGAAAAGATTCAATCCTTAAATGAACCCTTAGAAAGCATCTGTCAATTGATCTTTTCCATAGTAAAGAATAAGTGATGGAGCAACATAATGATTGACATTCTTGAATGACAAAGCTCCCTTTCCTTATGAGTGTTCAACAATGACATCAGCTTATCTACTCTTTCTTGAATAAGCAAAGTAAATATGGAACCAATCTTTGACAAAGGTCTTTCCTTCAACAATCTATCTAACTTCTGGGTTTCCAGATCTAATATTTCATATATATATATTAATTACCCTAATTAATCAGTGTAGGTATATGTGTAGAAGTTAAGAGTTTAATCTCTGGTATCGAAGTAACAACTGAGGGTATCAAAGTTAAGTGCATCTTCCCCAGCTAAAGTTGATGTCAATCTGAATAACAATTAATCTTTTCCAGATGTCTTACCATTCCATTTGAACCATCCTTGAACAGAGTATTATTCAGTTGTTCCAAATCTGTCACCAGAATTAACTGGATTGCCATTGAATTATGAAGCCTTGGCTGAAACTGCTCTGATCAAACCCTTGCTTGAACAATCCTTTTATGGTTATGGATTGCAACTTAAACAGAATGGATTGTATTCTTCTAATGTATCAAAGAATGATCCTGATCCTAATCTTAAGACTGGTCTATGGAATTAACCATTGAATGAATAGTATCTATTTTATGGATCCTTTCCACCAACTTAGAATAACAATTATTCCATTCTTGGATGTGTAACTTTGGCTTCTAAGGTGATTGGAGCTTAATTTTCAATTTAATAGAATGCAATAGCCTTATATCTAGTGTAACTGAAATAGGTGTAAATCCAAACTCCTTCAATATCTCCAAATGGTTAAGCTAATTCAACTAATTTCTTAGCCTTATTATTAGCTGTGATGTAGAAGAAACCAACTTTTCCTTAGAAAATAGTTAATAAACCATCTCTAATATCTTTTGGTGTTTCTTTCTTGTTTGTAAGTCTGGCAATCAATGACCAATCTGGTCTTGCACCTTCATATTATCCACCTGCCAAACCAGTGTATCTGAACCAGAATCCATAACCATATTGAGTAGTGTCTTTCAAATCATCTTTGTGTAATTCGACATGAACAACTGGACCTTTATCATATTTAGCATTGATGATTCTGTTTGGTCCTTCAACACATCTCTTTCTTAGTGGGGTGGTGGTGTTGGTACTGGTCTCAAAGCTGGCTTAACATTTGTTAAGTATGATCCTTTACAGAAGAATACTTCAAGGTAGGCCATGAATCCACTGTATACTGGGAATTGTCTTTCTCTTCCAAAGTAGAAATAATGCTTTGGTGACACAAAGTGATTGACATTGACGAAACTCAAAGATTTGGCATGAACATGTTTGAATAAGACTTAAGCATATGCCTTTCTTTAATCTCTGCTGTATCCAAAGTAAACAAAATGCCAGTGTAAATGTTGATCTTAATGTTGGACATATTGATGAGCATTGGGATTACCAGATCCTTTCATATTAGCATATGAATATGTTGAGAAATGGATTTATCCTCCCTTTGGTTTACCTAACCAAGCAGACAAGACTCTTTCACCTAATAAGATTTATTGTTTTCTTATAGGTGTATTTGATAATCTGAACATGGTGTGCCAGTTCTCTTACAAATCAGTTTCTTCCCATTTGAACCAACCTTAAACTGCATATTCATCTGGTAACAATAAATCAATAAATTCTTAGGTAGGTGGTGCATTGTTATCTTCAATATCAACATATTTGGAATCTCTTACAAATTAATATGGAATCAATTTTTATGGTGCAACATATGGTTGAGGATTGCATGATATAGCATATTACAAGAATTCTTATTCATTAATCAAATATGTTCCAAATCCAATTGCTAAGACTGGTCTGCTGACTTGACCATTGAATCCTGGGAAATTGAAATATTGACCTCCCAAAACAAATCTCAAATATTAAGGAGTTCCTTATGATGCTGGTAATGTCACTTATTTAACTAATTGACTGTTTGATTGTTTATAGAAACCGATAGCTTATTATTCAAAGGCTGAGTAACTGTAATAAACATATGTCCAAACGGCTTCAATATCTCCAAAAACTATGGCAGCAGTGGCTTCTTTTCTTTCTGGTTTGTCATGCTAAGCACTGAAGATGTATTATTCTTAAGTTTAGAATATGGTCAACAATCTATCACCAATCTTATCATCTCCATCCTATTAATTCTTTGTCAATTTAGCCACAAAGTAAGATTAGTCAGTCAAACCAGTTTACAATTATTCTGGGTACAATGTTAAGAATCTCATCCAAAAACCAAAACCATATTCATTGACATCCTTCAATTTCTTGACTTCAGTTTCAACAGTAGGTTAATCAGCAGAGATTGAACTTGTCAATATGATGTCTGATCCAACAACACATTTTGGTTATCTTTATTATGGGTAAGGAATGTCACAGCCGACCTCTTCAGGGACTGGATGATCGTTTTATCTGTAATTTCCAGGGACGACTCTTTATTTTGACACCTTTCTCTATTAGTATCTGTCTCCACATTTATCCTTTATAACAATGACTCTCTCCTTCTATTCCTTAATTCTCTATTGGGGTTGTGGTTAAGGCTATTATTATTATCTTGGTTGTGGTTATGTTGTTTGTTAGTATTGATTTTAGACTCTTGAGATTTGTTTTAATAAGTATTCAATTAAACCGTATAACATTGCCAATTGGGATCTCTTCTACTCGAATGATCCTAGATTGATATTAAACTGTAAGCATACTTGATTCAATCACTCTTCTGATTTGATCAGAGATTTGTCTGCTTTAGTCAAATAAAAACTTTCTTTATGGACCGTTATATTGATTTTGGATTGTTTACAATTGTTCATCTAATGTCTCCAATTATTCATCATAAGAGGCATCCTCCATCAAATCGTTTGGGTTGGCTAAAGGATATTTATGGTAATTACCTGATATCATTTCATTAGTGAAATCTGAGAGTTCTTGGAGTTGTTTCATTTCTGAATCTAATTAGCCATCTTGCAATAATTCAATGATCTCTCCCCATGATTCGAAATCTTATAGCATTTATACAAAATCTGTATTTTCGCAATCTAATTCATTTTGCTAATCCAGAAGTGTAGTTAGGTCGTAATGCAATGCCTACACAAAGCAAACTAAATAGTTTTTAAAGAAATGTTACCTTGCAGTAGAATAACACCTATCAAAACCAGATGTTTCGTTCTCATTCTATCCGTTTTGAAAAAAAAATAATAAATAATTATAAAACATCATTAATTATTTCATTATAAAGTTGGTGAATCCATTCTTGTCTGATTTATGCAATATTAGTTACAGTCTCCTCTCCTCACTATTCTTATCATATGATGCATCCCGATAGACTTATCTACCATCAAATGATAGTATGCTACATGAATCTGCTTAGAACAACATCTCACAAATTTCCTTAAAATTTTAGAGGCCAAGTTTTGTATTTTAATGTAGTTTAGCTTTAACTATCCACGTAATCAAACAATGAAGAATTGGAAATGAGTAACTCTCTAATAACACAAGTTGATTCTCAAGATAGTGATTGTCAATTCAACAATCTATTTCCAAAATTAAATGAGGATAACTAATGCTAGATATAAAAATAATTAGATAATCAATTTATTGATTAATTCAAATGTCTTAATTTATAGAATTCGAATTAAAATCATAAAAATTAGAACGCTAACGTAACCAAGATTTGATATTTATGATCCAATTAATTGCATTTATTAATTTCTATGTATTTAATATACTATAAATCAATCAATACTTAATTTACTTATTTACCATCCCAACTTCTTTAGTTCTTCTACATCTTAATGCTCCTCTGATACCATACTTCCTTAACTGTAAGGCTAAGATTTAAGATATTTATCAAAAGCATCTCTCACCTGTGAAAGTGAGACTGAGATTACCCTTTCCCTCATTTCATCCACTTATTCAAAATTTAATCCAGTAATAATGTAATCTAATCCCTTATTCTAAGGTTCTATTGGTTGATCCAACCTCTAGAAAACCGTTAATTTAGCCTCTTTCAATTTTTACTCATCTAAATCCAATTGTATGTTGTCAAAGATTTTAAACGTATTTAATAGGTTTGGATCTCTGTAACTCCAAAGACAAAATGTCCCCATAATAGATCTCACACTACAACCTGATCCATATGCTCCTCCTTTCTCTCTTATCTCTCTATGCAAATAACTATTTGATATGCAATCTCCCAATACTTATATCGCAGGAGTGTCTTCATGAGTAAAGTAAGGAATTTTAAAAGCTCTGGATGAGCAATTTACTTGTGATGGGATGAGCGATGCTACGCTACCAAACTTCTCGTTGAATTATTCAATATATTATGGCTATGGATCCATGTCAAATCCTGGATACTTATGTCTAATTGAATTTATGAACTATTCTAAATTTTAAATATAATTAGATGATCCATCCTGATGAATAATCACTTCCAATTTATGCTTATTCATTATTGTGTATAGAATATCAGTCATTTGAAATTCGAAATCATCCACATACATTGATTTTCTTTGATTATCAGCCTTCAAATAATGATGAGCATATTAGAGTTGGAATTTTGTGTTAAAATTTGTATCAGTTAAGTAATACTATTCTGAAATTTGAGAAGTTGCCAATTAAGCTGCATATTGTAATTATTCATCAAAAATTTGATTCTACAATGCCACCTTGTGATTCCTTAATAATGTTGCCAAATGAGATCTATCTTTAAATTTAACATTGCAACATAATTCAGACAACAATTCAAGTGTTTTTGAAACATTCGAATTTAAACAGGCTATGCTAAACATCAAGTATGTTCCTTTTTTTTGAACCGAATCATATGATACTTCCAATCCCAAAGTAAATTCACTAAACATCTAACTAATCTAGGAATGGGTGAAATTTGTTGTTCCAAATTTACCAAACAATTAAATAAAGAAATCTATGTATTATCTAGTACCTTCAGATATTTCCCCCAAGTTAAACTTGAATTTAAAGAAAGTGAGCCCATTGGTTTTTTATATAGTCTCATAAACTTTGACTCCTCTTACAACATCTTCATTAAATTGAACTCTCTCCACCTTGGCTGATATGTCTTATAGTTCTATAGTTGGAAGTATCGAAAAATCTGATTCCTCTCTATTGTCTAAGTCCTTATTCAATTTTATTATTTTATCTATTTCCTCCTGTGTAAGAGTTTTTTAGATTTCCTCCAATTGCTTATTTTCATTTGATATTAGATTTTACAGATATTTTTTATCTGGCTAACCAAATAATACATATGGATTCATGAAATGATCCTTAATTAATTGTTGCAAGTAACCTTGAGAGATTTTAGATTTTAAGGTTGCCATATTTTTGTTGAATTCCAAATATTCAATATAGTTTTTTTGATTGATAATTGGATTAATCAAAAATTTCAACAATTTCAAACCCATTTCTGAAGTTGGCATTTTGAATTACACTTCAATCTAATGTAATGCGGCATCCACTTTATCCTAAGGAAATTCTTTGGTTAATTATTCTAATATGTATTTGATCTTTTCTTGAATTTTATCCAAGCTTTTTCGATCATCTTCAACTCCTTAAAAGGAAATGCTGAAAACGTGGTTCTCTCCATATTGCTCAAGTCCAACATTTCTGCTAAATGATTCCGCAAGTCCCTCTTCAATTAACGAATACAATAATCCATTTTGATTATCAAAAAGTACATGAGATATAATGCTCAAGGCCAATTATTACACATAATCAGCCTCCTTGATGATTGTTTAAAACGCAAGGAAACATTATTTATCTCCATCTTAATATGGTAATGAAATGATATCAGGAGGGGTTAAAGGTTTAATATCCTATTGAGATTATTGTTAATAATTCAACTTTTATACTTGGAGATATTGATTTACTAAATCAAAATTGGGTTGATCAATTCCATAGGAATAAAATATTGCCTTACTAGGATGAAATGTTTATTTGTAATAATCTAACAGAGCTTTATGAGTAAGACTTGGGATAGCTTTAGGATCTCCACCAAAGTTATGTTGATAAATTGAGTTGTTTAACAAGTAAGTTTACATCTCTTACCAAAACACACTCTCTGGATTCTGCATAGCTCCTTTCATTTCATTATACACAATTCCTTTATATACTAATTTTCCTTTTTCAAAATCGAGTCTTGATCCTTCCTATCTAAAATCCAATTCATTTAACGTAGGCTTGAAAACTAAATCCAATATCACATTCTATAGATTTTCAAAATCCTTCTTATTTAATGAAGCAAGTGGAAAGCAAATATAATCGGGGCCTGTCCACGCATTCAAATAGGTATTTATGCTACGCTTGATCATAGCCATAAATGGGTCTCTGACTGGATACTTTTCGCTTCCACAACAAATCAAATGTTCCAAAATGTGTGGAGTTCCTTGACTGTTTGTGGGTTCGGATCTGAATATTGTCGCAAAGGTCTAATTTTTATCTTAAGCTTCAAAATGAAGTAATTAAGCTGCTGATTAATGTTCATACAACTTGGCTGTTATCTGAAATTCTGGAATTTCATGCTGTGACTTCAACTTAAAAGATTATTGGTATAGCCTTCTATACTTTAATAATTGATTGCTAAACATAAATAAAATATTAAAAATTATATAAGTAGGCAAAATTCTGAATCACTTCAAATTACTATTATCTATATTTGTTAACAATATTCAGCATAAATCAGTTTTAGCTATTCTATTTTGCATAGTTGTAATAACAGTTTATAAATGTAATTCTAGTTAATGCAGATGGACAAAAGTACATTTTGAAAACGTTCCTATTATTTTAATTAGTTACTGGTTGAAGTAGGTTATTCTTCAAACTCATACTCAACTAATTCTATACTTCTTTATTTATTGGAGTACTAAATATAATTAATGTCCCTTTGGTTGCGAATTTTTATTGAATTTTAATAGAAAATATTGACTTTAAGCATAAGACAATTATAAAGGTGATTATAACTATTTTAATATATATTTAAGATATATCCATGTATTTAATTATTTATATCCAAGTTATTGAAGTCTAATAGAGGTTAAACTTAAATTTAAAAATTAGGTAATAGAAGACTTATGAATAATATAATTTTAATTTTATATTAATAAATTAATGTAAGTGTTACAAATTATTAGAACTATTTTTCATATTGTAAAATACGATAAGGGTTCTCAAAAACTTCAAATATGTATGTATTAAGGTATTTTTCCACCCTTATCATACTTATCTTCTTAATACTAAATATCAAATTTACTTTGATCTTCTAATTTGACTCTTGATTATCATTAAATATTAAATTTATAATCCATTAAAATTTAATGCTTTGATTATTTTCTTATAACTTTGTTCTGTTATGTTTAAAGGTTGCTTAATATTAATTACAAAATTTAAAGTATGTAATTGAAAGTGAGTTTAAGAGGATAAAATAAACATTGAGGTGATGTATTAATTATTTGATAAAAATAAAATTTTATGTTCTCGTTGTTGAGAAATATTAAGAGATTTATACGTTCCTACGATCATTTTGGGGTTTCCTTAAACTTCAACATTAGAAACAGGAAGCAATACCAGAGTGTTTGGGGAGGCATCATGTCAATCGCCATGACCATAGTGCTTCTCTATATTTTTATAACTGGGTTGATCAGCCTATTATTAAGAGATAAATTTTAGGTAGTGATGTTGTTTATTTAGATCGATGTGTAATAACTGCAGAATATGGATCCTGATTAATAGGAAATGAACATAACGAACTTTATGTTTGCCATTAAGCTTGATAATCCCTTCTCTCTTTATTATCCAAATGAAAATAAAACACCGTTTTAAATTGTGATGAATTAAGTGCAAATATCCACATTAGCAGATGGATCGCGCAATAAAACAACGTTGCACCAGATATTCTTTGAATAGTGTAGAGATACACATTTTAAGAATCTTAATTAAGAAGGCTTTTAGGAATTAAAGGCTGATTTAGGTTCTTATTTATGTCTCCCTCTCAATTTTAGTTTGAAGCTAAAAGGCACATTTAATTCCAAGTTCTTCTTGTATCCTGCCTTAAAAGTGTCCATCTGCTATACAAAAGACTGTTATACTAAGGAGTAGATTGAGTATCTCGCTTAAAATAAATCTATTTTGGTCTCCTTATCCACACTAATTCAATCTTCTATTTACATGAGAAACAGCAAAGATAACTATCTTTTTAGGTATTTGAATTCAGATTTCTATCTCCAAACTAATCTTTTGGAAGAAAGCAAATCTGATATATTTTTTAAGAACAATAAAATCATCGCTGAAAACAGTCTATTGAGTTTATATAAGGAAGAGGAGAGGAAAGATTTTTGGTCCTTCCAATTATATAACTATCGAGAATTTAAGGTATCAACTTATTATCATTTAGGGGTATCATGCTTCTCCGAGCACTTTATTCTCATTGAATTTTAGAATAAGCCAAGATTATGAGTAACATAAAAAAACAGCAGAAACCATTGACTCCTTTTTGTCCTATTTTGGAGGTATATTAAAAATAATCTCAACCATCTTTGGCTTAGTTGCTCTATCATATAATGAAATGGGGTTAAAAATATCACTAGCAAATCATCTATATTAGTTCAATATCCCAAAGAGGAAAAATGGAAAGTTTGAGTTCTCGTATGATAAGTTATTAAGTGTGATCCAAAACCAGCTAAATAGAGTGAGTGATCTATAATCAAAACTTAAACAACATACCAAAACCTTAGTGAGAACTAGTATGGTTATGAGGGTATGGAATAGTTAAAAATTCTAACATAATTCAATTTCAAATTAGTAATCATTGCAACGGGATTAGATAGAGACCCCATAGATTGATCAATTATAATTCTCAAAGTATGTGGAATAATTATAGGATTATAAAGGAAATTTCTTGCAAAGATTGATAACTGCTTTTAATTCCACAAGACATGATCTAAGATTAGGGATCAATTTTATTCTTTATTAATTATTGTGGTGCTCTTGTTGTGAGGAAGTTGAGATTACCAAGAAGATGCTTAGGGAATGTAAAACGGTTATTGATAAGGATCTTGATATTATTCACTTGTTGTAAAAGATTTAAGAGATAGATAAATTAAAATCTATAATTTTGGAAAAGGATTAGATTAAAGTTTTCAGTTATACACCAAAACCTATTATTAACATCGATCCAACGTATCAGCATTAACCTCCGGAGGAAGCCAAAGGTATTGAATTATTCTAATAATTAAACCAATAGAGACAAAACAAAAAGATCAAAAAATATAATTATTCTTTAAATAAACCAAAGAGATTAATGAAAATTTATGATTCTTATAGTAGATTGAAATAATAACACAACAATAAAAAAAACTAAAGGATTATTCAGCTTTTAGGTCCTACAATTGAAATGATATTTTTAAAGTATTATGAAATCTAAAACATGGCCAAAGGAATGAATATTGAAACCACAGAAAACTTTGAGAATGGAAATCCTTAGGTTGAGTTCCAGGTGGAAGCACCCTTGCCAGAGAATTCTTAAAATAATACACACAGAGTGATTTAACCAAAATTAGATTCACAAATAATAAAATTTCATCAAATTACTCCAAAGAATTTGTTGGAAAAAGATGAACTTCTCCATTCAGATTGAAATTATATATTTATATTGTCAAATGTATATATCATTTGATTATCTTATTAGGGTTATGATATTTATATAATATTTTAATTACATACAAATTACTATACCGATTCATGGCTAAAAAATCAGAATAAAGCATATGGTTAATAGGGGAAATTGTGAGTAAAAATAAAGTAGATTTCAAAGCTTAGCTATTGACAAAAAATATGGAACATGACATGAGTGTGTCTCAGATTGAAGACAATGGAACTGATTATGTATTGAGATGTATCAAGGGAATGTATAGAGGGATGTTTATATATCTGAATCTAGTAGAAAATGGAGAGACTATTGGAAGTGATGAAAGCTGTACTCTTTAAATGGAGGATTGTGGATTAGAGAAAACTCATGTGAAAATTAAATATAAATATAATGAAGAACAGAAGAAAAATGGATATCACTTGACTTGTTTTGGCCCAACTCTAATAAAAATTCGTTATGATTGTCCCGCTCTCATCAAAAATAATATGGAAATAACTATTGGAAAATAAATTTATATCATACAGACTGTGCAAGAAGGCTTTAATGAAATATTAGAATGGCTTTCAATCTATGATCTCTAAGGATTGAAGCATTTTTTTTTCGGAAATAATATTCACAATCTAAAATAGCTAAAATAGAACAAGATAGACCAATTAATCAGTTCGGTATAATCTTATAGTGCCACTCAAGATTAACTACTTAAATTAAGAGAGGCTTATAATCATATAGATGATTTCATACTTTAAAATTATGATGCTTTCAAAATTAATTTATTGGACAAAAAGAAAAACATCATAGTCTTGCAATTTGGATGGTCTGGTGCAACAATTAGTTCGAAAACCCAAAGATATTAGAAACCTCCTGATATTCTGCTTAAGAAATAAGAAATCGATGATTTAGAAGAAGACCCTGATTTTTAATTATAAATCAAATTCATCTAAGGAAAGTATTGGATTTGGGGCTCAAAGACTGATACTTACAATACGTTCTATAAATAAAACAAAGAGGAAATCAGGGTGATTTAACCTGATGATGTGATCAAATTAAATACTATTGAGTTAATAGTATAAAGATTTAATTACGGTTGTTTTTAAGATCCTGGAACAAAGAGAACTTAAGAAGATCGATATACCATTATATAGGATTTACAAGTAAGCAGTAGAGTCCCAGTTTCATGTTATGCAATATTCGATGGTCATAATGGGAATACTTGTGCTAATTATATGTCTTAAAATCTAATGGATAATATAAGAGAGGATTTTAATTAAGAATAGAAGGAATTTGATCATCAAAATAAATTCTTGGCTTTCCTTTATGAAAATATTAGATCTACTTTTAAAGAAACAGACAATGATTTTTTAACTGAAGTTGTACAACCTAATGCTTCTATTGACTCAGGCTGTGTGGCTGTTGTCGTAATGATAATAGGTGATTACATAGTTAGTATAAATTGTGGTGATTCCAGAGCAATATTATCAAGATAAGGAGAGGCCATTAACTTAACAGAAGATCATAAACCAAATGTGCCTGCTGAATATGCTAGAATAAAAAAAAAAAGAGTTGAAGTAATTGGTGGAAGACTTGGAAATCTTGCTGTTTCCAGAGCTTTTGGAGATTTTGGCGAAAAAAAGAAATATCCAAAAAATACAATCACTTCAAAACCTGATATCAGAGTGACTACCATTGATTATAAGACTGACGAATTTATATTATTATGTAGTGATGGCATTATTGATGGATTTGGAGAAACATAGGAATCTGAATAGAATTTGCAATAAATATCACCAAGTCAAAGAGTAATTGATTTTGTTAGAGATATGTATAAAGAATAATAGATTGGATTATAAGATCCTTAAGAAGCTGCATAATAAGTAGTATTAAGAGCATATTAATATAATGTCACTTATAGGAGATAATCAGATAATATGAGTTGTATTATCGTAAACCTCACTAGAGGAATCGTTTTTTGAATTCTTAATAAATTTAATATTCATGAATTTTATATAATTTTAATAAAGAACTCAAGAATTCTAATTCTTAATATATAATTTCTATTCTATCATTATTCTATGAATTTTTATATAAAAAATAGACAATATTCTGTCAAATAGAAGATATAAGTCTTATAAATAAACAAGATCAATTAAATATATCAATAATAAAATATCTAATCCTAGAAATTAAATTAATTATTTTCATTAATTCACAAAAGGTTTATTTGTACCTTCTTGTATGTTATTATTTACTACCTTCGAATGAGAAAGATAAATAGAAATTTAACAAATTTTATATACCATTTCAGTAAAATTTAATTAATTTGGGCTTAGAAAAAGCAAAATTATAAGATCATTATAAAATTATCCTAAATTTATCTTTGAAAACATTTATCCTTAAAGCGTAACCATCATTTGAATATAAAGAGGATGTATTAAATTCATTGTTCTGAGACAAAAGTAAAAAAAGGAATTTAAGGTTTTTGTTTAATAATTAATATACTATAAGGAAAATAATTTACTTCTATTCATTTAATATATTATATTTATATTTTATTTAAGTATTGAGATGAATATCTACATAAGAGTTTACTTAATTTTTATAATTTTAATATATAAATTTTGAATGAAAACCTCACTTCTTCAACTCGAGAGATCTTATCTAGAAGCCATTACGGAATTTGGGGAACATTCTTAAAAAACCCAAGGAACACGTATCAGGCTTATTGAAATGCTTAACTAAACAGGCAGATATCTACTTTTTCAAAAGCTTAGCGGGGAGAAGTATCTCTAAAGAGCTATAGAATTAACCAAATTGCTAAATATGGAAGAACAACTTATGGTTAAATATTAAACATATATGTATTATGCTGAGTACCTTGAAAGCAAAAAGAATTATAGTATGGCGTATAATTTATTGGTACAGTTAATTCCTTTAGCAATGACAAATGAAAGGAATATTATAATGATATAAATTCAAATTCTTAATCATATAATTGAAAATGGAAGAGTGTGTAAAAAAAATAATATTACACAATTAAATGAATAATTGTTAAATTTAATGGAGTAGATTGGACTTAGTTTTTATTTGTATAAAGAATTTCCAAATAAGTTTCAAATAATTTTATTATAAGCATTATCATTCTAAGCAAAAATATACTAGAAATAAAATAAGGATAAAGAGGCAACATAACTCTTTTTTTAGTCTTTTCATCTTTCTGAAGAATTGCTGGGATTTAATGATAAGAGAACATAAGAATATAAAAAGTAATATGAGTTATTGAGCGATAAAATATCAGTAAATTTAGAAATTTAGAGTCAAGAAGAAGAAGAGGAGGATAAAATATAGAAAATTCAAAATTCTCAGAAAGAAGAAAAGAATATTTTATCTTTTAGGGGCAAAAATACTTATATAAATAATTATATTATAAATGTAGATTCTGCCAGGGCACCAAAATTAGCCAAAAAGATAGATAAGACTAAAATTGAGAAACCTATTATTAGTTAAAGAGCTCCACCTAAGTTTAATGAATAGTAAATACAATAGTTATTTATCTTAAAAAACCAAATTAAAAGACCATTGAGTTCGTAAGGAACTTCTAAAATGACAAGTCCAACTAGATGTTATTCAATATTTTCAAAGAACAATATGGACAAAATATAAAATAGAACTCCCTCTGTAGAATAAAGCTTAATAAAATAACTGGAGACTGCCTAACCTAAAGATAGATTTAATGATCTCATACTTAATAGACCTCAATATGAAGAAGTGAGGAAATATGAAATTGTCAAAGCTATATAATAAAGAAAAAGCAAATAAATAGCCTCCAATTATGTAATTTAGTTTATCCCTCCGTCTCAATCATCAAGGCCATAAATTAGAGAACCCTCCAATACTAATATTCTGTATAAAGTAGATAGCAGGAAACTTTCAAGTAATCCAAGCAATTCTAATATTGAAAGATTTTCTCAAAGGAAAATTCCAACAAATGACATACAACCCACTCAAAGTAATATTAGATTGGGTAGTAGAATCAATTTGACAAACGAAATGGATGATGAAAACATTAAGTAATAGGAGGATGACCAAATTCATTCATTTGAAGAAGATCCTAAGAAAGTGATAACACATTCAGATCCAATAATAGCAAAATTTCTAGAGAAACATCCAATTGAGGTTTTGTTAGAAGCTGTTGATAGAATCAAGGTCAAAATGAAACACCATATCTATTATTCTAGAATGAGAAGAAACGACATCGAATTGAAACAAAATGAAATCTAGCCTATCAAATTACATCCACATACTAAACACTTTACAAGATCAAATACTTATGGACTTGAAATTATTGGTATTGTTGAAAAAAAAATATTAGAAAATGAAGCTAGCAAAGTTATAAATAAATTAATATCTCCAGCAAATTAATTGGACTGGTCTCCTATTCATTTTTATAATAAGCTATTTACAGATAATGAAACATCGAAATGGGTATTGTAGAATCCTAAAATTACAGTCTAAATCCTATAAAAGTCATAGGATAGATAATAATACCAATAACTCAGTGTAGATTTATTTTATGCAATAATATAAAATTAAAAAAAGTCTACAACAATTTAATTGATAGCCTCGATAGAACTATCAAATCACATTAGAAAGTTTTAAGTCAGATTCATAATTGATTCTTTAGCTGAGCATTACAAAGAGATTTCTAGTTATGAAGACATGATGGATCTTTTTAATTAATTAACTAAAATTTATTTCATTTAAGAAAATTTGTTAAATGAGTGGAAAGAAGAAAATCGATAATATACATTATATGTAGTAAAATAAAAGTAGATTCAAGATTCAACAATTAAAAACTTCTCTGAAAACCACAATGAATCGTAAAAAATAGACTATTATTAGGATTTACTCTAAAAAATTCTATTTTATGTAAGGAGAAAGAGTTATGTTAAGACAATTAATGGATTTAAGTTTAAATCAGAAACTTAAGAACTTTAAGAATCGATTAAAATATATAATAATGAGATATACCAATAAAAAAATTAGAGAATTAAATCTTACTTCTAATACAGAGATCTCAATATGACTTGCAAGGTTCAAGAATCAACAAAGTAATTAGCAATAAGTTACAGAAAATAAATGTAGGACAAACATATCATTATTCATGAAGATACCTAATATAGCCTTCTAAATGATAGTGATGCATAATAAGTGTATTAGAGAGGATATGATTTTTAATAACAATCTAGAATAAATAATAACTTGGTTAGAGATAATGAAAAATTATCAAAATAGAATTCTAGCGATACACCTTATTCTAAATTTAGGCTATAATCGATAAAATAAAATGGTGGAATATCTTAATAATAGTTTGAAAACTAAGCAGAATTGAATGAAATATTTTCACTTGAAACTTAAGATTATCTTTAAAGATATTTTACTGAGTTCAAATTAAATGTCCCTCCAATTAATTATTATCCAACATCAAGTAATTTATCATAAAAATCATTAATCTAATCTCATTATTACTTTAAAAAAGAGTATCTTAGTGTAAAATGTAAAAAATTGAGTTACAAGCCCATACATTCTGACAATTATTTAATTTAAACTTAAATTGTAAAACTTGATAAATAATTCTACTACTTGACTCTAACTAATAAATTAAAATTAGAATAAATTTTATGTAAAGATAAATGGGAAGATGAATTAGACATTTAACTAAAAGAATTGATCAATTATTCAATTGGCAGAACTGGATACATTATTGATATTATTAAATTACAAGAGAAATTGTAATAAAAATTGGAAATCGTTAATTGTAAGATTTAACTAAATTAAGAAGAGTCAGATGATCTATTGATCAAGAAGAACCTAAAGTTATTTAGATAAAATAAGAAACTATACTATGTTAAAGAAGCTATCTAATTTATAGAGGACGGATTAAAAGAAATTTCTCAAGATAGTGTAAATATAGAAGATGAATGTATAGATCATATGCCTTTATAAAAAAGAGATCCAGTAATAGATATCATCTTCTTGATTGGAGTTATGTAAAATAATTCATATGTGAAATATGATGCTCATTTGAAAAATTGCGAATTACTTAAGCATATAGATGGAAAATTAATGTTTGCAGAACCAGATCAACCCAGAAAACCAAAATTTCCAATAAGATTGATATTATCACATGAAGACATGAACAAACATATCGCTAGAATGAATGAGAATACAATAAGTAGTAAAGATATATTACTATTTCCTCATTTTAATTCTCTATTTTTATTTAAATAGACATAATTTAATTACAAAACCATAAAGATGAAATTAGAAATCTCATCAGATTTTAATAAATTACATAAAGATATTAGAAACAACTCAGCAAAAGCCCGACTATTTATTTATAAAAACAATAATAATAAACATGTGATCTATTTAAATTCTTAACAAACAGAGAGGTGGATTCATGCTTTTTAGATTGATGGAAGAATACAAGATATTCTATTTAGCTATAAAACAATGATGAAGAAAACGTTAACCGGAAGGAAGTTATAAAAAAATGAAAATAGATAATCAATATCTAAGGATATTAGATTCTTACTTATATAGGATAAATTGGTTAGTACTAAATAATATTTTATTCAAAGTAAAATTTCAGATTTGGGATAAGTATTTGTAACTGGAATTGTATTTTAAGATTTGCTATTAGTTAAAGTTATGCCAATTGGATATAAAACTAAGGTTCACATTTTTCTTTACGCAATCTTGGATAGTGATGTCATTAAATTATTGAAATAATTGTGTAAGAATTTCATTTTGAAATCAACCTATACATATTCGAAATTATATTTAGTACCTATTACCCAAAACCTAATTCGTAAAAAATACCTATTGGGAAACTAATTTGGTGATAATCACTTTTTAATTGGATAGAAATCTTACTCAAGAGTGATTTATAAATAGGTTAAGAAAATAGATAAAAATTATTTTATTATAACAGTAACATTATTGAAGAATTATTTTCAGATATACTTTTACAATTAGGGCAATTGTAGAAAATTTTATTACACAATCCATAGATCAGATTTTTTAATAATGAATTAGTACTTTTTGGATTCAATTTTTCCAGAGTAACCTAAAGAAGTAATGGAATAGTTGTTTAGGAATTGGAGATTCAAAGAAATTTCAAAGATTCATTCTCTAATCATAAAAGCACCTGAAACATTTAAAAATAGAACTGAATAGTATATAAAAACAATAAAGGATACTAAAAAATATTTCAAAAGATCTGCTACTTCAAGTATGTAAAGCGTTAATAATTTAATGAGATCATCTACTTTGTAGTTGAATAATATGTAAGAGAATTCATTTGAAGAAAGCCTTAATAAGGGTTGTTGGTTATTTGATACAGTGTTACTACGTAATTAAGAGAGCATATTTGAGAAAAAGATATGGTTGGAGATCTTAAAATAGATGAGTATCAATAACAATTAAATCACTGTCGACACTTTCAAAACAACTTTGAATGAATTAGTGTATTCAAATGATAGACTCTGCAACTTTTTATGTTACATTCCATGCCAAGAAATTTAGCAATCATTTCGTTGGCAACCGATTAGGTTAAGAATCTATGAGTATGATACTTGTAAAGGTGTAGATATCCCTTTGAGAATAAGAGGAAAGCAAGTCTAAATCTATAAATAATGCAATGTAATTTTAGAGAATTATTTACATTCTAAAATTTTGCCAGGCAATCAAGAAATTATGAAAGTCAATAAAAATAATGATAATCAATTAATAAAATATCAATTACTTTACAAGGGTGCATTTATGAAGCATAAGATGTTATTCATGGCTATATATTTCACTAATGATATGTTTCATGTTTGTATTTAGAGTCGCGTATCTCAAATAATTCGAAAGTTGGACATCATTTAGGTTGAATTGAAGATCCCTCACATTAGGTAGCTTTTGACTTTGAATCCTTATGAAGCAGGAAGAAGAATTAGTCTAATCTATAGAAATAATTTCATCAATGCTTCATTCTTGAATTTGTGATTTAATTAATTAATTTATATGTCTGTATATAGTGGTTTTAGTACTCGTGCACTCGAAAGTGAATACAACCAATGCCTCCTCCAATTGATTACAATCTTGGCTAAGAGATGTGCTCAGGCCCTCTCTGTTCAATAATTGCAGGACGACACGAAATTCGCAGGAAACTTCGGAAAGTTATATGGTCAGATCAAGAAATTGGAAGAATATAAATATGCACCTCCAAAATATTCAGTCGCATTAAAAGAACTAAGTGAATAGATAGGGATCATACAGTTCAAATAAACTCTAGTTCCCTAAATATGCAAAAGAAAATTCACAATATAAAGTGCGAATCATTAATAAGTGAATTTACAAAATGTTACACCATCCAAAAGACAAACAAAAACAAGTTATCTCAGGTCCAATAGGTTAAAAACAGAGGATTCCGCATATAATAGAGCCATAGAGAAGAGTTTGAGGTATAGAGAGTTAGAGTTTTTATGTTAATTTGATTGACTTTAATTAATATTAATATAAATATCATGGAAGTCAAATATCGTCCACCACTTAATGATGTGTAATATTAATATCCTAACAACTTAGAAATGAATGCAATTGGTTGGAGAAAAACTTTGTCTCTTGCCTCAAAGAAAAGAGTGTGAAAGATGACCTTCCAAAAAGAGTATGCAAAGTGGAAAATGTATGAATTAAATTTATTTAAGATTCTTTGGTTCTTTTTGGAATGTCCAGAAAGATCATCACCTTATGAGAATGCTGAATCACTAAGAAAGATTTATATCAAACAAAAATTGGCTGATCTCAATCCGACAGTTCCTGAACCAAGAAAAAGAAAATGAAATGCATTATCATTATAATAAATATAATAATAAAAATTATTCTAAAGCAATCTATTAAAATCATAAAACTTTAGATTGTATTCATATTAAAATTCTAAAAATATTCCACCGTCTTTGTCACTATTAAATACCTTTAGAGTTTGAATTCACAGCTTTTCTTTATTATCTGACTTAATTGAACCAATTATTATTGAGATAAAGTTAAGTGGGTACACAAGCCAATATTGATTACTTAAATTTTGTTTTTCGTTTTACTACTCTTAAGTTTTTAATTTTTTGATTAAAGCAATTTTAAGTTTGTTATTTAAAATTCATTATCATTATAAGCTTGTTCGGCACTTAATCTTTTCTAATGACTTTGATTTAAGATATTTTAATTAGTTTTGATATCCTTACTAATGTAAGACCAATCTTCAGGCTTATATTTTAAGCATGCTGCTATTACTCTTTTAGAATATCTGCAATGTGAATAAGAAATGATTTAGCTGTATTAAATATCAGATTTTTCTTATTATTAAAAAACTTTCCAAGCTATATGAAATTTATCAACCTTTTCATAATTCTTTACCTGATTCTATGAGATATATCAAAATCTTTTGATTTTTAGATGAATCTGATATTTTTAATAAAGAAATTTATTTCAAACTCACTACCCATTTTTTAATTCTAAGATTTAAAATAATACTTTTTAATCTAGTAGTTTTCAATATCATGGAAAATCATATTATTTTATATTATTCTTATAGTATTATGCTTTTTAAAGTTTCTTCATTTCTATTTAACCTTCCATATTATTTTCTTTTTTCTTCCCGAAACCTTAGAAATTATAAGTGCTTTTTCAATTCATTAGTTAACTTTTATTTTGCTCTTTTCGAATTTAATCTCATAATATTAGATATTAAGCCAATAATTATTTCAGTATTACATTTTGTTAGTTTCTAAGTTGTATTTTTCCAACAATTATTCTAACTCTCTTGATATTTAATTGAAACCTACTTTTTTTTCTCAGAAAATATTATGCTAATCTTAAAATAAAATTCGAGCTTTTGCAGATGTACAGTATTTATTTGATGATTCTTCTTGAGGATTCCTGTTCAATATTTATGATCTCATAAATTAAGTTTTAATAATCAAAGTAAAGTATAATTTATTCTGCAAGAAAATCAATAAGTATTATTTTTAAATAAGGTCTCTCTCTATATATATTCGATATATTACGTTCTTTAATGTATTAGATTAATGCATTTAAAATTCATTATTGGTTAAATTAATTCAAATTGAATTGGGACTATATATTTGTTATTTTTATTATTATTATTATTATTTTTACTTTTTATTATGAATTTTAAGATGTTTTAAAACAACAAATGATAACTTAGAACTATCAATTATAATTTTACTTTCAAAGATCATTTTAATTTAACTTAATATAAGACGTTTAAGCTTTAATTTATTCAATCTATCAAATCTTTCTCTTTCTTAATTGATATAGTTTGATTTCTTGAGATAATTGTATTTAATGAGTTAAAGTCATATTAATTTAAGAAACTTAAACTATAAACCTAAAGTTTGCATTTACAACCTTCTAAATCTATCGTATCAGAAAATATTGATGTAATTGAAAATAATATAAATTATTTTGCATTTGAATGGATTATAATCAATAATAATTATATTAATATATTGTTCTAGAGTTTAATCTAATTCACATTTCTTAAAATATAATAAAATTTATGATTAATCAAATATCTCATAATTCTTATGAATAATATAAGAGCGAATTAACTTCAACAAAAAGAAGCCTTTCTTAAACCAAAATTATATAAGATGCATCAGTCTAAGTTGAATTTTCAAACGCATAACTAATGAAAATTATAGATGATATTGATAAAATTCATCAATAAGAGAAAAAAGCATTACTTGAGCAAATTAATTATTTAGAAAAAAAACTACAATAAACAAAGGTCAAACAATTGATTTAATGTATAAATGAAGTTAAGAACATATACTTGAACTAAATTGAAATAAATAAACCAATTCGTATGGCCTTGGATTCTCTAGAGTAACTGATTAATGAAAAGAAACATTATGAAGTATCAGATCTTAAATACCGCCTCCATCAAGCGGAGAAAGTTTTAAAGTTACCTACAGCTGAATTTAAAACATACCCTGTAGATAAACTTGTAAATTCTATAAAGAAGTGTCAATAATTTGAATCTGAAAAGATAAGCTTAGGAAATATTTTGGAAGAATTAAATTAAGCCGATGATCAATGGAACTAAATTTAAAAGGATCTATATGACGAAAGCAGCACTTTGTTTAATTCATTATAAACAACTACCTAAAATATTTTTTATGAACTCTCTTTGCTAGATTGCAATAAATGATAGGTAATTTTATTCTTATTTATATTTGTAATGAATAGATAACTATTCTTAATATTTATTTATTTTTTAATCTTTATTGTTAATTTTAATTCTGCATATTGATCACTTATTTTAAGCAATCAAAGTCATTTCATATTGAAAGCAGATGAATTGCATTATGTGTCTAATAAGTGATATTCAAATATAAGATTATGAATTAAAATTGTAATTATAAAGAATAATAGTCATTGTTATTTAACTGGATTCTGTTGCGGCTATGAAAATATTTTAGTAATAAATTAGAGTAATCTGATATTAAAGGACAATATTATAAGAGTTATATTTTTCAAAAGTTCAAAAAAGTAATAGATGCCATTTTTTTTCTGAAGTTCACAAAATTCTAGAATAAATGATTTTTCTTACAATCATAAAGGTTCCTACTTAGCATAAGGACAGTTTCACATAGAGCAATCATTTAAATATAAATAATTTTGAAAGCTAAGAATAAGTTAAAGAGTAATTCTTCCATGTTTTTTGGATAATATTAGATCTTCTGTGGTTCTTATTTTTATTCTTATTTATTCTGTATCATTTTTTAAATTGCTAAATCAGATAATTTAGATGGTTATCCAAGTTGCATCTACTTCAAGCTGACCATTATTAATTGGAATTATTTAATATATAAATTTGTACAAATATTTATTATTCCATATGTGTGTTTATTGGACTAAGAAATTGTCAGAAAAATATAATTCAAAATGTTTTAATATCTTTTTATTTCTAATCATTTTGTCTCACTTTACACTTCCCAATAATATCCTGAATTCTTTTCATCAATTTTTTGATCTTAGCCTACCCAATAATAATCAGCATTGGAATCTGGAAATTGTACTTCATCAGGCTATTAGAGCAGAGGGTCTTTCAAGTCTACTACCACTTCAGTATTATCATCCATGTCATCAGCTGGATGTTGAATGGCCCAAATCTCAATAATCTTGATTTTGAGTTTCTTAACATAAGGAAGTACAATGGGACCATTCTCATAAGTATCATCAAATTGATTGCAATATGAATTTTCAATGTTCTTGTCAATCCAAATTCTGCATCCTTCACCATTCTTACCTCCAAAGCCAAAACCCTTTTAAGAATCTAAATAGCAATAATTTTATTCTCCTTTTTTTGCCTTAAATATCTTGTAATAGGGATAGAGACTAAAAATACAATCATCTTTAGTTCCAAAATATTATTAAGTGTCATACCATTTTAAATTGGTAATAGCACCAAAAGTCTATTATTTCACTTTTTAATCATAAGTTTCCTCATGCTAAACCAATAGTAATGTAGGTAATTTACTATCTAAATATTATAAATGCTCAGAGATTACCTTTCATAGCTTGAATCATTTAATTAAAACCCCCTTGATGTGCAACACTTGAATACAGTAATGACAATTGTGAACAATTCTTTAAGACTGAATTTGTACTTAGAAATAATTGGAAACACAATTCATCAGTCAAGAAATACGATGGAGTATTCACAACAGGAATAAAATTCTAATGGTTATTTTTAAATTTACATTGATTTGCTTCCCCATAAATTTTGCTTAAAAGTATAGTTTAATTGCTTCTTTCGTGCCTGGCATTTATTTTGTAACAAAGTCTACCAAACTAACCCAAGAAAATGAACCGGCTTCATTTTCTAATATAATTTTTTAGAGTTTTACTATAAAGCATATCAACCAATGTCTTGATGTACCTCTCATTCGTAGAAACTGCTTTTTTACCTATTTGATGCATCTTTATTAAATCCTTATGTATACTATCACTAATTACTTTAATCACTCCAATTGTATCTAAGTAAGTTAATTGTAGTTATGCTAATTCCTCCTTGGTTGTCAAAAACTTTGAATCCTATAAGGAAATTAACGACACGAGTTCAAATCTCTCTAGGTTCTTAAATGTGGGAATATTAGTTTGGACATCCTTCACCAACAATTCCACTTTTAATTAGATGAGAAATTACAAAATTCGAACAAAGGCTCCTTCTTAATCAATCCTGGGGATCCGGAATACGCTTCTAAAAATCTGAACAATTTAATTCCATAAGTTGGGTTTTCACAGAAAATATCTTCGAATGATTTTTAGTTCAATCCTTTGGCATCACGTGTTCTTAAATATTCTTTTAAATTACTAGCTGCTTAATTCACAATAATAGTGGAACTGATTATTAAGTGCTTAATATTCTGCTTAATCAAAAGCCAATGGTACCGGATCCTTTCGACTCCCATAACAATTACCCATTTATTTAAATAATATATAAATAAAACGATAATATATATAAATTTTATTTAATGTATGTATTTTCTTGCCGATTAGAAAATCAAATTAATAAAATTCTTGTTTGATAAACTAATGGAAGATCCAAAAGTGGCTTCATATTTATTATCTCATCTGTGGATTGATTAAAAAAAATACCTAGTCCTTTCAATTTTATCATTATATTTTAATAAAATAAGATTTCATAATAGTATTATTCTTCTTTGGATCAATCAAACAAATTTAAATATTTTTATTTTGAATTACAAAAATGGATTCTAAATAATTTATGATTTATCATTCATTTCTTTTGGGTCAAAATTAAATATTGATAAAATAAGTTATTTCAAAATATATTGATAAAAATTGGATGAATAGAAAATTCATAATTGATCATTTTCCCATCTTCTAGCAAATAAAATAGGATCGTTAAATTGCTTTAAGTTTTCTTTGATTACTTCCTAAATAATTAGTAGATCTTTTGACAATAATTATTAATTCACAACTGATATATTACTTTATATTTATTATGAAAACCCTTTTGTAAATTATTCCAGATTGTTATTTAAGTATTAGTTAAACTTTCGATCATGATGATTGTATAGTAAAGGGCTGACTTTCTCAAAGTATTTTTGAAAATTATCTATCAAACATTACAATTCTTCCTATATTTGAGAAGGACAGTAATTCTTTATTGCATAAGCTTTTACTACCAATAGTTTTCTTAATAAGAAATAGCATTTCTGTTTATCTTCAGTGTTAATGGACTAAAATTATTTTAAAGCTTAATTTAGATATATCAAAAATTTATATGTAGGGCGAATTGTAGCTGTTAAAGACTCTACTGCTGCTTTGTATTTTTCTTTATCCTTTTAAGACTTATTATTTTGCACATCAGTTTACCTATTAATAGATATTTCAGTTTTCACTCTTTATTTTAGATATTCTTTTTTTTTCTAAGGCTATTCATTTAACTTAGTTGAGAAATTTTAAAAATCTGTTAAAGACTAAGTAGTGGGAGTCTTTCTTTATTTTAATGGAGATTCAATTTAATTTCGAGGTTGTTTAATATGGATGGGTGAAGTTCCTTAATTTCTATTTGTAAATGTTTCAGTTATTTTTGGAGTAATTAAAGGAGAATTAGAATTCATCTGATTTTATGATTAGCAATTAGAAATTTGATTATTTTTAATTGTATCATTAGTGCTATTTGGATTACTATGTTAAGGTGTATCACTATTTTCAGATGACGCTTAATTGAGATTAGCGTTTTAACTTGTGATCTACATTGATTAAACCATTGGAATTTTGATTTATATCTTCTTTTTAGATTAATCTTTTATCTATATGGGAGATAGTTAAAATTTAAACTGGTAGTCCTCATTATTACATAATGGATTTTATTTAATTTTATTTAATTCAAGTGTATGATATTCAAGATTATTATGAAATGAGAATGGTTCTGTTTCTTAATTAATATCAACAGATTCATCTGGCATTGTTTTTAAGATTTTTTGCGAATTTTCAAAATTATCCTTATCACCAATATCATATCCACTTAACTTGCGTATGACTTTAAAGGGCATGTTTTTATGAGAATTATTGCATTTCAACTTTTTCGAGTGATTTAAAATGGATATAATTCCATCAATACTAATCCTCTTTTTCGGATCAATTTCTAATACACCTAAAAGAATGTTCTAGATTTTTTTGATCAAAGCCTTATCGTTCATAATTTTCTAATGTATCTACTATTACTTACCGTATAGATCTCCATCTTACTTTAGGTTAAATGGAATTTCCTTATATACCATTAAGTAAAGAACTACCCCTAAAGACCATATGTCTGACTTTTCTGAGTAGCAGTTGGACTAAACTGTCTCTGGTGCCATGTAGACTGGAGTTCCAACACTAAATCTTTTGACTATACTCTCGAAATCATTTTCAAATATAGCAAATCCAAAATCTGATAGTTTATAAATTCCATCGGATCTTAGTATATTCGCAGGTTTTATATCTCTGTGAATGATTTCTAAAATGATATAAGAATAAGGTGTTACTTTGTTCATGGAGCGCTTTGACTCCCTTAGCTATTTGGAGGAAAACATTAAGGATTTCTACTTAAGTGAAAGCTGTTTTTTCTAAAATGTTAGCCAGATCACCATCTCTACAATATTCACAAACGATGTAGGTGTTATTTTTAGTTTCAAAAATCTCGTATACTTTCATCAAATTCTCATGTTCTAATTGTTTTAGAATTTTGATCTCATTTTTTAAAAGGGTTTGAGAAATTGGAGTTGTTAAGGTGGAGAAATTTATAACCTTTATGGCAACTACTTAACCGGTGTAAATATTAATGCCCTTGTAAACAGATGATGAATAGCCTTCTCCCAAGATGTCATTAAGGAAGTAGGAATATTTTTGGACTCTTTTTTGAATTTTTTATTTAACTTCAATCATTCTATTTTAGGCTCAATTTAAATTGAAATAAAAATTATTTTGATGTCTAATTCATAAGAGGATAAATAATTCTTCTTAAAGATAATAGAAAATATAGTCATTCTAAGTGTTGTTTATTATTAATTTTATAAATGAATGCCCAAACAAAATCATCATTTAAAGAGCGTCACACATTAGAAGAAAGAATTAAGTTGTATTAGACCAAACAATTAGCTTACCCTTCGAAAATATTAATAATCTTAGAACAATTTATTGATTCCTCATCTACTTCCTAGTTGTAATAATAACATATAATTAAGAGATGCGCAGCTGATCCAGAGTAATTAATGGTAACTTTTGAGGGAGACATTAGTTTATTATTCAAAAAGAAAATTCCAAAAGCTTAGCACATTTCACTTTTCTTCTTTATCAACAACGTTCTCCCCTAAAAAGGTAAATAATGAGTTTTATGAAATAAGATTAAACTATGGGATAATTGTAAAAAAAAATGTAAGATTAAGAGGACGGATTCTTATATATTCAAGTAAAGTCTTTGGAAACTCTAGGATCACTTTGAGATGAACTTTTAAATTATATTTTTAAACTAATAATAATAGAAAAACAAAAAATTCAATAATCATCCTGATCAAAAGAGAGTATTGTTGGTTTATTGGTCTTCTTTACAATTTCATCTATTTTTGACTTCTTTACTAAAGTAGGTTTCTACGTTTATGACAATTTAGCAAATTATTTTTTTAATTCTTCTTCTTTTTTCTCCCTTCCAGTTTCTTCTTCTTACTTTCCTATCACAGACTTAATGTTTTTTTCTTTTTGATCAATAATCTTTTATTTCTTGGATCCCACATATTCAGGCTTGAATTTGGTCATATTGAATTCAAGATTGCCATCATTTCCATTTCCATCAATAACCTGAGCATTTTCTACATCATAGTTATCCTCATCATCACTCTATTACACAATAAGTGGATCATTATTGTTATTTCTAACTTTCTTTTAAATTTTATCTTCTATCTTATAATCCTAAGCATCTATGTTGCTACCACCATTGACTCTCATCCTGAATTGCTCAATAAACTTCACTTGAGGCTTTTCAAATTCTAAATCAATTCTTTGATTTTTCTTTCTCATATTATTTTTTAAAAAATATTTTAGTATTAAATATATTGTAATTATTATCTTTTTCATAGGAAGTTATTCATTAAATCATATTTACAATTAATATAATATAAAGATGCAATAGATTACTTATTTTTCTCGTTATATAAAAAAAATAATCATTTCTATGTGTCTATGAAAACATAGTTTTTATTTAATTTTTCTATATCTTTCTCCAACAAAGCCAATTCTTTTTCGCATTGCTCCTTTCTAATAGAGTAGATTCAATATTTACTTTCTTTTCAACCCAACAGTATCAATCATTCTGATATGAGTAATTGATTAATATTCCTTATTCACAGATTCCCATTTCCTCTTCAATCCTAATTTTAAACGTTCTACTTCTTCAGGAGTCATCAAATATTTTTATTTGTCCCTCTCCTCTGCCTCATTCATGTGCATATTTCTTATGATTTCATATTCATTATTGATGCTGCTTTAGATTTTAGTTAAATAATCTGGTACTTTTCCATAATCTTTTTTTTCAGTCCAAGCTTTCTCTTCTGTAATTTATTTGGGAGCTGAAAGAATATTTTCAACTGCATTTGTAACAATAAAATTCTTATTTGATTTGAGTCCATGAATTGGTTTTTCATCTTTTTTTGGAACTGCCGCCTTGCATGATTGTGGATACTTGAATGATTAAACTATCCCTTAAAAATAGACTATTACTCTCAGGCAATTAATTGGATCCCATTGTTCCAGTATTCTTCAACCTAAACATTGTAGAATCAGGCTTGTATGAACCTTGCTCTATATTATTAATTACCCTTAGGTTTTCCAAGAGAATGCGATTGTCCCTTGTGAGTGTGAGGCCCTTTTACCAAATCAAAATCTCCATTTATGTTGTTCACCTAAATATTAATGAATAGCAACTTTAGGTCGACTGGTTGTATGATTGTTGAAGGTGCTGGCTGTTGGTACCAAACCATTTGGATAAGCTGATCTATACATTGGTTCCTTAGGTGGAGGCACATACTCCTTGGGAATCAAATTATATATGCTTTCCTGTTACATTTATTTTATTTTAAATCTCTTTAATTTAATTTTCTACAATGCCTTATTTATCCAAATTTACGTATTTTCAAAAGAATTAAGAGGAAACCATGTTATGGATTTCTTAAATTATATAAGAATATTCAATATATGATGAACTTGATTTAAATGATAATCATTATTTCCAAAATATTTTTGGTAGGCTTTGGAAATATTATAAGCCACTTAAATCAAAGTAAGTTTTTCTCTCCTATCTGATTTCCTTAAGTTTCTCCAAGAATACTTAAATTAAGCCTTCTACTTAGTTAAATATTGTAAAACTTATGATTAAAACAATAAATCATATTAAGTACAAATAAGAGGAGATTGTTGATACAACAACTTACTTTTGGTATTTACTGCGGTGTTTTTAAATATAGTTTATTTCTTACTATGAGTATTTGATAAAATAGAGGAATAGAGGGATTGAATTTTGAGGACAACTTTCCCCTAATAAAAAAGATATGGGGAAGTAAGATTTGGTATTTTTGATAAGAAAAATTAAAATAAGATAAAAAGTGTTTGCAAGGGATGTAATTTATTTAGTTATAATAAAATTATATTTATATGGGTTCGTGCAATTAATGCGTTTAAAGGCAAGAACCTTAGTAATAAGTAACCGTATAGTACAATACTGTGAATTTATAACAGCACAATCATTAAATGGCGATAAGAATTTAGACAGCATATCGAGCATATATTTGTCGATAGATATTTAAGTAAGTGTTTAAGTGTGAGGAGTAGATAAGAATTGGCGAAGAAAAGATCAATGAATCAAAAGAGAAGTAATTCAACTGATGACTGTTTAATCGATCATCGTACAAACTCCTATTCACCAAGAGTGAATCCTCATGATGGCCGTAATGTGTTGCCTATGATCGACTAAAATGCCAAAAGGAAGAGTCTTTCTCATTTTGGAAGGGAGCATAGTGCAAAATTATAGCCAAAGGAATCAGATTCTCTGGATGATGGCCAATCTGATTAAGTTGAGCAAACTCCATTATAATAGAGTTCGTCTCCTCCAAACAAATCTTTGCGGTCCTCATTGAACCAATCTAAGAAAATTCAATCGTTCAGATTTCGATGTGTGTTGACTCATGAAATATTGGAACCTCGGGATAAGATTAAAATATAAACAAAAAATACAAGAATAAAGTTGGATGCTATCAAGTTAGTAGGAGGAAACATTTATATTGGAGAATGGTTGGATTAGGTGCCAGATGGCAAAGGAAAATATACTTTCTCTGATTAATCCTTTTACTAAGGTGAATTCAGTAAGGGTTGTTTACATGGTCGAGGGGAGTTCAAGAGCAAGGAGGGCAATACATATAGAGGACAATGGCATAATAATAGAATGTAAGGCTAAGGGATTTACACATACAATAATGGTTGTAAATACGAAGGTATTATTTGTTAGAGACTTTTAGGCAATTGGGAGAGAGATCTACCCAACGGAGAAGGAATGGAATGGTATGCCAATGGATCTGTCTATGTGGGGAGCTTTTAGAACGGAGAAAAACATGGACTAGGAAAAATCACTTTCATCACTGGTGAGGTCTATGAAGGAGAGTTTGAGTTTGATGATTTTAATGGCAGAGGAGTTTATGTAATTTTGACAGTAGATTTATCTAGAGATGGCAAGATGGTAGAGTATATGATGGAAATTGGATTGATGGCAAAATGAATGGAAAAGGTAGGTTGACTTGGCCTGATGGAAGATATTATGAGGGAGAATATATAAATGATAAAAAAAATGGTTTTGGAATATTTCTATTTGCTGATGGTCGTAAGTACATAGGGTTATGGAAACAAGGACTGTAACATGGAGAGGGTGAATTCTTTAAAGGTCTAGGGCAAGAATCTACCAAAGGCATTTGGAAACATGGAAAACTAGTTAAACTTCTATGATCTTAACTGCTATAAATTTTTCTTCTTTTTTATTATATTGAGAATCTATTTTTGTATTAAATCACTTAAGAGTTGTTACTCTCTTTAAATACATCCTTTATTTATGTTCATTTCAATAATCATAAGTTAAGTCGACTTTAGAATAATAGAATTTTTTTTATTCTAATTTATTTTGCTATGTGATAAATGGTTGTTCTTTCCCAAAGCGTAACTAACATATGTCTATTATCAATTATGTATGGATAAAATATTGAGTATACAAATTTTACATATAAAGGCAGTTTTGATTAAACAAAAGAACAATGAAACCATGAAAGTTTATGTATATTATTATATTATCATGTTAATAATTTTCCCAAATTGATTTCATGAGTGTTCCAATTATTACCTAGTTTATTAATGTAACCCTAAGACGAGACTTCTAACTTAGTTGTTCAAATTCAAGAGGAATGCAAAATTGAGATTGATTTCACATAATAAAGAAGAGAGCATTACAATGTATTATCAAAGCGAGAAAAAGATTAAGCAGTATAAATGCTTGGACCTAATCCTTTGTATGATGATTTTAAGAGGGTAAGCTAGGCAGTTGGAACTACCATAAAAAACCTTAAAAGATGGAAACGTTGTGGTACGGAGAGAAAAAAAGGTTGCGGTCGTAAAAAGCTTAATCCTCATGCTGAGAAGTAATTGATTGAATGGGTTATACAGAGAGTTCACTCAACAGGCCGAAAGATCTCCAGACAGGAATTAAGATGCAAGGCTCTATAATTATTCAAAAATCAACATTTTTGTGCATCCAAGGGATATCTGGATAAATTTGTTAAATCCTACTAATTAAAACAAAGGATGAACGAGTAATATATAATATATATAAGGATAGGATCTTAAAAAGCATTGGAAAATTAAACACTAAGAACTTCTCTAAAAATCTATAATAAAATGACATCAAAATTGAGGAAGAACCACAAGCAGATACAGTTAAAAAAGAAGAAGAAGATGATATCAAAATAGAAAATCTTAGTTTACAACCCAATAAAAGTTGCTCAGCATTTTAAACCTAATGAATTTGTTTTATATATTGTTATATATCTCATTATTGTTTCTTTAAAGAAAAAAAAATTGTATTATTTTTTACTTTAATTTAAGCCTTGAATTTTCTTTTATAAAATGTCAATCAATAATTAAAATATTTACTAGCAATGTAATTGGTTGAGATCAAATTCACAATCTGAAATCCATTTTAGAGATTGGATCAGCTTTAAATAATTTACTAGCTTTGGGCTAATATGATAAATAGATTGGGCAAATAAAACTAAAATTTTGATGTAATCTAAATAGTCAATATTATGAGTTTATAATATTATTATTAATATTTTGATTAGATCAATCAGTAACAGTGGCAAAAGTCTTATAAATTTGAATATCAGTCAAATTACGACTGTGCCTTGCAACACTCTATCTTTTTAATTTGTCAGCTAATTTAACTTTTTCACTCTCTTTTTTGATCTATTCAACTTATTATTTGAGATTGAGAACCATTTTAGGTGATGCAGCAGGTTTAATTTAAACAGGAACTTATTATTTAGAAATTCTTTCTGTTTGTGCCTCATATTAACTTAATTCTTATGCCTTAGATTGATTGAGCTCTATGATTAAGAAATCACTTTTAACAAAGCCTGTGTAATTCACACCTCCAAAGATATATAATTTATCATCAATGGCAGCAGCAGAATGACTACATCTTCCCAAAGTAGAGTACCCTCTAACATCTACTTAGGTCCATGAAAAATTTCTGATTTCTAAGATATGCAAATCATTCAAAAATCCTTAAACGTTGATATCATCATTTTTGCCACCATAAATGACAATTTATTTTGATTAATCTACGTATGTCATTGAATGTTAACATCTGCTAATTGGAGCACTACCTTTTGATTGAACTTCCTCAATGAACAAAGGTCTTCTTCTAACATCTATCCTAATGAGTTTGTCTAAGTAATGTCCATTAGAGTTTAGTCCTCCAAAGATGTAAATGCCTTGGTTTTCAAAACTTATATCAGGATCATGTCTATAAAGATCAATAGATTTATGTTCTAAAGCAGAACAAGATTTATGGAATGCGATTCCATCTTAAAATACTGGAGCATTAATTTCTACGTTTTACCATCTCTATGTTACAATATCATAAGCAATGAAATCATTCAAATAATGACCTTTCGAATCTATGCCTCCTTAAACTAATAGATATCTCCCAACAACTTCAGCTATGTGTGCCTTCCTTGGAGAAACAATACCAGCATGTTGTACAACCTTCACATCATAATTTACTAAATTAATATGAGTGACTTCATTGGTTACTTCACACTGAATCCTATCTTCCTTTAGAGGCGAGTATTAAATACCACCAAAAATGATTAGCTAACTTTTATAGACATTGGCAGTATGGTATGATTTACATAATACTAACTATTTTAATTTTATCGTCGTCCATTTATAGAATTCTAAGATAACATAACTCTATTATTATACATTTATCGAATGTTGCTTAACAGAGATCACTAATATGGCCAGCTCCTGATCCTCCATAAAGATATAGTTTCTCATTATAATTTACCATAGCACTACTCTCTCTAGATGAAGGATTCCAACTATTACTTTAATTGCTGTAAATATAAACAACAATTTTCTTGACTTCATTAATTAATCTAGATTTTGTAAGTTCAATTTATTATTTAATTAATTCTGTTTCCTAACGAACAAGTTCTTAACTACACCCCATTTGCAACTATCTTCTAATCTATTGCTAACGGAATTAGTCTTTGGTTGAGATAGATGGGTATGATTTGATTCCCTAAGTTTCAAGATGTATTTTTTGGTATTCTTTATTTATTCCATCCAATTGCAACTTTAATTAGAGTTCATTTTATTTCTTTATTCGATAATAGGCATCTCTGTTATGCAACAATTCCATTTTCTTGGAACTATTTTTTTTTTCAATTGGACTTGCTGCAAATAAAGCCCTACTAAAATTATTCCACATTATTTTCGATTAATGAAGGGATCTTTATAACTCATCTATGGCATCTTAATTAAGCTGTTTGAATGAAATAAAGTGAGAATTGTCACCCTCTGGATGCTATTGGAGTAATTCTTACCCAGCTTCCTAAACAATTTATTAAAAGGATTCGAGAGGAAGAGGACTCATAATAGCCTTTTTCTATTTGTACTTTTCCAGAATATCAACAATATTAAGAGAATTTCTAGGAGATGATTCCAAACTACTCATTTTTTATAAATAATATCATTTTTTCTTCTCCTACTATTATTGTCCAACATTAAGATCTCTTAGCACAACTACTTGATTAGTAGCTCTGTTATATTCCCACCCTCCAAATATCAATATGTGTGGACCAATCGAAGTTGCAGTATGACCATATCTATTTCTCGGAGCATTCCCCTCATACTTGGCCTTCTCCCAACACATTTTCTCAGTGTTCAACACAATCAAGTAATCGATGTCTGGAGGAGTAGCAAAATTATTTTCACTAACAATATATAAATAGAGAACCTTCTGGCTCCTGAATTCAAGGACCATCCCCCAAATACCACAATATCAGCACCACTGACATTAGCAGAGTGTCCATATCTAGGAGCAGGAGGAGTTCCACTTACTCTTAGCCTACTCCATGCAAAGTGTTCAGTATCGAGAATTCTGATGTCATTCAAGTAGCAGCCTCTTAGATGGGATCCATGTCTCGGATTGGCTGTCTTAGGTAATGTCTTAAGAGTTTTATCTTCCTAATAGTAGAAACCTCCTTAAATGATTAAATTGGCTCCCACCTATATGGCTGTGTGTCCTTAACGAGGAGTGGGAGAAGGACCTGTACAGGGTGGTTGAGACCAAGCCATTACTTCTAAGTCTAGGACATAAAGATCATTAAAATAATCAATTCCATTCCAACCCCCAAATATTATCATTTTTGTAGAGGCATACTATGATTAGTTCGGTTATTATAAATACCAAAGTAGCAGAATGAGCAAATCTAGCACTTGGAGAACCAGATCCTTCAGGTCCTTAATACCAAGTTAATGTTAATGGATCAAGAGCATGTAAGTCTCTAAAGACGCATTTTTCTCCCTTTCCTCCAAATATAATAATTCTTTGTCCTGCCAAAACTGCAGAATGAGCATATCTGGGAGCAGGTGGAGTACCTTAAACTTTGGCTTTAAACCATCTATTTGCATTCACATCCATCTAATATGTGTCATTCAAATATTTATATCCCTCATCCTTATTGGCATAATAATGTCCTCCAAACAATATAATAGAAGCTCCACTCAATGTTGCTGAATGACCACCTCTAGCACAAGGAGGAACTCCCTCTATCAACGGTTCTGCCCATTGCCACTTTCTTTAATCAAACGGTTGATATTTAAAGCCTACTTAATCGAATATATTACTTTATTAGTCATCCTATTGTTCCTCTGGCTGGTACTCTTAATACTCTTCTTGCTGTTACATATCTTACTCTTCATCATCATAATATTATTATCCTTCCATGTCACCATCTTAACCATCCCCTTAATCTTAATCTTCATCATATTGTTCTATATTATTTCCTGAGTATTACGAGTCTCTATCTTCAGAATACATTATTAAATTTGAATTATTATATAATATATTGATCTCACAAAAATAATTCTTCTTCTCTTTTTATCAAATTGCTTGTAAGATCAATCAGATTAAGAACCTTATTTACATTGTCTCCCCACTCTTATAAAACATCATTTTCGTTCTTTTTTAACTAGTAATCAACTATACCCTAGATCCTATCGATTTTACATTTCAATAACTAGTTTAAATTTCATTCTCATACTTTCTAATCCATCATCAAACAAATTTCTTCTTCTAACTCTTAAGTGCTAATTTCTATTAATTCTGTTATTCTATTTAAATAAATCGAATCATAATAAATCTAAAATATTCTCAAATTGTGATGAATCAATTATCTCCTAAAATCTATAAGTAATTTGAATAATGCTATACCAACAAATCTTTGCTAATTGTTTTCAATGTTCTCATCAAATATCTCAACAGCCTGAACATTGTGACTTTAAGGGGAAGTGCTAATCAATTCTGTACCCAAAAAGGCTTAAATTAATTAATTCATATTGGGCAATGCTTCAAGAGCATACTTATAGGTGGAAACAATGGATTGCAATTGTTTTTACTAAAATATCTATTGATCTGAAATACCTTCTCCTCAGAGTATTAACTCAAAATAGTATACATGGCATAATTTTCTAAGATTGTATTGTAATCAATTCTAAAATTGAAATCCACTTTGGTTGCTTCCAATTATCTATTTTTATGCAATGACTCAAGTATTTTTGAATAGGCATGAGCAGTCTCTTTGTAATTATTTTCATGTCTATAATAGATAACTAGGAATGAGTAATAGATAATCTTAAGATCTGCAATATTATCATCTTCGATATTTTTGGGTTCAATCTTTTTGGAGATGATGAACAGTCTAACATAATCTAATTTCTTGATCATGATTTTCATTTGATAGAGGATGAATTCCAATTTTTCTCTTTTATCCATAGATCCATAGGTTTCAACCTAGACTTCCTATAATATTTTGGCTGCATCAGCAATTTGATTGTCATCCTCTTTGTATTGAGTGAGCATCAAGACGCATCGAGCATATTCTACTTCTAAGTAGATCTTCTTTTCGCACACTTTCATGATGGCATCAATCATCTCCAATTTCTAATTAATTGGGAGTGTCTTTAATTCAATCATAGCCATTTAAACAAGTTCAATTTGTGCTTTTTTTGGTTGTCCTCTCTTCTTACTGAGAGCCACTATCAATTCATTGAATTTTGAGTATTATTTAGTATCAAAGCAGAGTTTGGCAATTTACTTGGTAACCTTCAGTGTTTCGACGAGATTGTTGGCCAATCGAGCTGTCTTTTCTTTGTTGAGAAGATCTTCTATTTGCTTGTCGAATTCATTCTCTTCAATGATCATTTGGATTTTAAATTTAATTTATTCAATACCAATCTGAATGAATTATTTTAATAATGATCTATGAAGGCAAATAATCCATCTTCAGCCATCAAGATTAGTATGCTTTGATCAGACTAGTGAATTCAGAAGATGATGCAACCACTAAGAAACACGAGGAAGGCAAGATAACCTTCACATTAAAATTGGCCAAATACTTATCAACCTCAGGAATAGGCGATTATTTGGATAGCATAAATGTTGTTCTGAGCTTCCTCTTACCAGTACTCCATCTGATAGACTGCTCCTCATGGGAACAGGGTGGAACTTTTGATGTCGGAGAAGCCTAGCCGTATATAACTGTAAATTCAAATGAATATACGTTCTTAGATTCCGGAATTGATCTGTTACATCTATTTCCTTCTTGATTTTGCCATTAACTTCTACCTTTCAGAAAATAAATTGTTCTTCACTTTCCAAACCACATCGTTAGTCGAATATGTTTCAATATTCCCATCCTTACTTGCGAGATTGAACATAATCACTGGTTACAAGTACATTTACTTGTTGAGAGTTCTGCGATTTTTATTGTGCTACAAGTTGGATAAGGTGTTACAGCGTTAATCTATGGAAGGTAGTAAATAGATTTGATTTAGAGTGTTTAGGCTAGCTTATAAACCAATAGTAACAGTGATGGCAATCATAATCATCAATTCTTCAATACTATATGTCGTAGAGTAGGATTATTCAATTGTTGAGTACATCTATTTTATGGTGGTTACCATTTCCACCGTCGGTTTCGGTGATGTGTATCCGACAACAATTTATGGAAGATTTTCAATTATTGTTGCAATACTCATTATGTTCTTGGTGTTGCCAACATAAGTAGAAATGCTTACACGAGTTTACAGTTTGCGAAGTCAGTTCGCTAGAAACAAATACATTTCAAAAAAAGAATAAGAGCACATCTTGTTGCTGGGATCCTCGTAGGTAGAAGGATTCAAGACCTTTTTGAATGAGCTCTATCACAGTGATCATGGTTTGAATGATACCAACACTGTCATCCTGCAACCTTCAGCTCCAACCGAAGAAATGACTCTTTAACTTAAACAACCTGCTTTGTCCGAGAAAGTGATCTATTTGGAAGGACATCCACTATAAAATAAAGACTTGGAAAGGTGCAGTTCCAAAGATTGTAATTGTGTGATAGTTTTGGCTAATAAGACAAGTCGCACTCCCAAAAGGGATGATTATCGCAACATCATTCATGCATTTGCTGTCAAATAGTTTGCAAAAAAATAAAAATCCAGAAAGGGAGCTCGAGTTTGTTTGTAGGTCTTGCAACCATCAAGCAAAGATTTGTATTTTAATTCTTTAGGTGGCCATGAGACAGACTAAGTCATTTGTGTAGACGAACTTAAACTCTATCTTTTGGGAAAGACTTGTCTATGTCCTGGGATCAACACTTTGATTTCTTTTTTAATCCAGTCATCAAAGCCTTCTTATGATACTACCAAGTATGACAAGAACAAAGGGGAATGGATTGATGATTACTTATGTGGAATGCAAAATGAAATTTATAGAGTTCCTTTGGAGTCTGAAGCATTTGTGGGCCTCACTTTTAGTTAAGTAAAAATCATACTCATCTTAGATTTCGTAAGCTATTTACAAAGAATTGAATATCATCTTGTTTGCCTTGGAAGTTGAGTTAGAATCAGGAACAAGTGTATTTGTGAATCCAGCAGATTATCTATTTGAAGATTACTTACATTATGGCTATGTTATAGCCACAGAGATGCCAAATATCGAGAAGATCCAACAGACCAAATTCCCTGAATACATTTAAAAGAACTATTGCTTTCCAAATGTGCAAAGATAAGCTAATAATAAAAATGCTCTTCAGTAGGAGGCAGAATACTTAAAAGAGATATTGAGTGAAGGCATTAAAGATGATAGTTAGAAACATACATCCTATTATTAAGTCAAGCCACAGACTATTACAACTGGACTTCCAAAGGTAGGGGATTAAGACAAATTCGAGAATCACTTTATTGTTTGCGGGGTTGTTTCAGATATGAAATATTTGATGATGCCTTTGAGGGCGAGATCACTCAAAAATATACAACCTATAGTTATTTTAAATTAAGATTTGATACCAACAGAAATCCAATTACAAATTAATAAATTCCCTAAGGTGTATTTTTAATAAGGATCTCCTTTGAATACAGAAGATCTCAAAAAAGCTTGTATTTAAAAAGCATCAGCTCTTGTGATTTTGTAAAAATCAGCTGATTAAGAGGAGGGAATTTCAAATATAGTTGATGCTGACACAATATTTATTTATAAAACTGTGAAACTTTTAAATTCGAATATCAATATAATCACTGAACTAGCTTCAATTTCGACAATATCATTTTTGTAGATCTCAAGAAATAATTACGTTTAAAAATATGATTGGTCTGTAAGTGAACCATTCGCTTCAGGGGAAATTTACATTTCTACAATGCTTGATACTCTAATTTGTTAGGCCTATTATAATCCATTTATTACCAGCATTTTCGATTAGATGATTTTAGGAAGTGCCTCCATGAATAAGAAAGTATATTAATAATTCATATTTCTTAGAATAAAAAACTCTATCAAGCATGCAAATTATAGCAGAGCAATCTCTTTTTGATAAATATCCCACCTAAATATTTAGAGAAAACCTTTGGTGAACTCTTTGAGATCCTTCTCACAGAACAAAAAATGATTCCTATAGGACTTTACAGAGGAGAGAAAGTTAAAAACAACAATAAACCTTATGTATTTCTTAAACCCCCCATGGACGTTGTGCTCTAAAGCAAGGATAGGGTATATGTTTTAAGTGCAAAACAACCGAAAGAGCTTGAAACTATTATTGATAATGAACCTATTTAAAGATAGGAGAATGCAGCCTAATATTTTAACATTAAATCTAAATTGTAAGGAGAAGAAGGTAGAGTGGACATTGAGTTTTCGAGAGAATTAATGAAATTTAATGATAAAATGAAAAATTTTAATAACGAATTGATAAAAATTAATTAAAACGTCTTTAATCAAGGCTTAATACATGCTGGTAAACATGATTCATAATATTCTTAGAATTCATTTCGACAGTTAGGTCAACATTAAAAGGAGAATTAGCCAATCTGAACCAAGCAGTATGATATGTTAAGTTATTTTTAATGACTAATATATATATATATATGTATCTATAAAGTAAAGCATTTATCATTTTTATACACTGGTTAATATTGAATAGATGGCATTAATATGACAAAATGTTTGCTTTTACAAGCTTTTTATGATGAATTCCCTTTAATAACCAAATTATTCAATTTGTGAAATCACTCTTAAATCTAAATTCGTACTGTTTGGTTGTTGTTTTTATTATTTAATATTTATCTCTTTCAGCCATTGATGATTCATAATTTCAGTTAACGTTATTCTTAGTTTTGGATTAACATTCAACATCTATTTAATTAAATCTATCATTTAAAATAAATTAGTTACCAACTGAATCGTTTGATAAATTTTGTTTCTTCATCTCAATGAAATTTAATTGCCCATTTTAAATGTTATGATTCAATTCATTCATATTGTTTCCTTTGAAAGGCACCTTACCAACTAACAAAATGTAGAGAAGAACTCCAGCACTCCAAATATCACTAGCAAATCCCTCATATCCAATTTTACTGAATATTATTTCAGGTGCTAAATAGGCTGGTGTCCCACATTGTTCTAATATTTTCTGCCCCTTTATAATCTGTCTACTAACTCCAAAGTCACATATCTTGATCAAATCTCCTTAAAGTAAGATATTGTCCAATTTGATATCTCTGTGTAAGATATTATGACTTTGGAGAGTTTAAAGAGCCAATGTCAATTAAGCAAAGATATTTTTGGCTTAGATTTCTGGGATGGGTTTCTCTTTGGTCCATTTCATCAAATCCCCACCTTCTACATACTCCATTATGATGTAGATTTGTTTTTTTGTTTCAAATACTTCATATAATTATGCAAACTATTTGTATTGGGATAAAATTTTCATAATTGTTATTTCCTAAAATAAAATCGCATTTTTACTAACAACAATCTTTTTTTAGCACTTTCACTCTTCAAAGTTGATTTTTCAATTATTTTCATGGCTACTTTGGCACCTGTCAAAATCTGTATTCCTAAACACACTTTAGCAAAGGCTCCTTTGCCTATCACATAGCAGAGCTACCTTACTAAGGTTAGAGATTCGGTACCTTATAAAAATCAGGCGTTGAGGGAGGAATTCGCTTCTTAGTCTTTATCGTATGAGCGATTCTATTTGCCAATATTACTCTCTCTTTCATCACTTCTTCATTTGTTGGAAAGTGTATTTCAGGTAATTGCAGAAAAAAATCCTAACAATCAAGCAATTCAGTTTCCATTCTCCCAAAATCTGGAAGCATTTTCGGAAACGACTCTTCTTTGCTTATTTAGCTACTTGATCTAGATTTTTAAGTAGTCTATTAACTGCGTGATGTCGCATTATTCCCGAGATCAATTTTTATCTTTCCTAATTTAGATACCTATTTTGTATTTGACATTGATGTCGTTTCAGAATTCTTTACTGGCACAGGCAACCTAATAAAGTTATTCTAATTATACTACTTAATGGCTGGGCATTGTTTGCTTACAGATCTAGACCTATCTGTTGAATTCTTGGATACTTGGTTTGAAATACTTCTAGAGCGTGTATTAGTAGATTATGTGTTAAAATTGATGCATTTAACAGAGATATGTTTTTTCAGTTGATTCATTTTTTATAACAGATAAATTTTAATTATTCTCAAAATAACAATAAATCAAGCCCAAATACTACGCAAATCAAGAATCCATTCAATCCTTTAGTCTTAGACCAACCACAAAGATTATAACACTCCATTAAATCTTATAATTCAAAGGTCACGGTAGATAATGTACTATTTAATAATGGTTCTTTGCAGTTCTTAAATGAAAGAGTTTAATTATAGCAAATCTCAAATCTTCCATAATTACCAAAACAATCTTCATTGTGTTTACATGCAACAATCTCCTCTGCACAATTTGTATCAACACAATTTTAAGCATCTTCTTGGGGAACAAACTTTTTTAAATTTGATGAACTCAAACCAGAAGTAGTACCTTCATCTGTTACTTTGACTACATCAGGTTCATACTGATCAATGTAATCAGCATCGTCTTAGCCTAACTAACAAAAGGTTTATTAAAAGAACAAAGCAATAACAAGAAATTAAAGCATTTATATAAATTACATACATATTTGAGAAATAAAGTTCAAAATCATTTTATCAAAAATTCTTATAATTCTTTCAAATATTGCATTGTTTGTGAGTATTGATCTTTTATGGTCTCTATTTCTTCAAATAAATTATTAAAATAATCTTCTCGAATTACCTAAGTAAATATATAATTGCATATGTACTTAATTGACAGATTACTATAATTAACTAAAGTCATTCATTTATTAATTTAATAAGTCATGAGTTCGTTGCAAATTATAAGTAAGATTGTCAGTTTTTTATTTCAATACTTCTACTTCGGTTAGATTATCTTTAGACGTTATTCGCTCAATTTTTTTTTAGATTTGAATTGATACATCCAAAAATGACTTTAATGATTAATCAACCTAATAATCCATTTTCATGATACATGCTAATTATATTCTATAATTCTTTTGTCTGTTTAATTCTTATGGGATTGAAAGGCTTCATCCAGTTATTTCAATTTCAATTCAAATTTCCCTATTCTTTACAATAGCAAGGTGAGTTTCTCTTAAATTCCATTAAAGTAATCTGCACTTGATTTATTGTTTTGTTAATACTATCTGTTTGTTTTTTCACTAAGTTAATTTAATATATATACCTCAATTGTAATCTTTCTTCAATCTATTCAAATCTCCTTTCAAATTCATTAAGCAACATAACCAAAGCTGAATCATTGTTATTACTCTGATATTTAGAGGCGTTATCCCTCATAGAATCATATGATTTTTTTTAGCACTCCTCCATAATGCTATTCTTTTTTGAATTAAACCTATCATTTTCAATAGATTATAAATTAAAAGATATGCTTTAATTTTATGTTTTCATAGGTACTGCATTTGCCTCAATTGAATTAGTGAGTAAATATTAATCATTATAACTCTCATTTTAAGCTAATTATTTTTCAATCAAGAGTAATTTTTCATCTAAAGTTCTGTTGTTCTGGTTCTAGTTTTCCTTCTGGGTTCTTCTATTAATCATTCTAAATTCATCGATGCTATTAGCTCTTTAATTTATTTTTGACATATTTGAATTTGAATACTTATTAATTTATAAATTTTTTAATATTAATTATCAAAGGCATAATTTTATTCGAAAGAACTTTTTATTTAAAAAAAATAAAAAATACATAATTTTTATTTTTGAAGATGATAAGAAACAGTAGTTCATATAGCATTTAGGAGTCAACATACCAAATTTAAAAACCTAGTTCGAATTTAGACATGAATTGTACCAATAAACACTTATAAAAGCTTCAATGTGTTTAAGTCAAGAATTCTAATAAAATAGATCATTGAACAAATAATATGCCAATAGATTTTTAGGTGAATGGCATGAGGAGACCTATCGGGTAACGAGAAAATATGTTCCTTCCCAGACAAAAGGATTAAATCTGTATACAACCTATTGCACCCCAGAAAATCCAATTGCAACAATAGTAATACTTCACGGGTATGGAGATCATTCTGGTAGATACTTTCACGTAAGATAAGCCATCATCATTAGGTTGCAGATGAATATGCGAAATATGGGTTTTAAGTCATTTTATATGACTAAAGGGGATTTGGTAATTCAGGTGGCATCAGAAGCCATGCAGATATCAAATAAATGCATTAAGATCTAGAATGCATTTTAGAAACAATAGAAAGATCCTAATCAATATTTTTATAATGCTAATCTCTAGGTGCTGCGGTTGGATTAAGTTTCTGTATTGCAAATCCGTCAATTATCCTCTAAGGAGTCATAGTAGTAAATCCATATCTTTAATTTGCCGAAAAATATGGATTTTTTAAAAGGATGTTGCTTACTGTAATGAATAAGATAATTCCTGTATAATTTCTAAGTTATTTTAAGGGTCTCATGGTTAATTCCTATATAGATTATGGCCATTGCAGTAAAAACAATAACATAATCAAGAGTGTTGCTGAGGATAGTCTTGTACAACCCTTTATGAGTATTGGAATGGCTTATAACATATTGCAGTTGGATTCTTATATATTACCCAATGCTAACTAGTAAAACATTAGAGTTATTTAAGATTCACTTAACCTTTATTGATTTTACATGGGAAAGAAGACAAAGTGGCCAGTCATATGAATTCAGTAGAATTATATCGTGAAGCAGGATCGAAGGACAAGACATTAAAATTATTTGATAAAGGATTCCACGAACTCCAGAATGATGTAGAATTTGAAAGAGTGAAAAACGTCATCCTCAATTGGTGTTAAAAATAAATTAACAAAGATAAGAGAATTAGTATTATATCAAAAACATATTTTAGGTTATTTAAGAGGGCTAAGTCATGGTTTAATTGCCAAGAACAATAATAGTTCGAAATTCTTAGTTCTTTCTTGGATTTTTATATATTTCATGTTAAAAAAGTAAAAATTTGAAGTATTTATTAGTAAAATGAAAAATCTTGGAAAAATTGCTAAATCTATTTGTATTTTAGCATTGATGATTGCATCTCTTATTGTTCGTATTAGATGGTGATTATTGTTTAACAAAATTTTAATTTAATTTAATTTAAAAGTATATCATATAAATTGTTTTATAATTCCTTTTACACTCATGCATTTCACTAAAATCTAAAAGAATTCAATAGCAGGATTCTATTGCACACATGTACAATACTTGTAAAATTTTATAATGATTGAAATAAAATAAAAATGAGAATGCATTAAATAAAATTTCATTTAATAAGTTGCAATTCCTTTAAATTAATTATAATTACCAAAAGAGAGCATGTTAATAACAATTATTATATGTTTTTTTATTGAAGATTTTTATGCTCCAAAAACTAACAATAAAATTCTTAAGAATTATGTTTAGTTTAAATGATTAGAATCAATAGAGGAATTTATTATATATTTAAGATTCTATAAAACCTATTGAAGTGACGAAACATGTAAAAATATTCTACTCTCTTAATATATTTATAATTCTAATTCATTTTAATTTCAGAATTGCATATCTCTTAAATAGATGATAAAGTTTTTATTAATAATAGTAGTTTATCTCATTTCTATTGGTATAGATAATAAAGAAACTTTAATGCTAAAATATTATTTTGCTTTTCTACTCTTAGGAGTTCCATAATGCCTCCTATTTGAAATAAATTATATCGATAGTTATGAGTATCTGTAAAATCAAATTTATACCCCATAATTAGGCAATTTTTTATAAAATAATTAGCAACTCTTATGTTTAATATTCCTTTGGTTATTTATACTTTAATAATTATTAATTTCTATTAGAATCAGTTTATATCATAAAATGTTATAGAATGATTGTTTAGAAAATGAAGATCCATAGAAGGAAGAAAAAGAACAATGTATGATTTGCAGAAATATGATTTTGAAAGCTGAATTAAAATAACATTAAATGAACTGCATGAATACTTTGTCCTTAACTGATTAGGAATTCTTGGATGAATAATTAGCTCAATTAATTAGAGATTAGAATTTTTTGTCTACTATCTTTACAACTAAAAAACCCAACGATAGCCAAAACGAAGCTCAAATTGACCCTACTCAATAATAAAAAATAATAGGAGTGGAGATAGAATAAAAATAAGCATAAAATCAGAAATAAAATGACAACATAATATAAAATGTTTTGGAATCCAATAAAATATCTGAAAAACAATTTAATGTAATTCTTTTTTTATTTTAAGCGATAAAAGAATGCTGATTAAAATGAATAATTTTCATAGAACATCCATTTAGATGATATTTTGATGATATAATCATAATAGTAATAAAAAGAATAATAATTAAAATAATAGTAGTAATAATAGTAATAAAAATAATAGTAGTAATAATAATAGTAATAACACTAGTAATGTTAATAGTAATAATAGTAGTAATAATAATAGTAATAATAATTGTAATAATAAAAATAATAGTAATAATAATAATAGTAGTAATAATTTTAATAATAAAAATAATAGTAATAATACTAATAATAATCATAATAATAATAGTAGTAATAATAATAGTAATAATACTAATAATAGTAGTAATAATAAAAGTAATAATACTAGTAATAATAATAGTAATAATAGTAATAATAATATTAATAATAGTAATAATAATAGTAGTAATATTAGTTGCAGTAATAATAATAATAATAATAATAATAATAATAATAATAATAATAATAATAATAATAATAATAATAATAATAATAATAGTAGTAATAATAATAATTGTAACAATAATAAGAGGTAGGCGATTTATAAAAGAACACTTCATAGAATAAAAAATATGAAAAGCCATAAAATGATTTAATGCTATAAGATGAAAGTAAATAATTATAAAATGATCAATTAAAATAAGTAAATTCATAACAATAAAAACCATAGAATAAACAATAAGAAAAAAAATTTGAGAAGAAGTAAAAACTCAACTTTGGAAACTAAACTATATAAATTGAGCCGAACTTTAATTAATTTGAAAATAAAGATAAAATAAACTATAAAACCGCAAACAAAGAGAAGATTGATTTGAGGAAAAAAATTGATCAAACAAATTTGTAATCTTATGAACCAATGCTCTTAGCGGCAGAATAAATTAATTCAAAGAAAGAGAAAACTAATACTGAAAAACAAAATAGTGTAGATGGTGGAAAATAACAATAAATACCAAATCCTATTCCTATTCCTTAAGTTAAACGGACACTCTAACTATAAAATTAATATATATCTATGAAATATGAAATATAGAGACCATAGACTGTAAATAAAAGCCCTATAAATTATGAATAATAATAAAGATTTGTATAACCACCTTTTCCACTTTATAGCATGCAATAATAATAGCAACCAAACTAGAAAAAGTTCGAATACATACCTGGTATGAGACTAACAAATTATTAAGTCAATTAGTTAAGTTAGGAAGATGTTTATGAGTATTTCACTAATTTAGCATTAGAGGAATAGGTTGGATACTAAAGTAAAATCTTCTAGTTAGAAAAAAAAAAAGTTTAAATTAATGAAGTTGGAAGTTGCCCAATCTGTATGGAGGATATCTAACCTTCGAAAGAACCAAATGATGTGTAATTGGATTGTAAACATTAGTTTCACTTTGATTGCATTAAAAGATGGCTTTAAACTTAGAAAAATTGCCCGATCTGCAAGAATCATGTTGATTTATGCTTCACATGAATAAATTGATAAAAAATATCTTGCTTATTATTTTAAACATTATTTCACAAATATGACGTACATTAATTTATACAAATTGGTTCACTATTTTGAATAAACAAATTAATAATATAAATTTTGAAATTTAGATATGCAATAGATTTCCCCTGAGGTTGAGCAACATCTTTCTGAATTATTGAAGCCTGTTCTTGAAAGAGTGGAAGAATTAAAAATTAGAGATCAATAAAATGAAGACTAAATCAATTCACTTGTTGAGGAATTGACTTAATTAAGACACTTAGTTAACTCTCTTAAGCCTTTGAAATCGGAGGAAGAGAAAAGTACAATTCATAATCAATATTATTAGAATAAATAAAGCAAGAATAAAAGAAAGATAATAATGGAAATCATGGTAAGCAATATTATTATAAATTCAATTTTATTAGAAAACAAAAAACCTGATCGTCCTTAAACTGGTGTTGTCTAAAAGAATGATTAAAATAAGGTCAAGGAGCCTCGACCTTAAACAGGTCAAAAACCTTTGAGTTAAAGTGTAATTGTAGATAAGACAGCTACAACTGAGGCTGATAAAGGTATTTGAATTATATAATTATATAGTAACATTGAAATCTCCACGAGATTCCACATAAAAGCAACCAAAACCATAAGGATAGCCATAATAGCAACCTCCATAACCTAAACCAAAACCTTAAAATTAGCCTGATTAGAAAGATAAAAAAGATCAAAAGGATACAAAACCTCATGGTTAAGGTAAGATTAAATATAATATTTAAAAGAACAACCTCAAAAATAGGCATAGCCTCCAAAAGATGAAAAAAAAGTAGATAAGCCAAAATAAAATAAATAAAATCCTCCTGTCTAACCAGAGAAAACAGAAAAGCCAAAGGAAGCTCCAAAAAAGTCAGATAAGCCATAAGACTAAAAAGGTAATGGTTCATCAAAAAATCAACCCAAAACAAATGATAAAAAGGCAGAACCAAAATAAGATGATAAGAAAATAGTAAAAAAAGGAAAATAACCAGCTGCTCAAACAGGAGATTAATAATAAACAGATGAACAATTTTAATAATAATAATAGGCTTCTTAAGTCAATTAAGAACCAAATTCAGCTGAAAAATTATCAAAAGAAAACCATTCAGAATAGAATGAGTAATAATAAGAAAACCATTAGGAATAAAATGAATAATAATAAGAAAACCATTAAGAGAACCATTAAGAAAATCATTAAGAAAATGCGAATAATGGATAAGATGTTGAATAGCATGCACAAGAACAACCCTAGGGGGAATAAAATTAATTTTAGAGCCAAGAACACTAAGAAGAATAAATTTAATAAGAAAATTAGGAGAATAATTAACCAAAAGAAGAACCATAAGGTTAAGAACAAGAAGTAATTTGAGCTTATATAAATTATAAGTACAACAATATAATGTCTAAGTATTTTAATTAATTTCTATTTAATCAACTTTAATGTCGAGCCTAAACTAAATTACTCGCTTTTCAGAACAAGAATCTTTAATGGATATAAAATCAGAAGTAAAAGTAACAAGTAAATTAGTTCATGAGAAGAATCAACAAAAACAATATGAAAATGGAATTATCTGAAAGAAAGCATGATGATGGCTCTTTAGAAAAATCAATCAAAATAACTCCTATGACTACAGGAGACTTCATAGGAATATGGGCTATTGCAATCTTAAAGAGTTTATTTCTAATATGTTTTCTTTTGATGGCCTATGAAATATATTAGGATATTCAAGCTCATATTGATATTTAAAAAACTAAGGTTTTAATAGAAATGAAAAATTGTGCTGCAGAATTTGATTAAAATTAATGTTCAGAAAATTACTTAATTGAATCTATGTCTGAAAAATGCAAGGAATTAGAAATCTGCAAAAATTACAATATAGAAATGAAAGTTAGAACACAATAACTTTGGTTATAAGTCATAGGAAATTCATTTGAAAATATGTTCAAAGCGCTTTCTCTAAAAACTTGTATCATGATCTCTTTTATAAGCATCATAACTAGTATTATATTTATTAAAAATTGATCATTCATTTATTTCTTTATGTAAATAGTCCTTCCACAAAATAATGTTGTTGCTTTTAAATTAAGGATGTACTAAAATTATTCTCATTATGTGTTTGATTTTTATATTTTATCCTCAAAATCAACTAGCAAGACGACTTATGAGAATTCAAATATTTCGAATAAGTATGAAATTGTTATAAAATTCTATTTTTTAGAAGAATAAAATTAAAAACAATCAAAATTAGAAGGAGATTAATTTACCATCTCATATTTTAATAGAATTAAAATTATATAATATTAGCCATTATGTTTATATCAAACAAATTACTTTAAATAATTTCTGTAAGGCACGCTTGGTCTTCTAACACTATGACATAGTAAAAGACTTGCTGTAAGAACATTTAAAGCGTTAAATTGATGGATACTTCCTGAATGAACTTAAACCTAGAATAATAGTGCTGCTTACCTAATTGAGCAACGCAACAATTCCTGTGAGTAGTTAATAATTTAGAACTCCATAAAGGGCATAACACATGTACCTTGCTTGTTTTGGAAGATTGCTCTTATATGCTAAATAAGTAATATATGATCCAAAGGTGTATGTTAAATATGCAGCATTCCTATGGTTGAATTGTACCCTAAAATATAGTTAGCTATTATTACATCACAACATTCTCAAAAAAGTTCTTATAAAATGGTGATGCTTTAAATAAATTGGCTGGAACTATTTATCCATTCATAGTTGGCCATGTATTGAAAACCTTTCCTGCATCTATACCTGCCATAGCAGCTCCAGTTAATAAATTGATGGCAACTAAATGAATCAAACCAATTCCAAGTCCTCTGAATTTAAGGTGTGTTTTATAATTTTCTGGGGTTATTTATAAATGTTGGGGTTTTTTAAAAAGAGTGGCAGCATTCCATATTAAAAGAGAATATAATGACAAAGCCATTGATAAATGCACTGTAAGTCTATAAGTTGAAACTCTGGGCTTTTGTTAATACTCAGGTTTGGGACGATCTAATCCTGATTTGACCATCCACCATCCAATTAAGCCTTATAATAATCCAAGTCCACCAATGGTTCCAAGTCTTTTTGCATACTATGGTTTAATCCATTTCATAGCTGTAAATGCAGCTAAGGGTAATACATAAAGAGCTCCCAAAGTTGATCCAGATACTCTATGTAAGTATTCAACAATAAAGATTTTCTTGAATTTCTCTAAATCAATAGGAGTATGTTAATATTCTGGAAACTGTTTGTAATAGTCAAATTCCTTCTCCCAATCGGCTTGATTTCTTGGGTATGCGTATTCTATTGGTTTCCATTTTGTCATAGATAACCCTAAATATAATTCAACATATATGAACCTGAATGAGTAAGTCTAGTGTATCCACCTAACAAGACCATAAAATACACTCCTCCTGCACAAAGAAGCAACCATCCTCCCAATAGCCATCTTTTTGATGGATCTACCCATTCATTGACTGGGTCTTCGAAATGAGCATTTCTGTCAAATTTTGCATTCTTACTAGCTTCAGCATTCGAGAATTTGTAGAATCTATTATTTTACAGAGGCTTTAGAGTTGTGGTTAAATTTTTGAATGTTCTTATTCTTGAAAATAGCATAAAAATGATATAAAATTAAAATAAAGACTAGATCTGTATTAATAATTAAAAATTAATTATGGACGAGCCAAGCGAACAAGAAATTGACGAACTTTAAAATTAATACTTTCAGGATAAGATGTTTAGAGTTTGTGCAAAAGCTGTTATTAATGATGATGCATATTTTAATAGATTATATGAACCAGAATATTTGCAAGGTTTAGCTGATAGAGCAAAAGACTAAAAGGAGAAGAATGATATTCTTAACCAAAAGAAAAAAGTAGAGTTCAATTAAAATAATGTAAAAGAAATGTTTTATTAATGCTTTAATCGATACTTCTATGTTTATGGTGTATTACAATAAGTAGCCCATGCAGAAGAGGATTGATAATCTAATAAAACTATTAATAATTTAATTATTCTCTCTAAATCATTCACAAGAGCAATCTTAATTCTAATATGCAATATAATTAGAAATCATATATAATAATATATTTTATTCTTTAACAACAATTTTAATACATCTAGATATTTCTTATTATTTGAGTTACTAAGAATTCTTTTTCAATTTCAAATTTTGGAAAAATAATTATAAAATACGCATTACAATTTTGAATGAAATGTAAAAATACTTCAATTTAGTTATCTGATGTTTATTGATTTAGAAAATGACAATCTTATATAATACTAATTTAAACATAATATGTTGAGAGAATTCATTATATTTCACAGACTTTCTTTGAAAATATCAAAAGCTACTGTAAGAACTTTCTTAATTATTAAGGTATTACGTATTGCTCCTTATGTATAAACTAATGATTTATCCTTTTGGTAAGAGACAGCATAACTATTATTTTATTATCTTAGGTAGAAGAACAAAAAGTAAAAGTAGGACATAACTTCATTATTGATATTAGATATAATATAGTTTAAAGAAGTTTCTAATTTAAAGTTAAGATTAGTCAATTCTTCATAGGTCCTATTTTAAAAACATACTTTCTCGTAGATTTTCTTGTAAATTTAGTTTATAAATTAGTATTAATACTATCCCTTTTAATGATCTTATTTATCTTGAATTTCTACAAAATTTTATTTAATATACTTTTGCTTTCCTTTTATCTGTCTAGTTACATTAGGTTGTTGTTGCCAGAATTGGTTTACTATAAGGTAAGTCATAACGAGTGTACCTCAAATTAAATTTAATAAGAATAGAGATTGAATTTTATTATTTCATTTTATAATAATGGACAATGAATTAATAGATATACCAATTGATTATGATGAACCAAAACTAGACTCATAAGAATCATACCAAACATAATTGGAATAAGTGTCTTAAATATTTATACCCACCTCTCCCAATACTCTAAGTTGAATCTTCTGAGAAATCCAATATTCATAAAATCAGCTTCCACCTTACAGAATAAGTCTAGTAGAGCTACACTTAATATTACGAAAATATTTCTTATTAGCTGTGGAGTTAAGTAGAAGAAGAACCTGCTCATACAGTACAAAGAAAATATACACATTTCGAATGGTTGAATGCAGCATTAAAGCGAGAGTTCCCAGGACTTTTAATTCCTGCCATTCCACCAAAAACAGTTTTAGCTAAAATTAATCTAAATGAGCATACTTAATTAGTGAGAGAGAAACGATATAGAGTATTTTATTTATATAAAATGTTAGCAATTGGCAGAATTTTTAAATAAAATCAAAGATCACCCTCAATTGTAAGTTAGTAGTAAATTTCAAGTATTTCTAACAGCATCTTAAGATGTATAAATATATAATAGATTTACAGGTCATGCAATAAGAACTCTTGGAATTGTCATAATATCAAACATATGTCCATCAAATAGGATCAGCCATTGCAAATGCTGGATCAAAGGCATATGATCTTGCCAAAGGATCTTTTAACTACTTAAGCAGCTTCATATACAATGGTTAATAGAATTCCCAAAAATAAATGCAATACCCTGAATTAGAGATTACCCATGAAATCAAGGAATGCTTTGAAAGTTGGGAAGATGTATAGAATTATCTAATTATTTAGTTATTGATTGAAGAATAATAGAAGGTTAAAAGAATATTTGAATACTACTAAAATATTGTTAACATTAAATTAGAATAAAATGATGAAACTAAAAAAGTCATAAGTTCAATGAAGGAACTCGAACTCCCTTAACTGGAAAAGGACATCAAAAAAACTGAAGTTAGTTGCTACCTCAATGAGACGATCTTAAATGATATTAAATTAAGTGTAATCTTCAAATTAGAGGTACATATCTCCTTTTAAGTAGCTCTGTATTTTGGATTTAGATGAAGCCGTTGGAATAATTAGGAGGCGATCTGATTTGATATATTAGATTCAATAATAAATCAAAATGCACAATCAAATTGAATCTTTTAATGGTATTTTGAATTATTTACTCAAGAAAAAATTTAATATAAGGACTAGATCAGAGAGAACCAAAAAGTACTTAAAATCTTAGAATCGAACTTTTAGAAAGATATTACGAGATTTGCTAATTGGCTTAACAATTATCTCTAATAATTAATTAAGAGTTATAATGAATAGTTTTAAAAATTGTATAAAGAATAAAACAAAAATTGGAATGAATGATTATATTTATTATTATTATGAATATTAGATAATTAGACAACATCGTTTCGTGGCTTCTTTCTAAATTCAAGTCTTCGCCCTATAGATGGAACGAATAATAATTGAATTCCTTTTGTGAATCCGTTGGATTGTAATGGGCTGTGTCAATAATAACCGTATATGACTTCATCAATATGTAGGTATAAGCTGCCCCAAAGTAGAGATCTTACAATAACTAAGAGGCACACACTCATGCTAACAAACTATAAATCCCTCTGTTAGATGCCTGTACAAGATAGTATGAAGAAATACTCGAATTGTGCAATGCTTTGGGCATTTATAAATTGATTAGTCATTCTATGGATATCAACCTTTATTATCAGATTTAGAAATTAAAGATATGGTCCCTTATAGTCTTGAAATATCAGCATTATAGAGAAATGTTTAAGAAGCATTATGGATCCAAATTCTTTTCTACTTCTAAATGTAAGAGTTGTACTGCTGAAATCAGTTGTGCATGTCAGATATTAAACAATTTGCTATGTGAAATTGAGATCTACATTAAAAGTATATATGAGCTGCCCAGTACTCAAAATCAAAACAGAAGATGTTCGATGTATATAAGTTCAGACATAATCAATTTATTGTTGAAATCTATTTCGCATCTGCCTTCATATGATTAATAACCTCTATTTTGGGACATGGATGATATTAAAGTTCTATTGCATGTAATTAAATTCCAAGATTATTACTAATTGCTATTCTAAAACTAAATAGACGGATTCATTCTACTAATTTTGGTCAATCCCCCTTTTAAGGGAGACAATTTATTTTTAAAATGTTTATTGATGAGTTAACAAAATTAAACACAGAAATCATAAAACTTACTCTATTAAAATCGATAAAGTATGGTCAGAAATACAATGTAGACAGCAAGCAAGTATCATTAAATAAATTAATTTCTTCATTTATTACATTATTTATTACAGATATTGAGTTTAGCTGCTTACAAAAACTAGGAATCATACACTGAATACAAACAATTGGGATAAAGAAAAGTAAGTCAAATCAGATGGATATCCTTATACTATTTTACAAAAGACTCTCAAGTCGGTTAAGCCAATAGAAAATCAACACTTACTGATTAATTTATGAGATCATCAAAATCATATGGAAATGTTGAAGGCCAAATGAAAAATAGGAATAAAACTGAGACTTTGGATTAATTTGAAATTAAGATTATGGTGACCGATCAAAGTTTAGAATAGATTAAAAAATAGTTTAGTCAGCCTAATGTTACACACTCTGCCTAAACATCACCATATGTTTAGAGAGATACAAATTGGATTAAGTTTAAAAATTAAACTGTTAATTAATTTAATGTTGAAGATAGTGTTAATAATAGAAGTAGTTCATTTTTGATGTATATTGTACTTATAATTATTTAAGACCAGATACTGATGGCAATACAATTGAACAAGAAAGGGATAGACTGAATACAGAAACCCATGTTTAAATTGAAGAAGACATATTATCAGGGAGTAACGTTAATCAGTCATAAGAAGAACAGTCATAATAATTATCTAATTAGGAAGAAGAACAGCAAGAACTTAGTGATTAAATGCAATAATCAGTTGCATTCATGGCATAATCAATATTAATTTAATAATCTTAATTATTATAATAACAATAACAATAATAATAATAATAATAATAATAATAATAATAATAATAATAATAATAATAATAATAATAATAATAATAATAATAATAATAATAATAATAAGATATGGGTGAATCTGTTATATTAGGTTAAGCTACAGTGATGTCATAATCTACAATGTTGCAGTAGTCAGTAATGATTTAATAACCAACAACGATGTAATAGTCAGTTATGATGTAATAATCTGTTATAATGTAATAATCAACAATGATGCAATAATCAACGATGCTAGAAAAGTCAATCTAAATACAATAAATAATTGAATAATAAGATAATTAACGAGTAGAGTACTTATTATAAAATAATTTTTAGATTTAATAATAAAGATCAATCAAAGAAAAGATATTGGAAAGAATAGAAAAATTAACTCTTTAGCCATTGTTTGATTTATTTTAGCTTTAATCATAAACCCACTTGAAATTGAAATGTGACGAGCAATAAAAAGTAGATAATTTAGTTAAAATTAGTTAAAAGTTGTAAATATCTAAGGAGCAAGTTTTGGCAGGAATGAAGATTGCACGTTTGCCTTTACAGATCATTCTAAAATTAGCAGCAAACATTGCTAAATATATTATAAAGATAGTATTATTTTTAAAATAAATTGACAGAGACATTTTATTTGGTTGATGTTGGATCAAAAGGTGGTACTTTTATAAAAATAAACCATAATTTTGTAATTGAAAAAGATATGTCAGTGTATATAGGAAATCGATTTGCATTTAAAATAATTGACATTAACACAGAGACAGGATTCTTGGAAGTCAGATATGAGCATGAAGGAACAGCAAAGCACAAATAAATATAATTAAAAAGAGGTGATAAGTTTTTAATAGGGAGAGAGAAATCTAAAAATAATTTTACATTTATGCATTCTTAGTAAGTTTTATCATAAAGAATATTAGATGCAACAGATTAATGAGTGCAAAACATATGGAAATCTATTATGATTATAATTTTAAAGCGGGATCAGTTAAGTTAATGATAAACGATTTGGAAAGCAAAAATGGAACTTGGTTGAGATTGAGTGAAAAGCAAGTTGTTAGTGCACCTTTTCATTTATAGAAAGGAGTAAAATTTAATCTATCATTTGAATTGATGTTCGATGTCTTTGAATTGGTGTGTGATGTATGATTAGTGATTTATTAAAAATATACATTAAAATAATTATGAGTTAGAAATTAGAAATTATTGGAAGAAAATTGGTGGTAGTGCTCGCAGCCAGTGTTTATTCTATCCATTATTGGATTAATTTTAATCTATGGATAACTGAAGAGTTAAGCATACTATTGTATGTACATATGATTACTTTGAACATCGTTTTCTTAATGCTTTTCTGGTGTTTTATAGTCATGCTTATAATCGATCCAGGAAGACCAAAAATGTAAATTGGCAGTATAAGATAGTGCAGATGAATATATTTAATCCCCGTTCTCAAAGAAAGTATACTGCGATAAGTGTAAATGCTAAAAGCCAGAGCGTTGTCATGTATAATTTCAAAATAAATTTAAGCATTGTTCAATTTGTGATCGCTGTGTGTTATAAATGGATCATCATTGTCCATGGATAAATACATGTGTTGGCTATTAGAGCAGAAAATAATTCATATTGCTCTTATTTTATGCATTGTTATTTAATTTCATTACAGTAGTAAGTACAACTAAAACATATTTGCTTTCATTTAGATTTTCAATTTTTAATATGATTTATGCATTGGCTTGCATAGGTAACTACGTTTTGGTATTTTTGCTTTTTAACTTTCTTAAATATCACATTGAGTTATTATAAAAGAATCAGACAACTCTAGAAGATATAATTAGTAAAAATAATTAAACTAATTTTAATTTCTATGATATTGATCCTCATACAAATGTTACCTAGATTTTTGGATAAAATAAATCCTTATGGTTATTTCCAATTTATTCTGGTGTTGGATGTAATGATGGACATACATTCCCTAAAATTGATTATAAGGGTATGTAAGCTTCTTCTCCGCAAGTTGTTTCAGTGTAAGAATTCAATTTATCATAGCTTTTATGAATAATAGTATGTAAGTAGCGATAAAAATAAAAATGAGAATTCAAATATTTAAACTATATATAAAAGAGGAACTGAGAAATAGAAAATAAGCGAAATTAAAATGAATTGATTCACTCTCTTATTAATTTATTTTTCTTTCCATAAGAAGAAAATGTATACATAAATCTCAAATATAGATTATCTTATTTATAAATATTATGTTTTCTTTATTATTTGTAACACAATTAAATTCATTAATCCTTAATTGCTTTTTTAACTAATTCTATTTGTAATCTTCTCTTTTTTAATTAATCTGCAGTTAGCTTTATCTCTTTCTTTGGGATAGTTTGCTTTAACTTTAAAGTTCTTAATTTAATACTCTTTTTAAATATATCATCTTCTTTTTCTACAACTCCTTGGTTAAATCCATATTAATCAACTTCGACCTCTGGCTATTTTATTACTTCTGGTAAATTGAAATTTGCAATTGTTTCCCTAATTGTTTTCTCTAACTTTTGCTTTTCCTCCTCAACATTCCCAGTTCCTTCAATCTGCTATTTTGTTTGTTCTCTTGATTTTTCAAAGTATTCCTTCTCAGCTTACTCATCATCTGAACTGCTTTCTTATTAATCTTACTTTGCTTCCTTTCTAATCAATTCTAAGGCAATCAGGTCAAGCAGTTAGTTTTGTGAAATCATCTCTGTTTGAAATAATTGAAAATCAAATAAACAGATATATTGGATGATAGTGTCCTAAGCATAATTTTTCAACAATTCTTTAATATTCTACAATAGTTTCAATATCAAATACTTTCTTATACTTTTCCTAAGACTCATTTGATATATATTTAATCGTAATTGGTTACAAAGACTCTTGAAATTTCTTTAGATAATTTAAAATTATGATTTACTTTATGCAATTCTTATTGCTAATTCAAATTCTACTAATTGTCTTAAAATTGAGATGAAAATTAGTAAACAAAATTCTTATAAGCTGTCTACCACTCTTTGCTACTCAAAAGTCTTATGATATCTAAATCCTATGTAGTTGCTTTCATTTTGTAATTTTTTATAAATAAATAAATAATATTTTGGAAGATTTCTTCTAATAAGTAAAGGAGGGATCAATAATAATTCTTAAGATTATTTAATTTATTTGAAAAATCATTATAATATAATCAAGATTCTGCATAAAATTTAAATAAATCTCATAATAAATGATTTAAGGTTTGACTCTTTGATATGGGATTACACACAAATTTATTACACTTTTATCAATCAAGTAAATATATATATCATCTTCACTGAATCCCCTTTAATATTCAAATCTATTGATAAATTTATTGCAAAATGGATTATGATTATGTTAAGAATATGGATAAGTGAAATTATTAAATGGTAACATATACGAATACAAATTTATTTAATATATTAATTTTGATGAATAATTTAATTTGAAATATTATGTTTAACTCATGAGTTGAAAATCAAATAATTGCACCTCTTATGAAATATAAATTTTATTTATATTTTATGAGACATCAAAATAATCACATTTAGAACCTACATTTGATTGCTGCAAGACTTAGCGCTGCAAAATCTACTTAAAAATCCTTCTTGAATGAAAGTTGCTAGATATTAACCTAATAAACCAATTTATCAATCAATTAATCATTTAGCAGTCCTAAATATGTGTCCAATCAACATTCGTTTATATTACCGTAACCAGTTAATTCAAGCATGAGCATGAGAGACACCTAGTAGAGTTACAAATGTAGTTCTCCATCAATGAGAGTGCAAACAGAAAAGAATGAGAAGGATGATAAAAAACAGTAATAATTTATTGAAGCGACCTTTAAATTATTAGCCTAAAACGAAAAGTTAGAGAAATTGATAAGTTAATAAAATGAAATGCTTCAGATGTATAGAGATGATAAAAAAGAACTCGAAATCACAATTAAGAGATTGAATTAAGAAATTCAGTTTCTCAAGGACACTAATTATAAATAAGTCTCTTTGTTAGAAAAATAATTAAAACAAGTGAAAGGAAACTCGTATTATCTTCCCAAAAAGCTTTTCAAATGAAAGTTCTATGATAATTTTATTTATAAATTTTATTGTCTAAAAAATGAAAAAATCTAATTTTCTAGAAATAAGCTGTAATTTCATATAGATTTATAGTTTGTTAATAACTGACTCAAAATTTTCATAAGTGACTTTATACATTCTATAATTTTGGTTTATATTATTGATAAGAAACCCATTACTTTAGAACTCTTGAATCTCAACCCTTTTAGAAAACAATTTGTCCATTATCAAAGTAAAGAGTCAATAAAAAGGTAGTTATTGATTCTTATTATTAAGAATTGGAATCGTGCATTAAAATATATATTTTATTTTTAATTTAACATTATAGGAATGGGATAATTTTTAAGTTCTCAATGTTGTGAAAAGAAAGTAGAGCCACCTAAGTCTCTGTTATAAGAAGGCTAATTGTTGAACTTAAACCAAGATTATCAATACTTTTTTAGTTAAGATTGGTTTGGAGTTGACAAACCATAATTTGAACCATAAAAATTCATCTTCATTTATCCTGGTTATAAGGAAGACTAATCATAAATGGAAAAATTTTGGTCGAAAGCCGATACAATAAATTTAAGACATGGAGAATTGGTTAGGTAAAAAGGAAAAGTTTTGAATAAGAAATGGCAATATTTATTTAGAAAGTAATGACATTCAGTAATCAATAGAGGTGTTCCATGTTCCTTGGCTAAAAAAATAATATTGGATACTTTTAGATTGACTTATGTTGATTGCGAAGCAGAATATTTATCTGCTCTGAAGGTTGTATTCAAAAACAAATAAATTCCTAAAACATTTAAGAATGTACCTCTTTTTGGTTGTAATACAAACGAGGATGATGATGAAGAATTTAATTACTTAAATGAAAGTGAGAAGAAAATCTAATTAATACTGAAAGTGTAGATTTTGAATTAATAAGGAATGGAAGCCTTAATTAGGTTACTTTGGATTGTGAACAATTTAAATCATTTCTTGGAATATAACCCAATGCTCCTCCATATAATAGTTATGCTTTTAATATTCTTAAGTGAGGCTTAGACTTATTGTGTATTGCAATTTATGATTAAAGATTCATAATAAAGTTTAACTGATAATCAGACAAAATAATAACTACGATGGCATCTCATTATGAATGAGGAACATTTTAAAGAGTAATCATTAAATATATGAATAGAACAGCCACCACATTTTATGAAACAGTGAGTAGAAGAAGTAAAACATTTAGTACTATTTATTAATTGATGTAAAATATGCACTTTGATTCATTTGAATTATTTTAAGAGATGTCAATTAGTTTAATGTTAACTTACTTACCATTTTCTGCTATCTTAAAAATATTCATCATTTATCTAAATGAAGGAATAAAGATATATTTTAGAATGTTTTATTCTGTTTTAAGATATGTTGCAGATGATATAAAGTCATGCAAATCAAGCTCTAATTTAAAATCTATTTTAAGAAAGAAACTAATGAATTTAAACATAGAAGAATAAAACAATATTATTAAATAAGCATTTAAATTAAGTCTAAGTGAAAGTGAATAAGTTAAATCCTTTATGAGAACAACAGTCTCCTACACTAAAAATTAGCCTTGTTATTTACCCATACCATCTCAGGCATCAGACTTAATTACAAATGAATAGGCATTTATAGATATATGATATTTAGCTAGTTTGAAATATTATGGGATTGGATGTCGAATATGTACAAATTAAGTGATCCATTTTTAATATTTGCCTCGAAGACTGATGGGCATTCATTAAAATATTTGTACACAAAATGCCAAGATTTAAATGACTATCCAGTTCTCTTGGTGATCTAAACAAATTAAAATATTGTACTGATTTGAATTATTATAATAGATATTTGGTGCATTTTGTGATAAGATGTTGGCTGTGAAGAACAAGTATGTAGGCTCTGGTGAAACCTTCCTCTTCACTTTGTCACCAGAAGAGAGAAAATATAATCCAACATCAGGTAATAAGGATTTTATGATGTGTGCTCCAGACTATTTAGCATTTGGAAGTGGAAAGTAGTAGATTATTTAATACTTAGAAATGGACCAGCATTTTAAATTGATTCAGAGTTGAATAGAGGGTTTACTTATCAGAGTGATACTTTTGATAATCCATTGTTCACAGACTAGAAAACTTAAAATAGATTCAAATGCTTATGCATTGAAGTTTATTATCTAAAATGATATTATATATATTATAAATGAAATATATAGTGTTAATATTTTTACTTTAGCTTTTCTCATTAAGTTTATCTGAAGTTGTCGTAACACCTAAAATTTAATGCAGAGCATAGGAGTGTGAGGGTGATAACTTCTGTTTTTAAGGGTATTGTACATCTTGTGAAATTACTAGAAGATAATGTATTTGATTCAAATTATTCATTTAAAGGGAATCAAGGAAAACCATTATGGGGAACCAAAGTTGGCGAGGCTATTAAAGTGCCTGCATATTCTAATTTCGGAGATCCAAATGTTTTAGACACTAAGAAAGATGAATTTTTAGAAGACTCTAAAAGAATTTTTGGAGAAGAAGTATATGTCGGATAAAAGTAAATTGTTGTATTTATTTGAAGATATTAATGCGTTCAATTTGCCAGACGATTTTGGATCGTACATTATAATTCAACCTTTGGATCTGTTAATTATGCTGAATAAATATTTTACCTTTAGCAAGCATATAATTTTAATACAAAGCAATCCTTACAATTAAAGAAATTCTAAAACGGAGATATCCACCCTCCCTAATAAGGTGACTTATTGATTTGGAAAAAGGATGAAGAAGAATTTCCTTATGGACATGTTGCAATCGTTATTTCTGTTGAAATGGAATCAAGTTACCCTCATGTGTTGATAGCAGAATAAAATTATGATTAATCATGGGATGCAAGAAGCTTTTCCAGAGCATTAAGACTTATTAAAGGAGAGAATAATGAAATTACGATTTCCAATAATAGATAGATCTTCCCAACAAGAGAGGATTTGAAATGTAGAGATACTGAAGTTACATCTTAAGGTGTTATTTTGGGTTGGGTTCGTTTGAATATTTAATGAATAAATTTATAAATCAAAATACTATTGAAATTTATTTTAGATGCTATGTTAGTTATATTTAAGTAGCTCTAATGATCTATTTTATGTAATTGTAGCAATTATTAGAGTTTCAATTTTTATTATAAAAAGAATGTATATAAATTCTTTTCATATAATACTTATAATTTTAAGTTTGATACTAAAAACAAAACCATAATTATACTTTTCAACGACCAAGAAAGGAAACAATTATTGATTCTTGCATTTAAAATGGAGAGATAATAAGACTACCAAAGATTTACCAAATTATTTTATTAAAAAACTATCAAGGTTAAAGTCATTTATAATTTTGGTTCTAAAATTTCTACGAAAACAATATTATCTATATTTAAGTACATGAGATTTCATTATTACTCTATGAGTATTTTATTTAATGATATTTTTTCATTTCAATATTTGATAAACTCTTTATTAAATAATGATTCTCCATCCATTAATTTTAACGACAATCTTATTTTTTAATTTTTACTAATAAAATAATTTGTTAATATTTCAATAATTTAATATTAATGGGTTTCTTATGTTTGAAACCATTGTCACTCATTTTCCTTTTAAGTAATAAGAGGGTCTTCATTTCAAGAAATAATTTGGTTTGCTACTTGATTACCAAGAATTTTAAGTTCCCAAAAATAATTTAAATCAATAAAAGTTATTGTCGCATAGAGTTTTGAGTATTTTTAGTGGATCAATACCTTCCAATATAATTCTGCATGGAGTCACGAAGAATTTAGCTAATTTAAAGCATTACATTATTCATAAGAAAATGATATTTAAATGCTTCGACTATCCTACTATATAGAATATATACTATACTAATTTGAGGTTAAAAAGAATTGGACAATTAAATGACAAAGAAATCGTACTTTTGATATAATACTATTGCTTATTATTATTAAATTGTATGACGCATTATCAAGAGATAAAAGTAAACTGATAGAAGGGTATTAAGCTTTAATATTTACTACAATTTCATTAACTCATGCCCATTCTTGCTGATTTAAAATATTAAGTTGAACTTTAAATGAAGAAGACTTAATCTAACAGAGTTGCCCCCAGTCCGAAGGAGAAAGTAATGCTCTTGACCCGTATTCTCTATGAAAAGAAACCAATTAAAGAAGTAATTTCATATAAATAACAATTTATAGGCTTGTGAGGAGTTACGAATGTCATATGCCTGGGGTAAGGCCATATGGTCTGAGCACATATCCCAATATAATAAATCAAAAAAACTATATAAAAAAAAAAATGATTCTCCCAAAACTCCCCCCAGCGAGACAGAATAAATCACTAAAAAGGTCGCCGGCGTCAAAATGCTTCCTTAAGGACAACACATCAGCAAAAAATTCCACATTCAAATTTTAATTCATGGGAATCCTGTCGTCTCTAAAAAGAGTTTTGATTGAGAATAGAAAGCCGGGCTGCACCTTGCTTTCTTGTATTTTCTTAATTCATGCTTTCTCGTTTATTCTCCTTCTGGAGAATTTACTTCTGAACAGCATAATTATTTTTTATCAATTTTATAATTTTATTGACCTAAATATTAGAAATGGTCTTTAGGCATCTTAGGATTTAAGCTTGAAGAAATTCTATTTTATTAATCAACTCCATTGTTATATATCCTCAAGTCCCAAATCAATTGATTATTCAAATTTCAAGTTATGCTAACCCAAAGTTAATAAGATTGTTCTTCAATATCCATTAGTAATTATCATTAAAATATCAAAATAAAATGTATCTTTCTTAATTTGATATTAACCAATTCAATTTTAGAATACTAATAGATTATAGAGTTGAATAATTTTCTAAATAATGAAACCATTTTTTATTATCATAATCACTGTAGTATTTTTTCGTTATTATTAGAATATCTACTTAAATTCATTATTATTAAATGTTGAATTACATCACAAAATATCTTTATTATATTAATTTATTAGATAAAATAAATGAAATTTATATGTTATTTTTAAGGAAGGTTAGAAATATACATTCACGATTACAACAGTATTTTCATAAGACTAGGCTTGATAATCATTATTCATAAAGCTCTAGTTTTGATGAAATACCTTAAAACCTGTTTCTAAAGTCAAAACATCTGTATTATTGTTATACTATTGAAAAATATTTTCTAAATTTAAAGCAAAATAAAACTGACCCCCACTTTTTCATTTAAATGATGAACAAACTATTGAAAACAATCCCTCTAGTAAAGAAGCTAAAAGTTATTATCAAAATAAGTGATGTAATGATGTGAAAATGACTTCAACCATGAGAAGGGTTAATGTATATAAAAGTAAGGAATAATTAGTTTGCGTTGATAATTATTGCTAACTTAAGAAAATTGAATACAATTTTTGGATTAATCTACAATAAAATATAGATGATATTGGGTATTAGATGTATCCAAATCAATATGTTTGTTAATATAATAATTTCAATTAATTCGTCAAATTTATCATTGATTTTATTTCTTAGAAATTGTAATTATACATCTTTTGATCATCTAGATTTTTCGGAATTTTCAAAATCTTTTCTATTTCGTCCAATTTATCTAGAGTATAAGCTAAGAAACCATCCATATTTATTTATACTTTTGTTAATTTAATAACTTGAATCTTCTGGATTTTTCTAAATTGCTGAATCATAACATTCTAATGCCTCTTCAAATCGTGTCATTTAATCTAAAGTATTGCCTAAGAAATCATCCATATTATATGATACCTTTGCTGTTATAATAACGTGAATCTTCTGGATTTTTCTAAATTGCTGAATCATAACATTCTAAAGCCTCTTCAAATCTTTTCATTTTATTTAATGTTAAACCTAATAAATCACCATCAATTATACCTTTGCGATAATAAAATTCAGAAATCTCTGGATTTTTCTAAATTGCTAAATCATAATTTTCCAAAGCTTCATCGGTAAAGTTCAAACTTTCTAGAGGAATCGCTAAGAAATCATCAAAATGTATTCATACCTTTGTTAATATAATATTATGAATTTTCTGGATTTATCTAAATTGCTGTATTATAATTTTGTATAGCTTCTTCAAAATGCTTCATTTTATTTAATGTCGTAGCTGAAAGATCATCTATATTACATTATACCTTTGCCATCATAATAATCAGAATTTTCAGGGTTTTTCGAAATAGCTAATTCATATAATTTCAAAGCCTCTTCAAATCTGCGCAATTCAACTAGAGTAAAAGCTAAGAAATCGTCCATTTATAATTATACCTTTGCGATAATAATGCTCAGAAATTTCTGGATTTTTCCTAATTGCGGAATCAAAATATTCTAATGCTTCTTTGAATTTTTTCATTTCATATAGAGCACTAGCTAAGAAATTATCCAAATTATCATACCTTTATTAATATCATATACTAAATTTTATTGATCGTTCTGAATTGCTAAATCTTAATTTTGCAAAGCTTCTATATAACGATTCATTTTCCCTAATGTCAAAGCTAAAAGATCATCTATATTACATTATACCTTTGCCATTATAATAATCAGAATTTTCAGGGTTTTTCGAAATAGCTAAATCATAAAATTTCAAAGCTTCTTCAAATCTGCTCAATTTAACTAGAGTATTAGCTAAGAAATAATACATATTTAATGATACCTTTGTTGAAATAATACATTGAATTTTATGGGTTTTTCTAAATTGCTGAATCATAACTTTGCAAAGCTTCTTCAAAACGATTCAGTTTATATAATGTAGTAGCTATGTAATCATCGATTTTTAATTCTACCTTTATGATTATAATAGTCGGTATTTTCTGGATTTATCTAAATTGCTAACATATAAATTTTCAAAGCCTCTTCAAATCTATTCATTTTATGTAATGTAAAAGCTAAGAATTCATCCAAAATTGATTATACCTTTGTGATAATAATAGTCAGAACATTTTGGATCTACCTAAATTGCTAAATCATAATTTTCCAAAGCTTCTGAAAACTTTCTCATTCTATCTAGTGTATAAGCTAACAAATCATTCATATTGTATTATACCTTTGCGATAATAATAATCAGAATTTTCTGGATATTTCTAAATTGCCGAATCGTAATTTACCAAAGCTTCTTCATATCTCTAGACTTCATTTAAAAATAGTAGCTAAGAACTTTCAAAATGTAAATTGTACCTTTGTCAAATATAATGCCTTGAATCTTCTGGGTTTAGTTAAATTGCGAGATCAAAATTTACCAAAGCATCTTCAAATTTGGATTAATCTAAATTTGTTTTCAAATATATTGAAAAATAATGAAATCGCTAGGTAATCATCTATATTTAATTTTACCTTTGCCAACCATAAAAGTCAGACACCTCTGGGTCCTTCTGAATAGCTAAATCATAATTTTCTAACGCCTCTTCAAATCTTTTCATTTTACTTAGAGTATTTGCTAAAATTCATTCATTAATAATACCTTTGATATAATAATACCTGGAAATTTCTTTGTTTTTATAAATTGCCAAATTTGAATTTTCCAAAGATTCTTCAAATAGATGCATTTTATTTAATGTAATTGCTAAGTAATTATCAATATTGAATTCTACCTTTGCGATTATAAGAGTCAGATATTTCTGGGTTTTTTGAAATAGCCAAATTATAATATTTCAAGGCTTCCTCAAATCTTTTCAGTATATCTAGAGTATTTCCTAATAAATCTTCCATAATATAATATACCTTTGTTATTAATAAGGATAGGATTATTTGGATCTTTCTAAATTGCTAAATTATAATATTTCAACGCCTGATCAAATTTTTTCATTTCGTTTAAAGTATTTGCTAAGAAATTATCCATATTAAATGATACCTCTGCAATTATAATAACATGATTCCTGTGGATTTTTGTAAATTGCTGAATCATAACATTCTAAAGCCTCTTCAAATCTTTTCATTTTATTTAATGTTAAACCTAATAAATCACCATCAATTATACCTTTGCGATAATAAAATTCAGAAATCTCTGGATTTATCTCAATTGCTAAATCATAATATTCCAAAGCTTCATTTAATCTGTTCATCTTCTCTAGAGGAATAGCTAGGAAATCATCAAAAAATGGAATCATACCTTTTTTAATATAAAAATAAGCATTTTTTGGATTTTTCGAAACGACTGATTTAATTGGAGCGTACTAATCGAAATGATATATATTAAATCGAATTTTGGTGTTGCAGTACACATTTAATCGAATTTAATTTTTCTTTGCTTATGAATCTTTGGCTAATTTTCTCTAAACTTTATTTATTGCTACTTTTAATTCTTTGTTGTACTTTTATTGGCTTTACATAGTTTTTATAGCTATTTGTATTTTAGATTTATTTTTTACAATTCCAAAGCAAGCCATTATTCTTTTTGGATTTTATGAAACAATTAATCTTGAATTATTGTTAAATGCAATAAAATCATAAAAATTATCGCAGATAGATGCTTAGAATTACTTAGATTAATTAGATAATAAGGTAGATCCGTTTAAGTGACATTTCAAAAGATTTTCTTATTACTACTAAGTATTTCTAATACTAATATTTTCTAAAGAGCATTCTTTACAGTCAATCTTCATTTCGATTAATAAATGAAGAGAATTTGATCCACTCTAAATGAATCTCATATCTAAGGCAGTTAGATGAACTAAAAATCTGAGAAATTCTATAATTTTCTTATCAAATGATATTTTTATGATGAGATCCTTTTTAATTTCTTCATAATTATCTGTTGAGTAATTTTATTAATTAAATTCATGATCCCTAATTTATTTGAGAACATCAGTTATTCTCTTAATACTAATTTCTGAATTGAAAGTCTATTCTTTATTAAGCAGCAATAAATTATCGACCTTTTATCTTTCTATTTACAAAAGGATTTGATTTTGATCTTATGAAAGAAATTCTAGGCAGTCTTAAATTTTCTCTTTTTTTAATACGTAAATGAGGATAGGAAAGAATACTTTATCAAGATCTTTAGATAAAATCAACACCTTATACAACTCTTCAACTCTCTCCTTTTAGCAATACATCAACTTTTAAAAAAAAAATATATTGAATTCAATCACATTATTATGAGTTTATAAAACAAAATCAAAATGGTATGTTATTTAGGACGACACGTAAATTTTAAGAGGTTTGAGAGATCTATAAATTTTAAGAGGTAAGAAAGCCCCGAAATTTTAGCAACTTTTACCCAATATCTAGATTCTCAGTTGTGCTTTGAAGGGTGCAGGAGAGTTACACTTTAGGAGGCCAAATTTTTTTTTGTTTATTATAAATATGGGAAAGAACGAGAAAATCATCATTTAATATATAAATATAGAAGATAACTTATGATTTTTAAGGAGATACAATGTAGATGTTATATAATTATTAATTTAATTGAAAATTATAAATGTATGTTTATATAAAATAATAAATATCTTAAGATATTTAATTGTTATTAATATCAGTATAAATTATAAATGCTTATTTTGATAATTTCAGTCGGCGCAATCATTTGCAAATAGACTCAAGAAGTCTTGGCCTAAAGAAGTTTAGAAGGGGACTTTAACAGGTATCTTAGCTTAATTTTTATTAAGTTAAGAGCTATTATTATATTTTATAACTATTTAAGGTTCATTAGCTCTAAATCCATGAGCTGAGGTAATTTGATTATTTAAAGGGGAATAGCTTATATTTTATAATCCAATATTGTTGAATTTTATATTAGCTGATTAAGGATGCTTATAATTGACGTTTGCTTTTTCTAAAGATATTTAATTTCAATACTTCCTTCATCAGTGTGATATCCATCTTTGGATTGAAATTTGTTAAAGTTGACTTTGTTATTCATCTTGAAAAAGCCAAGATCAAATTCATCAAGATCATCATTAAAATTATTGTTAACTAAGATGGAATAGAAAATTGATTACCTTTATCATCAATCTAGGCATACATATTCTTAATGGGAATTTCATGATTGGCTAAAGAATCCACAGCCTCCAGAGGTAAATCTAATCCAGTGGCTTTAGGAGGAGTTTTATGCCTCGAAGGAGGGCGATCATTGTTATCCAAATTATCTAGTACATGATCGGTTGGTTTTCTTCTTTATCCTGAGCGGATGGAGAGGATATCCTAAAATAAAAGATAAAGATACTTTAGGGGAATTTAGAGAGTTAGCAATGATAGGCATAACTTCTTAATTTTCTGAATCATCTTCTTGGATAATATTGGCTTAATAATCAAAGAGCTGAAATTCTGAATCTTTTTTTTCTGTTGTGTTTTCCTAAACTTCATTGGTTGAATTGGCAAATCTTTTTCTTCGGGCTCCTTCAGATGTTTAAGGTCTGTTTAGAGTGGCAGTTGCTTTCCTCATACTAATTATAGGTTCCTCCAATTGTTTCTGAACAAATGATTTGTTCTTCTAGATGTGAGGCTCTTCCTGTTGTTAAGTTGGAAGTTGCAAGTTGTGATCTCCTTCACTGTCAGCATCATTGGATTCATTTGAATCAATATCAATATTATCAACTTCCATTATTTCAACTTCATCATTGTCTCTAGGTGTTAGTTATGGATCCTCATAATTATAAGCACGGATGTTATCACATTATAGTTTAGGTTCAAAAGTATTTAATTATTATGTCTATGGTCTACTCTGCTGTTCACAGGAGTGAAATGCTCTTGAGTTTTATTGAGTAAAGGTTCTGGATGGTTTTAATGAGGCTACTCCACTCTTTGGTACATCATCATACCTTTTTTCAACGCTCCTTCTCTTCATCATTCCTTAAAATGAGCCGGCATAGATTTTTGAGATCTATTAGATGTTGTTTTAGTAACTTTTAGGAGGCTATCTAATTTAGGATCAATGGTACTCACATTGCTTTAGTGTATGGGTTAGGAGTCTAATGAGAAACTGTGATCAATGGTTGCTAATATGGACTCTTCAAGGGTAATTTATCTTTTCTGGATTGTTGTGGTGCTGTTCCTCCTCTTTTAAGATTTTCTCTAAGCTAAATTAACTCCTGATGCAAATACCCTTAATTAGCAAACCAACTTAAGTAAAATGGCTGTTATTATTGCTCTTTCTAACTTTTTGGCTTAAACATATTAATAAATATGAAACTTGAATCCAAGAAAGAAATTCTAGCAAAACTGATGCAAAAAGTCCCACTTATACGTGAGCATAGACTGAAATTAGGTTAATAAGTTAGATACCCTATAACTTAAAGTCCTATGAATGTAACTCCGATCATGGCTTCAAGGTAAGCAGAAACAATCACAGATACTTCGACCATTTATCAATTAGTACCTGGGTTCAAGATTAATAATTAATCCACTTATAGATTGCATGGCAGTTCTGGGAGGAAGTATCAGGATAAATCTTGTTCAATCACAAAGTTTAAAACATAGCCTTCCTTTTCTCTGAATTCTACAATTTCTAGGATTTATCTGTCTCCAAGACCAGCAAAATCTTCCAAATACAAAAAATTTGTAGAAACATCACACACATTTAGAAAAAATATTCCTCGTCGAGCAATTGTATTGCAGTCTAACAAACAAGATTGCTATCATTAACCTTCTTAATGGAATCTCGAAAGATGGGACACAAATGATGATAGAAATGAAAACAAATCATTTATTTTTTGATTTATACTGCATCTTCTTAAAATAAATCTAATAATATTAATAATGACATTTTTCTCACTACCATTAATAATATATAATAAAAACCGACTAATTACTGCACCTTTTAATTTTGTAATACAAAGATACCCTTTACTTCCTTCACATATCTATATTTACAATACATTTAGGATTTTAAATAGGAGAAAATATTTTTCAATAAATAAAATAGAATAATAAAAAGTAACTAAAGATTGAATTTAGAATTAATTACTAACATAAACATTAAGTGTTATTTCAAAGATATAATTTTATAAAATTAGATTTAATATTATCATTCCTAATTATTTAAAAATTCTAGAAAATGTAAATCCTTTTCTTAAATTTATCTAAACTTTATATCTTCAACTTTTTCGATCTTATTTCCTAAATTTTTTTCAAAATTTGATTACTCTATAAGTTTTGTTCTGAATACAATCTCATTATTTTATTTTTAAAAAACAACTTCCATTAATTTTTAAGGCGAGTCTTTTTAAAGATCAATCTCATCAACTTTTAAAATGTGATTATCATTTGTTTTGAGAATTTTTCGATTATTTAAGTAATCAATATGAAATTCTTCGAAATCTTTATTTAATTTCTTAACGTTAGAAACTAGCTATAGTGAACTTCTCCTTTAAGGTACTTAAGGAGGAATATCACATTCATGATTTAGTGAAATGGCCATAGCGTTGTTTTATTATTTGACCTTATTAAACGAATTGGATAGAGCTCTATCCTTCATTTCCTTATTATCTAATGGATCAGAGTAGGATAATTTGTTTGAGTAATCTGTATAATAACCCATATCTTACAAAACCAATTCAAATTCATTTAAAGTATTATATGAGTTTTCATCGTTCTTATCCTAAATATTCTTTTTCTCTTTGAATTCTTCACTCTCACTAATATATGATTCTGAATTAGATTCTGAATCTGCATTTTAAATTGGGATGGTTTCGAATTTATTTTGAGTTATTTCTAGATAATTTTATTTTGGAGTTGAGTTACTCTAACAATTAATAAATATATTGTTAGTTTATTCATCAATTCCATCTTCTTCTAAATATTTGGCTTCCTCTACATCCAGGGCTGATACAATAAACCTTTCTTCAAATTAAGGACTGCTAGGATCTTCTCCTAATTTATTCTTATGTCGTTCCTCTAGTTTCATTTAATGTACCTTCAATGTTCTCCAATTATGAGAAACCATCAATTATTCTTCTATCTATTTCAAATAGTCAAAGTATGGCAAGAAATCTCCATCCTTAATTAACTTAAGGGACAATTTTTATTCAAATTAATAAATTTAATTGTCTATTTATCTATGATGTTTTTCATGTATTTTATTCTTTAATATTAGTTTGGATGCCCAATATGGATGGTAGTCGTTTAATGCCCTATCAAAAATGAACTAAATCATGTTGTTCACATAAGATATAAAGATATCTGATTTATTAAATTTATGCATTAAACTAAATATCAATTCCATGATATTTGCCTTGTCAACCCTTTCCCATAATTAGATATCTGTGATTCTGACTAAATTATCAACAATCTAAAACGAAATTATGATATTTTAATACTTCAACCAACTTAATGTTCAATAAGCCAACCTTAGTTTAATATAATAGTGATTGATTCAAAGCTAATGCTATTATTTAAACATCAAAAGACTAAAAGAATTCAGTATTTCTAAAATTTTATATAATTTCTTAAGTCTCTGGTTCTTCCAATTAGATATTCTACATATTCATTGAATAATAATTCGATACTAATGATAAAATATGAGCAGCATTCTTCTTTGTACTGTTAAAATATATATATTTTACATATGATTGATTTCATCCCGAACAATTATAGAAAGCATTTTCTTTTGAATTTCTCCTTTTATGATAGATGATACTTGAGCATCATTTATGTTTCTAATCATTATTTCATGAACAATGAAGGTAAAATTGATAGCACTAAAAGAATCAAAATTTTAAAATATGACAAAACCTGCTTTTAAAAAATCAAGTTATTATTAGTTAAACCCAAACTCATAAAAGATTATTATGATCTAAGCAACGCTATTAACATGTATAAACGGGAGAAAGGAAACAAGAAAGTTAGGTCTTTGAAATTGATCAATCACGAATTTCTTGTCTCTTTCCTTCATCAACTCTAATAATCTGTGAGCTATTCCCCATTAAGTATCTGGTGCTGTCTTTCTCCATCTCAAATCAAATATAACTTCCCAAATAACCTATAATAACATCTGATTATTACTTCTATTTATTTCATTAGAGGCTCTAATTTCATGTCAATAATCTCAAAGATCTTAGTAATCAAGTCGCTATAGATAGCCAAGTACTCAGCTTAAACCTTTTCATAGTCAACAAACAAAATGTCAAATATTTGCTTCACATTCCTAGAAAGAACATCAATCGCAAATGGATCGCTCGCTCTCAAATATTTCATAAATGCTTCCATATTCAAAAGAATTTAAAGGTTTGACTAACTGTAAGCAATAATTTCCTCAATTTCGCTCAAAGATGAGTTTTTTGTTAAGTACATTTAAACTATTAATTACGAACAAAAATAATTTAATTGTTATGAAAGAATATGGATTATTATAAATGATAGAATTTTAGAATTATTTATTCTAAACAAAAAGATCTTATGAATTATTTTTATTTTTCATATGGCCTAACCCCATTAACACTGTCTATATGATGGTCATTAGAATAGTGCCATATTGGGAGTTTGTCTCAATGCATCGTGTTAGAATAAAAAACCCTATTGTCATCATTGCATTTCTTAATATCATTCATCACACGTCAATGATCTTAAAAATTTTGACCAACTTAAAATTTGGTCTAATTAGTTGAATTAATCTTACTAAGAAATCTAGAGTACATCTTAGGAAATCTAAAAACATTTATTGACCTTGGCAGACTAAATGAAAGGCTTGTATGTAGACCCCAACATCAACTTCTCTGAATGTAATTTAACAGACTTAGAACACCATGTCTTGAAATTGATTAACATCCAATAATTATCGAATTCTCTTTTACTTTCAAATCTTTAAGAAATCAACTCGAAGATAAATTTTGCGAAAGCTGGAGAAAGTCAAATAAAAGGCAGCGCATTATAACTATCTCTAATTCAAACTAATTCTTAATCAATTATAGATAATACCTCTGCAAATTCTATTATTATATAACCTGCGAATCATACTAATTTTCGTTTCTCTGAGTAGCTAACCTTCAAAGGTATCGCAATTCAAGAGAACGGAAAGAAAGCCGTATGCACTGGATTAGAATGGGGTTTTGCATTGTGTGAACCTGCCATTCCTAAATGTGGGATTTCAAGATTTGTTTTTTAAGTATCTCACAGCAATGTATGTAACATATATGTTGGCGTATGCCATAAAGATAAAATTATTCAATCTAATTATTCTCCTATTTCATTTTAATAATTAGGTCATGGCGCTTACCTTATTTTTAGTACTGGTTTAATACTATCCCATTTGTAAGCTGAAATTAACTATTAATTTAAAGGATTCTCTTATTCAAATAATGATATAATAATTATGGAAGTTGACATGAATAAATAACAAATTCTATTCACTCATCAATAAAAGTAATAATAAATTGTAAATGAATTTCAAATATTCTTAGGCTATGAAGTTAGATGTTACATAAGACCTATATCCATATGCAGAATTATGTGTTAGTTCGTCCATTTAAATCATTTAGGTTTGATTAATAATTTATAAAAATATCATGCAACCAATCATTTTTATACATAAAAAAAATAAAAATCTTAGAAAAAGAAGTTTATTCTAAGTAAAGATATAATAAAATATATTTTCATAATCTCCAATAAATTAAGAATTATTTCTATAATTTATTAAGATTTATCATGTGTTCTATAAGTATTTATAATTTTCATAAATCTTACTAAACAAAGAAAAATAAAGTGATATGATATAGAAATTATAATTGTGATCACTTTCTTCGAAATCATTTTATTATTGTCAGGGATTGATTCAAAATAGTATAATATTTTTCTTCTAATTTATATAGGTTAATTAGTTTTGAGTTTCTTATTTTGTGATGAAAATTAATTAGATAAATAATTTGCATCAATAGTTGTGAACTGATGATTGCTCCTGAAATTTTATCCGATAAGGTATTAAATATGATAATATCATGCTAGCCAGAAGACCAATATTAGAGACTAGAGAAAGCTGTATATTAATTCATGTATAATTTATATAGATGATTGAATTGTTCAAATATGATAATTTACTTAACAATGAATACCTGGTTAGAAAATTCGAGACTGATATTTTAAAACCCGATTGGTATTTGCTATAATATGTTGTTGTGTAAAGAGAGAATTCAATTAAAAGTCAATATGTATAAAATGAATTGAATACTCGCAAGAAATATCATTTAATTTTAACAGATGTATAAAAGAGATATTAAAATTTTAGATTTTAAATAAATATAACAAATAATTATGGAATTTTGATCATCAAATGTTAATCATTCGTCCTTACTTTCCAACAGAGAGAAAGAGAATATAAATAAAAATACCAGTTTTGAATGTAGCTCTCATTAAAGAAACACTGTAAAAATCTGGCTTCACAAAAGAGGAATTAATTTATGAAGAAGACATTTATTAAGCTGATAAAACATATGTAAAATTAATAGTAACATCTTAAACTGAAAATTATGCAATAGGCATTTTTGATTTTTTGATGTCAAAAAAGGCAGAACTTCAAATTGATTCAGTTATTATGTAAAATGTTGATTACTTGGATGAATTTCATAAATAAATTAATGCTAAAAAATGCTCAATGATGACCAAGAAGATCGAACAATAAGACAATGATTAATAGGGATATAAGAGAAATGATTAATATGAAGAATAAGATAAAGAATTCGATAGGTCTTATCAAAAATCTAGAGCAAGAGGCAATAGACAAAGAGGAGGAGGAAATTATGGATATTATAGAAATGATAAAGATGATGACAGACATGAAGAGAAATATCACAATAGGGAGAAGGGAGATAGGAATGAAAGAGGAAATGATAGAAATGATAGAAATGACAGAGGTGGAAAAGATAAAGATAGAAGAGGAGGTTAAAGAGATAGAGGAAATAATGTATTTAATTTAAGTTATCTTAGTAATATGTGTAAAAAAATGATGTTCACCATTAATAATAATAGTAATAACCATAATAATAATATTAATTAATACCTAAGGCAGTATTATAGAAGACACCAAAATAAAATATAAAACCAAATGCTTTGAATGCAAATGATTTCCCTGCTCTAGATTCTGAATAAAAGAGCTGAGTTATATGAGTAATAACTCTATAAAATTATTTTATTATTCAACGTAATTTTTCTTTTTTTAACATCTCATTTTTTTAATAATTTAATATTATGAATCATAGAAAGAGTTTATCACCGTTTAGTGAAAAAGTGAGAGTTATTTAATTTACTTGTTTAAGATTGGAGTTCCTTTACCCATTAGTTAGTGAACCCCTAAAAGTGATAGTGTGTGAAAAACATACCTTCATTGCTAAACCTTAAGATCAAAGATGTGCAATTGTTAACTAAGTACAAGATAACAAATTATCAGACATAAGCTATTGAAGTTTTTAATCATAAAATCAAAATTGAAATCTAAAACTTAGGGACCTCGCAATTAGACTTGAATACTTACTAGGCCTTTTCATTGGAAAAAGTTCCAATTTATGATAGAAAAAATCAGAAACAATTGATTGGATTCCTATGTTTTAAGATAGATGAAACATCGAAAAAGAGCACTCCAAATACTAGCATTTAAAACTCAAGAGAACAATCATTAAGTAATTCAATAAATTAAAATAGATTTTGGTTCAAATTTATTTACCATTGCATTTAGTGATTAATCACAACAATAAAATTCTAAGTAACAAAATTCAATTTAAAAGTATTCTAATGAAGAAATAAAGAGAAATATTGACTAAATCGCTCAAATTTATGAAGAAATGAGCAGAGAATAAAATTAATTACTATAATAGGACCTAAAATTAAAGAAACTGGACAATGAAATTAAAGATTTGAATTAGTAGTTAAAATCCTTGCATGATTAAGAGCATCACTTAGATTTATAATTTAAAAAATTATAAACTCAATCTCCATAATTATAAATGTTGATTAATCAAAAAATACAATAACAATACTCAATCCTAACTTTTAAGAAGAAATAAGAAAATCCAATTTAAAAATAATCGCCCTCATAAATAATTAGAACTGAGCAAACTAGTCAAAGATAGAAGAAAACTAATGTTCTTCCGTAATAAGTAACAATTAGTTTAATTGAATAAGAAAAGTTTATGAAAAAATAAAATAAAGAGCCTGAAATTCCAGTTAATATGTCTATACCCTTTTCTTTTAATGAATATTTTAGTTTATTCAAAAATTGATTCTACTTTAAATCATTAATGTATTATTTCTACTATTAAATATGAATAATAAAGGCTTAACACATTGGAATATTAAAATATTATACTACTATTAATATAGCCTCATGCACCAATAGCCAATTTGGATCTAGCAGCCTATTTTCTTGATTAACGAGCAACAACTTTATTATTTGCTTCTTTCTTAACATTTTCATCTTTCTCAGCAGCCCAGATTTCAACGTGAGCATTAGATGATAAGAATGCTATTAAAATAAATCATAAAGATTACGATTAATTCTTCCGTGTGCTCTGTATGTTCTACGTCTACCCTTTTAAGCTCTATTGACTTAAACATGATTGATAATCAATTTATCATTAGTCAAGTTCTTGACTTAAGCATTAGCAGCCAAATTTTACAAGAGTGATAAAACAATTCTCACACTCTTTTCAGGCCATCTACCTGTAATTAATTTATTATGAATCTATACCTTATGATCTGCCGAATTCTTTGGCTTAACCTGTTCTGCCTACACCTCCATTAAATCTGGTGAATGGAACACATCTATTATGTTATAAGACATCTTGTAAATATTTGAGTGCTTAAGCAAGGGTTTATCCTTTAAGTGCTTTAGCTACTTCATATGTATTCTTAAAGTGAGTTCTTAAATCACTTGCCCTAGCCTTAGCGGACTTTTTAGCAACTGCTGGCTCTCTAGCATATTATTTGCCCATTGAATCCTTTTTTAATTAATTAAATTTGTTTTTTCAAATTCATTATTAAATGGAAATATGATAAATAATTTTATTGTTAAAATAATGATAGGATGGACTTTTTACACAGAGATTTAACCAATATATTATCAATCAAATGATAATAAATTGGATAAACCATTTCATGAATTTCAAAAGAGAGAGATTAATACTTGTTATTAATTTTTCTAATGAATAGTTATATAACAATAGTTCATATTAGTCATTAAATTTTTTTATTAGATTATCTATTTTTCTCATGATAATCCTTGGTTTCATCTGATGTTAAATTTGTAATAGACTTTTCAGTAGTTTTATCCTTTTAGCTACTCATATAAGAATCATAATTTAAAGAATATTGAATGCTTTCCAAATTTTGATGCGTGATTAGAAAACTAGTTTAACAGGCAATATTCAGTTAATCTATAGATTAAGATTTCTTTCTTGATTCTAAACATCCTTTTCGATTATCTTCTTATTCTACAATTGAATTTTCGTTTCTTGTTTCACTTCTTTATAGTCTTTCTATAACTTTATTTTATTTCTAGATGGGCGAGCAACCCTTTCTTTACTATTTTGAAGTTGAATTTTAACTCATTTTACTAAATGACTTTTATATTGATGGCAAAATGAGACTATTATCATTTGACACCAAAGAATTACAGAATTTGTTGCATAGTTATTACTCTTTTGTTTTAGCACTAAGTTAATATATGAATTATACCTCTGTATTTCTTCTATTAATTCTTTTTCTTATTTTTTTAATTTACTTATTTCGAACATCTTTTTATTAACAATTAGTCTATTCATTTCCATTTCTTATAATTATCTTTCCCTAACTTCCTTTATTTTTTTTTCTTAATATTATTCTCTTCTTTTGGTTACTTCTGAATTAAATTCTTCTATCAATTTTACTCTCATTTTTTTCTGTTAGATTTCCTACATTTTTGATTATTATAATTGGGTTTCTGTTTTTAGCCTTTCATTTCTAAGATAAATTCCTTCTTTCTCCACAATTGGCTTGAATTGCTCAATTACCTGTTTTCTATCTAATCCCAGTTATTCTTATAATTATGTTATTGGTGACTTCTAGAATTTAGGAGAAATCTATCTCAGATCCTTTAATTTCGTCTATAAAAGAAAATTCTTTTAATCAATGTCTCTTAATTAAAATTTCAAAGAATTAACTCTTTTTTTGACTTAATCATATTCTTGAGTAACTTAAACAAAACCTTGCTTATTCATATTTAATAATAAAAATAAACAAATGAGATGTTATAAATTCTAATTTCTAATTTTGTATTTTTTCTCGATTATGATTAATTCTAATGTCTAGTAGATTCTGCATAAATAAATTAGTTTTTATTAAATTAGAAAAATTTCCTAAGTTGCTAATTATTTCTAATTTAATCTGTTATAATTTAATTCATAAATTGTTTAGAATTTTTTATATCCTTGTTGTCTTCAATATTATATAGTTCTTGGTAATAACATTTTGGTAAACAGAAATATCTTCTGTGTTAATCCTACAACGTTGCAATTTTATTTTTGGAACACTTTTTGAGAATTGTATTTTTGAGATGTTCAATCTTAGTTTATTTAAGAATACTTTGGTTAAATATAATATGTAAAATTAATAGGTTATATAAATTATTTAAGGAATACCAAAATTTATGAAAAGCTTATCAATATAGAATATGAAACAATCACACGAATAGCCCTTTTTATCGACTTTGGAACTTTTTAAAATTATTTAAAAGTTTTTCTTCCTGATTTTGGGATTATTAATTATTTGCCTGAGAATGCTCCTTACTTTTAAGGAGGTATCTATTAGAAACAAAATCCTTAAGCTTTTGATTTTATTCTCCAATATTTATTCCTTTTCTACTTAATGATCTTTAAAAAGTAGCCAGCTTTTAATCTGTATTAATACCTCTAATTTATATTGAACCAAATCCATTTTATTTATGATTTATCTTATCATATTCTTTATCAAATTTGACCATATGATAGCCTATATTCTGACATAACTATTTTATCTCTTGTGCTTACACATCATCCTTTATATCTTTCAAATTCATTGAAATAATAGTTATATTGTTATCTTCCATTTAGATACATGATTTTGGATTAGTATTGTGTTAGGATGGACTCTATGATCTTTAAGGGTAATTCATCATGCGTCTTTTCAATTCTGAAATGTGTTGTTTACTTTCATCATTTTATGCTTTGGGTCTCGACTTAACATTCTCTGTTTTATTTAATCGCATTAATTCTTGTTAATGTATTGAATAGTTTTCCTTTTCGCCCTTTGAGAAATTTATTTATTTGGTTGATTGTCTTTCCTAAGATTTGGATTCCTTTGATGAGAGCACTTAATTATCGTCTTGTAGCGTTAATTTATTAGGATTGATTATTTTTTCCTTTGTAGATTGCACTACATGTTAACTTTTGATAATTTCATTAAAATCATAGTATGGTCTTTAATTTATGACTTTAGCAAAGTTATCTCCACCTAAAATAGAGGATGTATTCCTTTAATTTTTTTTAGCATGTTTTACTTCATTACTAGTAGTTTAGCAATTTATTGTGATATCGGTCTTGGAATTAAATTGTTGAGTGTCCCAAGCCAACAACTTTGTAGTATTTGAAATAGATCTTGGCCTCACTTATTTTGGTTAATCTTAATAAATAGGATTAATCACTCTTCTTGAGTCTTAATATTGCATTAATATATTCAGTTAAAATTATCATTAATTTATGTTTATAAAAGTTGTTGTAATTCATAATAATAATAAAATTAATGTAACATATAAATTACTATCATTTTCTTCTTTAAGACCACTCGATCATTTTATACAACTTCACATATTTTGATAAATTGCCATCCCTTAAAAAGCATGCTAATCCTTATATTAAATGAATTTACATTAGTTATTAGTTGAAACATCTTGAAGTTAGAAATCGAGTTCATCATCTTCCATCAACTCCTCCAATTTGGTTTTCTTGGTCTCCTTAGTTTCAACTTTCTTATCTTTTTCAGTCTGTTGCACTCTAAAGAAATCAGCAAGATCTTATTCATCCTCTGTCTTCTCCCTGAATATAAGCATGAATAATACTAAAGACTTCTGGAATAATATTGGTTGATTAATCTCTCGATTTTTATCTAGGCTAAATCTAAGTTCAATTCAGTCTTTTCGATTGCTTCAAATTCAATATCCAATTAGACTTATTCTTATTGTTCTTTCTTTTTATCAAATTATTCCTTTTCTTTATAATCCTTGGTTTTCACGTCTCCTATGGGAATCATAAAGGATTAGCACAAATCTTTTAACTATACAAATAATCATCAATTTTACAGTATATAAAATGCTCTTAGCCTGGATTGCTGTTTCAATTGGACATACAATGGTGACTCTAAGATTATTTTATTTTTTTATCAAATCTTTAGCTTAATTAACCTTCAATTTCAAATCTTACATTGTGATAGTGTGACTTAATTTAAAATGTTGATCATTCAATTTTTATTATTCCTTAATCTTTACAATGTCATTCATGAATTTAGATGCAAGTTCATCAGAGTAATCACACACTTTGCATAAAGCAGGCTTAATTTCTTGATTGATCATGATTAAGTCTTAGCCCAATTTATCTGCCTTTTTCCTAGCCTCTTCACATGCAAAAACACCAATCAATTTATTTTAGGAATCCAACAATCTAACATCACCAAAGAAATTGATGTCTTCATTTGCTAAACTAGGTTTAATCTTGAGTAAAGTAGAAACTTTATTTATGATGTTGGCATTAAATTTGTACTTTCCAAAACAATATCCAGGCACCTTTCTAAACATAATTTAATTATATTATTTCTTAAAATGTTAAACACTATTGAGATTCTCTTCTTAATCGATATAATATATTCATTCAATTATTTTGTAAAAGTGAATAATATTTTATATCCATTGATAGCTGTGGATTAAAAAAAAGAAAATATCCCTTTGGGATTTGATGCATATAAATATATATTTAATATTAGTTCAGCTATCGTATTGAATTCATTGAATTTCATACTGACGTGTAAAATTTCATCATTAATTAAAACTTAATTTTATTATTAAAAAGAAGTGAGAAAGTTTTTTTGAATTTAAATGATGAATTTAGAGCTACTTTTTCTAATTTTAATTTGATTTGATTTTATATATAGATATAAATTATATTTTGTATTTTTGAATAATATTACTCATGTAACCAACAGAAGTACATTTTATGCTATAACTCAAGGAAACTCAAGTATTAAGTACATCTCCCAGAATGAAAACAGATCGCTTTGTCAGCACACAAGCTGTTGCCATGAGATCCATTCAAAAAGCGATTAAGTAATTTTGAGATTCATACTAGAAAACAAGACTTGTCTTTTATTCTTGGTTCCTTTAATAATTATTAAGGGGGATCATAGCAATAAAACGAAAGCGTAAGTAACTTATTGATTTTTAGTTATAACTGTTTTAAATGGAAGAAAAGGAAGTACATTTAAAATTAGGAGAGCTCAGGAAAGAATTTGATACATATCATACGACGTCGATTAATAAGGAAAAGGAGATAACTCAATTCAAAGTAGGATGAGTGATTATACTTTAGGATCAACTGTTAAAATTGAACTTGGAAGAATCAGAGTTAATAAATAATACATCAGATTTAACAAAAGAATTGGAATGCTCTAAAACTGATTATGTGTAAGCCAAACAAAGATTTGAGGAAAGCCAAATGAGTGAAAAATCCTACAACCACATTATAAATAGATTAAAGCATGATGTCCTATGTTTTAGAAAGAAGTTAAATGAGATGGTCGACGTATTTGAAAAGAAGAAAACTGAAGCCAATTAAGCCAGTGCAAAATAATGGGAATCAATACAACTAAATCAAATGACTAGAAAGTTATGTGATGAAATGATGAATGTATTTAGAGATTTTATTAAAATAGAATATTGAAATTGAAAAGAATAATAGACAAAGACAAATAGCATAATACAACAAGCAAATTAAGGCGTAATTAATAGCGAAAGAGAAGAGAGATGAAAGAATGATTAAGTAAAGAGAAATAGCAGAACATGCCAGTAATGATAAGGATGCAAGTGAAGTAACCGATTATAGAAATATTTTGTATAGAAAAAGTGGAGAAAACTGTTGTTAGTACATAAAGTAGTCCACTCCTTATTGAAAAATAAAATGGAGAAGGAAATGGAAAAATTCTAAGTTGTAGAAACAGCATTCTAAGAAATTAAGACAGCCACAGGAATATCAGAGGCCTAAGAAATAGTTTAAAAATTTTTAACCAAAGAATCTACATATGGTTCACTTTTGGGAACTATTGCAGAGAATGAATAGAAAATAGAACTATTGAAAAAGGGTAAAGAAGATCTAAGGTAGAATTACTCTAAATTTTAGAAAAAAATTATAATAATTAAAAGATAGTTTGTAAATTATGGAGATTGATGCAAAACCTCCAAAGAAAGGAATAGATTCAGAAATATATAAATAATTTTATAGTATTGATGATAGAGCAAAAAAGGCAGAAATAATGAAATAAAAATTGTATGTTTGGAGTATTAAGATGCTTGGCAAAATAGAGAAAGCATCTATGTAGTTTTTAGATGAGAGAACAAACTATTATCATATTTATCCAAGAGGCAAGGATGTTGAATTATTTGAACAACTTCAAAAGTTAATCTATGAAGATGTAGATTAAGCTAGGCCTGAAGTAATTCAAAGTATTATAGAATTAGGAAATATTATAAATAATTGGGGAAGTTAATAGGTCAAATATTAGAAATGATACGTTGAAGGAGGAATATCAAAAAAAGAACGTTAGAATTAAATATAAAAAATTAACTTAAAGAGAAGCTCTTAAAAGGACTAAATCAATGGATTCCAAAGCTGATTTAAGTAATAGAAGTTTTAGTTAATTTGGATAATCGAGTGATTCAAGTGCAGAACAATCATATTATGAATCAGAATCAGAAGGAAATACTATAGATGAAAATAGTGAGAAGAACCATTTTAATTATTTAAGGGATGAGGCAAAATAAGTTAAAAAAACAAAGAAGAAGGATGATGGATCAGATGGGAAGAAATGATAAAGGCATTATTTAATCAATTATATAAAATTAATTTTTGAGTTATTAAATGAATCACTAAAAGGAGAGTGAATATGAGGATGTAATTAGATTTGTATTTATATGTAGTCTGATAGAAGTCAATAAAGTTAATCAATTTAACAGAAAAATAATGAAAGAAAATTCAGAAAAATTGAAAAGTTATAATCTCTAATCAATAAACCATTTTATTTATTGACTTAGGAAGAAATTAACAAAAGGAGAATACTATCCAAAGTATCTGATCTTATGGTTAAAACCACTAATGCATCCTAATTTCTATAACCAATTAATCAATAGAAAAGTAGTGATCATAAGTTTTAGCTTAACATTAATCATCTCCAAAATACTTCAATTCCTAAAATACCACCAACTATAGCAGATTCTGAGAAAGATTATGTTGATTATTTGATGATGAAAAAGTGTAATCCTATAAATATATAGAACTTATAGAAAAGTAAGAGGAATAGTTGAGAAAATAAGTGACTAAAAAATAAAACTTAAAAGAAAACTATGATTAATTATGGCAATAACAAGAAGATATATCAGATAAAGAAATATAAGATCCCTTTAATGTTAGTAAAGCATTGAATATAGTGCATAAGAAGGAACTTTAGAAATCGGATGAGAGAATTTATTTTGATAAGAACTCATCCTCTGTCTAAAGCAATTCGAACTTTCAATCTTTAACTAATTCTAGGTTAATTCTTATGTAAGATCAAGATATAAATGAAACTGAAGTATATTAATCCTTTAATTTAGTTTAGAGAACAATAAGCAAGGAGAACTCTCAAAAAAATGAAAACCAGAAAGGTTATAAATATTGTTTAAAAGGCTACCAAAAAAATTTATAATAAGAAAGAAGAGTAAATTTAGAAGGAGTTAATTATGCATTAAGTTTATAAACAAATGAGTAAAGACAAAAAAAAGGAAAGCATAAAATCAATAGATAGTGTTTTTAGAAATTGTACTAATTTTTGATTAACTTATTAGCTTAAAGTGAATAAACTTTATTATAATCCTAGAATCATTAAAAAATGATTACAAATAAATTACTGAGTGAAAAAACATTTTTTTAGCCAAAGAAATTAAGTGAAATTAGACCAATTTAAAGTAGGGTTCAATTAAGTCACATTATCTAAAAATAAGACTCTAGAATTGATGATACACCTCCTAAATTTCAAAGTAGAAATATAAGTCTCATTAATGATAAAATTGCTAATTTAGTATCGCAGATTGATTAAATCTAACAAAAGGAAATTGATTAAATGACCTTTATAAAATAACTAGAAAATGAGCAAGATCTATATCAGACTTATAGGTAGTCTCTTTAACCAGATTAAATTTAAGATACATTAAAATCACTCTTAGGTCCAAGTAACAATAATTATCGAAAACCTTTTAAGTTTAGTAATAAAAAATTTTTTAATCAGGTTTTATGAAATTTTATTCGTAGATTTTAAATATTAACATAATTATTATATTATAATATTAATCCTAGGCTAATAATGATGATTTAAGGTAATTGAATTAGTAAGGCATCTTGGATTAATTTTTGAATATTTGAAATCTAATTTTACTCATATATCAATAGGTTATATAAAGTAAAAAGGAGTTATCGTATTATGTTTAGAGAATTAATAGAATATTTTAAGATGATCAATTGAAAAAGAAAGGATTTTAAAACAATTAATAACTTTGATTTTTGAAGAAAATTTTATCTTTATATTTTGTTCTAAAAGTTTACATAATTAAGCCAAGGTAGAATCTTCATAAATATTTCATGACATTATAAGTAAATTAACTAAATCATCAGTTTTGATAAATCCATTGTGTTATTAGGTGATTTCAGAGACAACCGTATCGAATTCTGTTAAATTTAAAACATCTCCAATTTTAGTAATGATTGATTTTATTTCTTTGACATCAATATACCCAGATTTGTTTTTTTCAAATATTTTTAAAGCATTAATAATTACTTATTTATTTGGCTTGCGATTTCTTACATTATAACAAGCTGTTATAAACTATTCAAAATTTAAAATTGATGTTTTTTTGGGATCTAAATAATTTCCTAATTCTCTAATTTCAATTGTCGTAACCAGGTATCCAATGGCTCTCAAAGCAAACCCTAAATCTTCACGCTAAATTGTTTTATTTCCACTTTTATCAAAATAAACAAACATATCCATTATTTATTTGAGTTCCTGAGGTGTAAATGCCTTTTTTGCAGTTTCAGCATCAACTTTGTTAAATTTTAAATATGGAGTAGATAATTTACCTCCTCTTGAGAAATGAGCAAAGTTATTTTATGTTTACATAAAATAAATTAATTATTGCTTATTTTCTCACTAAAATGCAATATTAATAAGATATCGTGAATCATTATCATTCAATAATTGAATTATATTATAAAGAGGCAGAGCTAAGTGATGAAAATAAAAGGATAGAAAATTAAGCAGCAACTAAAATTTAGCAATGGTATAGAATGCATGTAAAGAGAATTAAATATCTTAAAATTAGATATGTAATTTTGCAATCAATTTTATTAGAATACAATTTATATACAAAAGTTTGCTAAAGGTTATCTGGCTAGAATGTTAATGAAAAGAAATAGCGATAATAGATTTAATGAAAGAAATCTTAAATACTTTAGCTATTAGGCTACTTAAATCCAAAGATATTTTCGTGGATTTCATTATAGAAAATATTATCTAAACTGGGCTACAAGAAAAGAATACTTGTCCTTCTTGAAAAGAAAAAATGAAACGTTTTTGGAAGAACTCAAGAAAGTGGAAAAGGAGGAGGCTTAATAGTTAAGAATCAGATAAGAATAACTAGCCAGGACTGAATTCGAGTCTTTGGCTCGTAATTTGCATCATCTTTCGTCTACAAAATCGATTTCAGGCATCTACAGTCGACCTTTTGGAAATAGGGATATTGTCTTTGATATGGATGTTGAAAGTCACTTGAAGATTGTATTTCATAGCAATTATGAATGGGAAAAGTCATAATAGATGTCAAGGTATACAAGAACCAAGAAGTTGAGTATGCAAACAAAATTAAAGCCTTTGAAATGATGATATATGTTACGTTAATAATCTAAGATCTTGTTGATACTGTTTAATTCTTGCGCGTTTGAGTTTCAGTGGGTATCACTAACTCAAATTTTATAATTGAGACATGATTCATAAATATTTATATCTAGCATGATTATTTTATTCTTTATTTCTCTTATTACATTTGTGAATTCCCTATCATTGAAATCTGTTCTTATGGCAATAGATTGTGGAGGATAAGAATCATTTAATTCAAAAGAAGGATTTCTTTATTAAGATGTATTAACTAATTGCTATTTGAGGATTAATATTTTAGTGGGGATTCAAGAGTCTCTGATTACACATATAATGATGTTGTTTATGATGGAATTGCGTATACATTTACTCCAAAAGTTTATTTTACTGAAAGACACGGCAGCTCATTTGATTATAGCTTACCAATAAATAAGAATGGACAATACACAATAATATTGTAATTTGTAGAAGTAAGTGCTTAATCCATAAAAGTTATACTTTTAAAATGAGGGAGAAAGACAATTTGATATCTATATTGGAACTAAAAGAGTCATACAAAATTTATCTATTATTGACAAAAAGCATTAAAAGGGATCTGCAAAGGAAGTGTTCATTTACATTGAAATTAAATAAGACACAGTTTTCCACAATGATGAAGAATGCACCAAAGGGTATGTGAATTAGCATATAACAGATTCATTAATGGAAAATTGAAAATTGGATTTAGAAAAGGAGCTGCTGATTTACCTAAAGTCGATGGTATCGTGATTGTCAAAGGTCATAATGCTGGAGAAGAAGAAAAAAAGCACTTAATTGATAATTGGGAATAAATGTTAGAAGAAAATAGAAAAAAGGAAGCAGAATTATAGAGAGCAGAACTAGAGGCTTAAAATATGATTGTACCTGATTCAGTTGATCCAGAAGTATTTTATTTCTACTAATTTCATCTCAGGAAGGGGAAGGGTTAATTTCATTCTTATTGTCACCTATTGGAATAGGAATCATAATTTTTGGAATGTTTGTTTTTGGATTGCTAATATTCACAGGTGAAAATGAAGATTAAAAAAACAAAAAGAAAAATAAGTCAAAATGATTATCGTATTAGTAAATATATGTAAGCAGAGTAGATATGCAATTATGTAATACTTTTTATTGAATCCATGTTATAATTGTATAATCAGCTTATGTATACTAAATATTGCTGATATATAAACTAAATAGAAGTATTTCTTAACAGGAAAACCGTTTTATATTAATTTCTATTTAGGTTTTATTTGATTAAGGCTTTTCTTTTTTACTGTTAAATGCGTATGCGAATCCATTTAAAGAATTTATATTCTAATTATCAAGGCTTCCTATTTTGCATCCATTTAATTTTCTTGTAAAAGAAGAAATTTATTAAATATCATTGAATAAAAAATAAATTTTTTTAACTTTATAAATTAGGTTCATCTTAAAAATCTTTAAATTAACTTATTTAAGAGGATGTTAATGATGCTTCCATAAATATGTTAAGATATTTATATTGGATGTTTAATTTTATCCATACCCAAGAATTTTTTTTAAATTAATAATTTTGGCTTAGACATTAAACAATTTAACTGTATTTATAAAAAGATGAAATTGTTAATACTTATAATGATAGCATTCCAATCCATTCTTATTTTGTTTATATTCACACTATAATCCATGAACCTAAAATAGACTTGATTTACTTGATTCCTTCATTCCTTTTAATTTATTGAATTTCTTTTGATGTACTCTCTTTATTCGCAAGATTTTATCAAATAAATTAGAATTACGAATTCTTTCTCATATATTTTTATACTATTTATATAAACTATTTGTTGAATATATTCATTTTTTTCTAGAACTTCTTTCTCTTTCAAATTAAATGATAACTGGCTTTAATTAAACAGGTCTAAACATTATTTTTTATTCAAATGTTTCGGTAGGTTTTAGTTTCACTTCAGATTATTGGATTTCTTTAGAGAGATTCTCTTCTTTAGAAATTTTACTAATGAACTCTATGTTTTAATTATACATAGCACTTATGGTGGGTTAAATTACTGCCATAGTAACTTATTATTAATCCTATTAATTATTAATTTTTTATGGAGTAATTTTGGGAGGGCTTAAAGATATCCCTATTTTTTGTTCTAATTGTAAACGAGGGTTGAAACAATCATCCTCAAAAAATACTGTATAATTAAGATTTTTCTATTTTTTCTTTCCCATTAAAGTGATATGAGCACACTAACCTCAATTTATTCACCAAAGATTTTCTTGTATCTTTGAGTAGAAGTCACTAAATTGTAGTACACATATTAAGCACTTTTATCTTCTATCATTCTTAAGATTATAACAAGCTTGCCTTAGTAGCAGCCTAGCTCAATCTTCTTGAATTAGATAAAAGACTTATCCTTAAACCGCAATTCATAAAAATTGAATACTAATCAATGAAAAACTCATTTAGATCTATTTGATCGATGGCATGCTCATCAACATTCACAATAATAATTGATTTCTATGATTCCCATTCTTAACCAACGAGATTGCTGTTTATGTATAAATTTTATACTTTTTCTGTAATGCTTTAGGCTCTATTTTAATTGCTTAATTAATCACATATGACACTGTATTCACCAGAATATTCCTCAAATGATGAATTTGGTTTCAAATATCTATGTTTTTCAATATTATTGAGATTCTTCTATTATGAACCTACACTTACTAATTTATTCCTATTTTATTAAGCTAATCTATACTCATTTTCAGATTGGATTGTAAATTCCGTTTGAAGCCCTAAATTTAGAAATTGATTGGGACAAAAATCAATCATTTATTTTGTGATTTGATACATTAAGAAAAAATAATTATTTATATAACTTCTTTTTTTGTAAATAAGCCTAAATAGAGAATTTGAAATGCCGATCCTTATGATTAGAATAATTGGCATAAATTAAACCAGAATTATTAAACCATTTAGTGATTGAAGATGGCAAAAAAATCAAAGGTTTTTTGATATTTCTTACAATAATAATATTGAAGTTGCTTCTATGAAAGTAATCCATTCAAATAATTTAAATTGTTTGTAACACCTGAAAAACTTATTTCTAGGAAATCCGATTGTGATGGTGTTGTTTTATTTGAATAACATAATCCTTATTATATGTAGCATCCTGATCAAGAATTCAAGATGTTTGAATTTTGAAGCAAGAATTTCTATATTTCATTGCGATCAGTAAATAAATTAGACATTTGGTGAAGCAATCATAAATTTAGGCTGCCAGAAATTTAATCAAATTAGAAAACTCTACACATTTACAAAAAAGAGAATTATAATTTATTATATCCAAACAACATGGAAATAGATTATTTTAAGAAAATATCATAAGTTGTGTTATTGAAGAATGGATACTCATAAGAAAAAAATCATTAGCTTGTGACTTTTTGTGGAAGATAATTACCAATTTAGTGATAGATCTATTATAAAATAAAAAAATGTGAACAAAAATCCTGAATAACTAAAAATGGTAAAAATAAAAAAAATATTTTTATGAATAAATTTATATAAAAGTATTTTTACTTATTATTTTCTTTTTATATTGCAGATTTCATTCAAATTTTGTGAACAGAAAAATAAAAGATAGAAAAAAAGGAGAAGGAATTGTTACTAAAATTAGATAACAATAAGAAATAAATGGAGGAGAGCAGCAGAAATAATTACAAAAGGAAAAACTCTTATAATAGAATTTAAGAGGATTAGATAAAGAAAATATAAATCCATTAAAGATATAACTATTTACAAAATGAAACTCTCTGTCTCATTAAATGATATAGTAAATCTAGATTTATACAGATATCATTTAATAGCAATTTTGGAGATATTAAACTCATTAAAATATAGGAGATAATAATTTTAAATCTACACCATTTAATAACAGAAGACTATATAAAGATAAAGATGAAAAAACTTTGCAAAGAATGTTGATTAACATTGAAAAGTTGAAATCTTAATAATAATTATTATTTGAAAATAAAAAATAAAAATATGACAATAGACAAGATTTATAGCAATATTTCTTATTATGTTATTATTTTGTCAAAAGTTGATATATATATTTTAATTTAATGGGCAGTGCCTGCAAAAACATGAAAAATACGCAAGATCTAAAGTAAGTTTACATGAATTAAAATGGACCATTTAAATAACTGAAGAGAGCTCATTTTCAACATCCTAAGTAAATTATGGATTTCTAAAGCTCTCATTCAATCTGTTCTGAAAGAAACTCATCCTAATGCTCAAAAACCATAGGAAATATAAATACTTCAAGTTGTATTTAGATGACACGAAGAGACAATCGTTTTTTTACTAAAAGAGTTAGTAGTAGTTTAAATCACAACAGTTTAAATTTTCTCAAAAAAGATGATCTAAATTCATAATCTGATTTATCTGTAGAACTAATTGACAACAATTAACTTACATTAATAGTACCTTATCATACAAGAAGATCGTGGAGTAGAAGAAGAGTTACCACTAAATTTGATTTATTAATGAAAGTGAAAAATAACAAATACCTAGAAAAATATACAAGGAGGTAAACGTGAGATTCTTATAATTTTTCAAATCCTCTTTTTTATTTATTTGTAAAATATATAAAAATATAATCTTTTAATAAATGTTACTTTAGTGGTTTACATATAAATCCAGATAATCTAATTATGTTGGATGTCAAAATTTCTGTTAAAATATCATATTAAGAAATTCAAATATATTGATAGTAATAATAAAAATATATGTGAATTAACATAAATACACTCTTTGGAATGTGAAAAACACTATAAATAACAAGAATATTTAATTGAAATATCTAGCAGGATTCTAGAGTTGTTGTCTTTTGTGAGCTTACGATTTTAAGTGTTAAAAAGTAAATGCTACTATAATTAGATATTTACAATGTTATGTTCAAATAAGTTATAATAGTGTTTAAAACAATTTTTTTAAAGAAACAGCTTATAGAAAATATCGAATTATTAATATAACATTCATTTTAACATCCTATTTAATTTGATAAATGTGATCTTTAAAGTTGTAACATTATGTATTTAATTATAAAGCCATCTTCTAATTACAATTAATATATTGTTTTTGAAATTTACAAAACAGAAGGAATGTAAATTTGTATGAAATATCTGCTAAAAATTTTAAGAAGTTACTTCTTTCAGCAAATACATTATTAATACTATATAATTTTATAATTTCAGGATTAAATGATTATTTCTGAGAATTTAAGACTAAACGTAATACCAAGTTTTAAGAAGTGAAAGGAAATATGGTTAGACTCCATGAGATTAAAAAAGTAGTTTTAAGCAAAAGAACTTGATGTTATTGTAAATGCTGATAGTAATTATGAGTATGAAATTATAAATAAATTGATTAATTAAAATAATAAAACGTGTTTATGATGTTAGTAATACTCTTGATGATCATGCAGACGTTTGCATCTAATATTGATGTTTAAATTTCTTATATCGATGCTTCTTTAATAAACATTCATTGGTGTAGCGATACTGTATTGGCACTAACTTCAAAAGGATCTGTATACAGAAGTGATGATCGAGGCCGTCAATGGACCAAAATGTCTGAGATTTTTCATCGTAAAGCACTAATTTAGCTTGAGGATGCTGGTGATAGAGTTGGAATAGTAAATAATTTGGTTGCAAGTCCTGTTGATAAATAACTCATTCTTTTTACAGGCACCGATTAAATTGCATGGATATCACTTGATTGTGGTAAAACTATCACAGCAGTTAATGCAGGTAAGTAATTGAGGGAATATTAATTTCATCCAATTGAGAAAGATTGGATTCTTGCCTCTGCATGGAAACAATGTGGTTCAGATGAACTTCTTGCTGGTAAACCTTGTGTCTCATACAAGGAACTTTTGTTAAGTCAGGATACAGGAATCACATGGCTGTCCATAGCTACTTATGTCAATCAATTTACTTGGGGTGTTAAAAACAAAGACATGGCCAAGTATACTCCAAAAGAACGAATTCTAGCATCATTTGATCCTCAAGGAAGAGGACATTAATCAATCAGTAGTTGGAATATGGATGCAAATTTATATTACAGCGATGATTTCTTTCAAACTCGTACTTTAAGTGTACCAGCAGGTTCTAGATTTTTATTGACAGAATCCTTCCTATTTGTAGCTAAAGTCACATCATAATATACCTAAGAGGTTAGTTTATATGTAAGTGGTACTGAATTAGGATAATATAAATATGCAATTATCGATGCCGATTCAAAATTATTAGAACACTCTTATAGTATTTTGGATACCTCAGAAAATCAAGTTTTCATGGTTGTTAATCATTTGAAGCCATCCTCTCCTTTGGGGGTAATTTATATAAGTGACTCTACTGGTACAAGGTATTCTAGATCTCTGGAGAATGTGGCCAGATTAGAAAACAGTGCAGAGTTCTATAGAGTTCAAGGATTAGAAGGAATTTATTTGGCTAATGTTTATGCTGAAGATCAAGCTAAAATATATTCTCATCAAGTCTTAGAAGCTATGGAAGAAGGATTCTATGCTTAATAAAATGGATTTAAAGATGAAGACTTGAAGAAATACAAATAAACAAGGATTACTTTTGATAAAGGTGGTTAATGGGTTCCATTGAAGGTATAATTATTAAATTTATGATTAGCCACCCACAGTTGATGCAGATGGAAAACCAATTAATTGTAATAAGTGTTAGTTACATATTCATCTTAGTTAAGCCTTTTATTAATTTGCACCAATCTATACTTAAACCAATTCAATAGGAGTAATTGTGGCTACAGGATCTATTGGGAAATATTTAAGTTACAGATAGGATTAAGTAAATACGTATTTGAGTAGAGATGGTGGTTTAACTTGGATTGAAATTAAAAAGGGTTCATATATTTATGAAATGAGTAATCATGGAGGGTTGATTGTTATGTCTAAAGATTAAGAGACAACCAATCAGATAGTCTACTCTTGGAATGGTGGAATAGAATGGGCTCCATTCAATTTTTTAGATTAGAAGGCCGAAATATCAAATATTATTACTGAACCTTAGAATAAAGGAACTAGATTTATAGCATATGGTTCTATCTAATTAGAATCTAATGGTATCAAAACTGAATAGGGATTGCTTGCTACTATAGATTTAGATGAATTGCATTAGAGGAATTGTATTGGTTAAGATAAACCAGGAGAAGTAGGTAGTGACTATGAATTATGGACACCTTCTGGTTTAGTCAATCCAGAATGCTTATTCGGTAAAAAGGTAACTTACATGAGAAAAAGAAGAGAAGCAGCTTGTTATAATCCAGATACTCTTGAGAAGATCATAAGTGTCACACCATGCCAATGTTCGTAGGAAGATTATGAATGCGATTTAGGATTTGTGATGAATAATTAATTATGTGTACCTATTGATGGTACCATCAATGTTGATCCTCCTGCCGAATGCAATGACTATTACACTGTTTCCAGTGGATATAGAAAAATAGCAGGAGATATTTGTGAGGGAGGAGTCGAACATCCCTCAATGAGATTCAGTTGTCCTAATAGTAAGGGTTGGATCTTCGATTGGCTTGTTATTGGAGGAATCCTTTTTGGATTATTTTGGGTGTACAATAATTAAGATAAAGTCAAAGAATATTTTACTAGGACTGAAATGAGTCAACTTCCACAATCTAAATCAGATGTATTTGTATATTTTATTATTAGAAATTAATAAAGTAATTATAATAGAAATAACCAAAGCAATAGTAATAACAACAATAATATTAACCTATTAATCTTGAATAAAATGATTAGTAAGATTAGAAATTTGATGAGGAGTTGATTGAGAAAGATGAAAATATTTAAATGGATGATGATGGTTCTCACGAGTTGATTTGATTATTATGACTGTTATTAATATTTTTAATCCTCCAATTAATTTATATGCATCTTCAACTTTCAGATTATTGTATTGTATTGTATTGTATTGTATTGTATTGTATTGTATTGTATTGTATTGTATTGTATTGTATTGTATTGTATTGTATTGTATTGTATTGTATTGTATTGTATTGTATTGTATTGTATTGTATTGTATTGTATTGTATTGTATTGTATTGTATAATAATTTAATTCTCCTTTCAAAGGGAATAGCCAATATAAAAATATATATTTGCAATAAGTTTTTATTCATATTTTTCATTAAATATTTTAATGTATCATTTTTTAACTTTCTTTTTCTTCTTGTTGCTTTCTGACTCACTTTCTTCCACTTCACTATATTCCTCATCTTCTTCGTCATCAGATATAGAAAAACTGTCATCGTCGTCTTCATCTATCTAAATTTATATTATTCACATATTACCTCCTCTTCGTCTTCTTCTTCATCCTCCTCATCATCATCATAAATTTCGGTCTTTTCCCTAACAATCTTACCTTTCTTGTCCTTTCCATCCCAGGGCCTTAAGTTTTGGTAGCAGATCCCCAAATTTTGGTTGTAAAATTATCATCATCACAAACCAGGATTTTTCTCTAGAAATAGGTGTGTTAATTGGTCGAGTTATTTTAATTACTCAATTTCCTAGTGAATAATGGAAGGGTCATACATCGAAATCTTTGATTTGATTCTTCTTGAGATTCAAAAATGTTAAAGATGGAAATTTCTACACTATCGATTTAATGCTTCCTTCCTCCAAAAGCATTTTCTTCTAAATTCAATGAATTAATATTTTTATAATCTGAGAGATTGCTTATGGGATTGAAGTTTACATCTCTAAAATCCCAATTATTCTATCCATATTATAAATGCAATACATAAATTCGAAAATGTTCGTAAATAATCATCGATCTCCTTGCTAAACTCCTGAATCTATATACCCTAGAAATGCAAGGAATTTATTTTAGAATCATTCTGTCTTGATTAAGAACGTCTTTGTTTCTGAATTTGCTCTAAGATTTTATTCTTCTATGAGCTTCCCTTCATTTTGTGATTAAGATTAAATTGTAATAACAGATAATATTAAATTTATTAAAAATGAAAATAATATTTTAGGTTATGTTCGCTTTATAAACTATACCATCAAGTGCTTCCATTTAAATATTAATTACTCTCTCACTTTCTCCTTTAAATCTATTTAATAAATTAAGTTAGCAAGCCAACTATAGGTAAGATCTAACTATCAAATGCTGTTTTAGAACGTCAAAAGAGTTTCTTATATAAATAATTCTAATTTAAGGATACATCTAATTTAATTTCCTAAGATATAATAATCTCTTAGTAAATAACCAATCTCTTAAGATAAATTGAGGCCGTTACATCAGGGATGATACAAATAGAGGATTTAGATTGAAGAGATTAATTGTAGAACTTATAATTATAAAATTATTATTAGTGGATATTTCAAATTTGTATTAATATAATTTTTTTAATATATTTCTCACATTAAATGGACATATAATATGACTGGTCGAATCACCAATTCCAATAGGTGGAGAAGAAGATTATAACTGAATAGGATGTCGAGAAATTCAAGAAGACAAAAATACTGGGCGAATTATTGGCATTCTTATAATCACTAATACAATCAATCTAAAATAAGAAGATTTCGTAAACAAAAGATAATGAGAAGTTCATTCACATTTGTATTTTATTATCCTACATTTAGAATAATTGTTTGTGTAGTTAGAGTAGTTACTTTAGAAAGTGCCACCAATCCAATAATCAATGAGATACGGTAATAAAGCCTTTAGAGATTGGTTGGATTAAATTAACCCCATAGTTGATGATTATCTCAAGAAGTAACTACCATAGAATTTGCAAAATGCTGCCGTTGAACTTCGATCTTATTTATTGGATTCATTTGGAAATAAACAAAGAATAGACTATGGAACAGGACATGAATTCTAATTCTTCCTCTTCCTGTTTTCTTTATTTAGATTGGGCATTTACACTGAGAAGGATTACGAAGGAATAGTGAGATTAGCATTTTATAAGTATTCAAACATCAATTACAACTTTAGGTATATCGATTTTGCAAGAAAAGTTCAGATGACTTACATGCTTGAGCCAGCAGGTTCTCACGGTGTTTGGGGATTGGATGATTATTAATTTTTACCTTTCGTTTTTGGAGCTGCAGAATTGGTAAGAAAATGAAAGTATTCTTAGATATAAAATGATGATGGTTTACTTCCTGACAGTATTATCAAAGAGAATGTAATAAAGAATTATAAAGCAGAATACATGTTTTTTTAATGTATAGACATTCATTAATAATGTATAACATCCTTTTTATATACCTATTTTAGGTGAAAAAAGGACCATTCCATGAGCATAGTCCAATTTTGCATAGTCTTACTAATTTGACTGGATGGGAGAAGGTGTGCTCAGGATTAATAAAAATGTTCTAAGGAGAAGTATTATTTAAGCATCCAGTGATAAAACACACATATTTTGGAACGATTGTTGAGTTTAAATGAAAAATAATTTGTGTAAATCAAATAATAAATAAACTATTTTTATTACTTCTGCTATGATTCATTTAATATTTTTTAGTAACATTCCTTATAATAACAATCAATTCAATTTCTATCAATTTTGTAGAATTGTTGCATCTTGATTTACTTAAAAATTACTTCAAAATGATATAATAGTATTTTGATGGATTTAAATAATAAACTCAAAAATTAAAATGAATTGTGAATAATAGCAATAATCTGAAAAAGAATGATAAACATGTTTGATTAAAAAATGAAAAATATGAGGTTTTCTGACTTTAACTTAAATTATAAAAATTCAGGTCTAATTTTTCAATTAAACAACAATGCAAGTTATATCATCTCTGGCTAAGCTATGTTTTTTCCAGGCATTTATAGCTTCAGCCATTAGTTTGTCAGCAGCCAAATCTATGTTATCTTTTTCAATATATGGAGCTACAACATTCATCACCTTAATTATATTTAGATAATACTTCTTCATTCGTAAGGTATTCCCAAACACCATCGGAGGCTACTATTATAAATTGATCTTAAGGAGTGATAGTATATTCAAGTATTTCAGGAACACTAATAACGCCAGCTTATGCTCCTAATTTATCACCCATACTTCTTGTCATGGCTAATCCAGGAGCATCTATGTATTGTAGCCAAACTCTTTCTGGTCCTAGTTAATTACCATAAAAATCTAGGAGATATTATTGTATTTTAACCTCTTTAACTATCAATTCTACCTCCTGCTTCAATAATTCTTTACTTCTCTTATTCATCAGATGGTTTATGATCTCTAGTCAATTAGATTGCTTTCCAGCCATCTTAATTTCTACATATTATGGCTCTACTGTCACCAACATTGGCTGTCCACAATTGCTCTTTTCTTATTAGGACTGAGACTGCTGTTGATCCAGATAAGGTCGTGTCGAATTCACTTTCAATTATCTCTTTATTGGTTTTCTCAAAAGCTACAGTTAAACATTTTTCTATATCTCTTCCTTAGGTTTGAAATTATTGTTCCAAGTATTTTGGTAGTTATTGTTTAATTAAGTTTGATACTAAATGTCCATTTGTTCCATGTCCATCACACACTGCAATTAGAGAACAATTGTAACTTTCTAAATGATCTTAACAATTTACTGTTCTAAATTATTGGGAAATAGGATGGCAGCATCTTAATTTGTCTTTAATGTCTTATTAGGAAGACAACCAGCTTTAGTCTTTGAAGCAAATAATCCGCCTTACCATGTTTTTGCCATCAATCTTCTTTTGTTTAAGACCTATCTTTCAGGACTAAATTATTGTCTCCTTTCAGGTGTTACTGAAGAATAATGAGGCATTGGAGCCTCTTCATCTAATTATTTTGGACTTCTCATTTGAGGACCATTGGAACTATGCTTTTATTTTGGAACATCGCTCTTTGCATCTAATTTTGGCAATCTACTTGGAATTCTTAGGCCATTTCCATAATTTGCGATATTTATCAACTTCTATTCTAAGCAAAATACATTTATTTTAAGTACAGGGCTCAAAATTAGGAATCTCTTATTTCTTTATTCCTGGTAAAGAGGGCAAAGAAACCTTGCCATTTTGCTTTGCCTCTTGTTCTTCATTCTTATATCTTTTTTAGCCCATTTATTTTTGTATTCTGCTTTGATCTATTTGGTCAGATTGAGGATGTCGTGGAGGTTTTAGGGAACTGTATTCTAAAATTTAAATGCAAACAGAATTTATAATATGGAAAGTAATGTAAATATACGAGTAAAGGTTGTATTACCTATCGATGATGTCAGCTTTGGTTTTTGATCAGACTATAATTGTTAGCTCTATGCTAACATTTAATTAATTATATTGATTAAATAATATATTACACTTTTCATTTGTGTGCCTTTACTCCTTTAAGGGCACCCGACTTTTTTGAAAATACCTCTTCAAATGCCTTGCTAGCTTGATTCTTGAATCTTTTATTGAGAGCCTAAAATGGGTTATATGAATTTAGATTACTTTTGGATTTAATTATATGAAAGCAAATGGTTCCGGCCTTCCTTTTACAGTTACATCACCTCCAGCCCTCTATTTGGATTTGAATGTAGACCCGCTTTCTTTTACCACATGAACAACATCCTTAGTCTTTCGATCATTTTTTGTTATTTTCTTTTAAGCACGCTCCTCATCATCACTATTTGCAGCTTCCCTCCTACGCTTTTAACCCAAAACCTCCTTCTATTCATTTACAATCACCTTTCCATCCTTGTACTCAACCAAAGGTTAAAATGCAGATTGCTTTTGTTATTCCTTCTCTTAAACCTTCTTTTTTTATTTTATTGCATCCTCAAAATGGAATTATTCTTTCTTAAAATCATACTTTAACAACAGATTGTTTTCTACTTCTGCTTCAGTTTCCATACCACCCTACTATTATTTTGGCTTTGTTTCTAATTACTATTCAGATTCCTCATCGCTTTCAAGATCAGAATCCTTTTATTTTTTTTATTTCTTCTCTTACCATTTCTATTTATTTAATTCTCTCTCCTAATCTCTTTTGTTTTTCTTTTTTTTCTATTATCTCTCTATTTTTATAGCATTCTTATATAATTTAATGTGCTCTTGTGGAATTAAACTTTCAGCTGAAGGATATGCTTTACTAAGTTTCATTAACAATCTTTTTAACAATATAATGTTCTTGTCTCTTGATACCTCATCCACATTAAGTAATTAAGTGAAAAGCTATGAATTCAATGTATGTCTATGTTTGATTAGTACTTTCACATATAATATAATGGATTTAAAAATCTCATTATTTTATTCTTTTAACAATAACAAAATTAACTTAGTCATCTCATCAATGAATTCTCCTTTCAAATTTGGATAGAACTTATCAACTAACAGTGAAATTGTGGCCACAGCATCAGCTTTCATTACATTTGATTATGCTGCCAATCCTGCAAATACCATTGATATAAATTAGTCTAATAGATCCAATCCCAATAATCTCTATCCAATATTTTCTATTAACTTTTCAGCCAAAATACGAGTCTTAATATTATTATCTCTAATTGCAACTACCATTTCAGGTAAGAATTACTATATAAATGTTTAATAGCTATCTAACTTAGAGGTTACAGTTTGTTCCAATTGTAAAATAACTTAGAATCTTTTTTATCGAGAACTAGGTTCGCATTCTGCTTCCAAGACTAAATTGTAGACTTCAGCTAAGAAAGTATGATGAACCTTTGGTATTATTGCTACTAAGAATTTATAAATCTTCTTCTAAATTAAAGGTATGTTAATCATCTCCTTAACAAAATTGATACAGTAATCCCAGAGATCTGAAGTCATCTGTTAGGCACTTACGACTTACAATACAATATCCATATTGTTTAAAGCTCTATCATCCAATTTATCTTTGGACGATAGTAGCTTTTCTATGTTTTTCTTGAAGGCTTCTTATATGTAAGATTTCGGTGCTGCAAAACTCATTACTTTAATAGCATTTAATGTGTGAGTGCAATTGTTTTATTCAACTAATTTGGCTAAAGTGGAAATGTATTATTTGGCAAAATTTTATAGTGATGGGAAGGTGACTAATTACGAAAACAATTTGGCAATCATCAACAGTAGTTTTTCGAAAAATACATGTTCCTTTTTCAAATAGTTTAATGTTAATTCAATAAATTAACCTAATTTTGGGTGATTTTAAGACTCATAAGATGCTTTAGCATTCGAAGCTATTTCTAATACATGAAAAAGAATATTTTGAATAATTTTTTATTCATGAGATGGATTTGCATTAGATGCCAAGGATAGTAAGTTTGTTAATGGAAATAGAAAATCGAGGAATTCTTCCAGCTTTGGATTTGCATATTTACTTAAAATATACAGAATCCAACAATTAGATTTTTCATCGAAATCTTTATCCAAAGGATTGACACCTTCTGTTTTAAGTGGAAATGTGTGTAATAAATTAGACATGCTTACTCCAACACATAATTGACCAAATGTCTTCTCAAAATATACATGTGGCCATCTGCTCTTGTTGTGTACAAACTCTTTCACTATATCTTTGCAATGTTCAAATGTTTTATCATCAATAGTAGCAAAGAATTTAGCAAAAACATCAAGAATATTAGCCTGATCAAATCTATTACTAAATAAATAGGTTAAAGTAGCAATGTATTTCTATTGCAATGTTCCTGCACTCTCTAATTCTAAATTCATAATGTCTTCAGCCAAATCTTGTTTAAGAGAGAGAGTGGCTTTTCCAATTTTCTCAATTAAAGTCATCATCTCTAATCTACAATGTTGCATTAATTTTTAATTATTTTGTAAGAGTAATTCTGCCATATTAGATAAAGTGGATGGTAAATAAGATGCAGCCAAAGACAAAGAACTCCAACTCAATGTAAGCAAACACTATCTAATACACTAAATATATGCATGTTATGCATTAACTTCTTCTGGTTGTAATTGATTTAATTACTATATCAATTTTTCTGCCTAATCTGCTCCAACATTTTGTTGAAGTACTTACTAATTATTTACAAACTAAATATACCTCTAAAGATAGAAAAATAAATGGATAATATTTACTGTCCATGTTTTAAATCTCTTCAATTATTACATATAATGCATCAACTAGAATAGAGTAAGGAATGAGATTATTAAGAGATGCTAAAAGTGTGAGTGAATGCTATGCACATTCATTATTTTCTTGTAAATTTGTTTTGAAATGAGTTCTCAGTCTCTCATTTATTTCAGGAACTTATTAAATATCCAATGCTTTTTACTAATAAAAGGCTTATAATGTTTTGATTGCTTATTTTCTCAGCTTTTTCTTGTCACTTATAGTTTGCTATAATAAAAGATTGAACAATTGATGCATTTTTGGAGAGTTTAAATCCTTGAATAGAAATAATCATATACCTCTTTAGATGATAGTATTAGAATTTATCCAAAAACACCAACACTTAGATTATCTAATTAGGCTTTTCCTATTTCTTCCAACAAGGCAGGAATTAACTTTCTTACTACGACAATTGGAACTGAAGGTAATATCTAAATTGCATATAGATTGCCATTACTTTATAAATTAGCAAAATGATAACATCTTAGCCTTCTTTAGTGGATTTCAATAAATTAATCAATTATGCAATATACGCAGTAGGATTAGTTCTTTATTCAAGGTTAAGGTTGTTTTCAATGGACTATAATAGTATTAATCCTTTCTCATTTTAGGGTGAATTTTTTTATCGTAGTTTTGAGTAGAGTTAATCCTTGAATGTCTCGACTTACATAAATTAAAAATTAATTTTATAAAAAAACTCATTTACAATTCATTATAAGAATGACTGAGCATTGAATTTTAGAGGGTGAATATATTCAATCTCTAATTTTCATTAAGTTTATATATAGCATTCTATTAATAATATTCCTTTTCTCACTATTTAATTCTATAGTTCTCAATAATTGGACTATTATCCAACTATTCTTCCCGTTAATTTCCTCGAAAAGTGTGGTTTTCATAAGTTCTAGAACTCAACAAAATAACAATCAAAAGTTCTTGATGCACTTGTATTTTTAGATATGATTGAAGTATAAATATAATATAATAAGTATCCTTTATAAGTTAATTATCTTACATATTATAAATGTTCTCATTTACTTGAAAGATTATAATAATAAGATATATATTTTATTGACAAAATTAATACAACCAATTTGAAGGAATAGATCATTTTATTAGTTATAGAGGAACTTATAAATTCAAATATGGTATAATTTCTAGTTTAAATTTCAGATGAAGTTGAGCATCGATTGAATGTTTTTCCGATCAGAATGGTTGTATTATGAAATTAATTAGTTTTAAGTATTATTATTAATTCCCACCCCCCACCTGATGTTCATTTCGTGTTTTATTTAAATATCATTAATAAAATGTCAGAGGATATTAAGACTAGAGCAATAAATTATTTGAATTGCACTCTGGGAGATATGCATGAGGGAGAGCAACTAAATTTTGTTTGTCTAGATAGCACTTGCAAAGAAATTGGTCTCATATGTCCAGTTTGTAGATCATAAAAACATGCAAAACATAAAGTGATTCCTTTAAAGATATTCCTTGCAGATATTTCGAATAATGTTAATGGAAAATAGAATCAAAATTCGATTGACCAATTATTGACTTAGATAGATCAAGTGCGTACCAGATTATTATCAAGTCTTAAGGACACTGTGCAAAAAATGGTTTTGTATATTATTTATACTACTATAAGATAAATAAAATTACTGGAAGATTAAATCAATTTAAGTCACAAGAACACGAGACAAAGATTATTGGAATAAAATTAAACATAAATGAATTTTCCATAAATATTTTAGTAAATACTCAATTGCCAATACAAGAATGCGGATCAACTCAAATAGGATGTGAGAAAGATTATAGATAATGTTAGTTAATTGTAGGCTGGAAAGATTGAGATTGACTTCAAACCTCAGAGATTATTTGATTAATATTAAAAAGCTGTAATCTAGTTCATACTAAATATTTTAGTCTTCAGAGGCAATTGCTCAATTTAATCATTTACTTACGTAATTCAAATCATCAACTTCCAAAATTTCTAAGCCTATTGAAAAATTCACTCAACCATTGTAAGCCTAGAATTCATCCAATTTCACATTCAGCACTGTTCTTAAATCTCCGTCGATTACAATAACAGAACAAAAATTTGCTCATCAAACTGCTGATCAGAATAGTGATAATAGATTCATTTTAATTGAACCTCAAATTCTGGAGTCTTGTAAAATAGCCATCAAGATTACCAATTTATCTAATTTCATTGGCATAGGTATAGCTTATAAAAATGTACTTTCCTTGAAGAAGTAAAAAAGTATTATAACATTTAAGTATGAAATTTGATCATTAAAATTTGGGACATGGTTCTTACATGATTTCATCAAATGCACACACCTGGTCTCACTCTAAAAAAGAAGAGAATATGGCCTAGAAATCATTCACTTTCACTAATGGTGATATTATCATTGTGGATGTCAGTTTGGAAAATAAGGTAAATCTGTTTATCAAATTTAGACACTCAAATTTACGTGCAAAAATAAACCAAATGATACTTAAGCAATCCTGTTGACCTTTGATAACCCAGACAATGATGATATTCATTTCTGCATCAACATGTGTTCTTTTGGAGAGAGAGTGGAAATCTTAGATGATTGGGAATGATTGTAATCCAAACAAAAATTTATATATTAAATATTAATTCAATATGTAGTAATAAAAAGAATATATTCCAATAGTTTTGATTGATGACAAGATTAAATAGTAGAGAATCGAAACAGAATTCACAGAAGAGAAGTATAGACATATTTTAATATTTTCCTATTTAGACTACCATTAATTGAATCTGTAATTAAAACAAGCAAAACGAGTACTCATCTGCTAAATTCCAGAACCTCATCCACTAAATATATTATCCCAACTGGGATCAAGCCTATTGTTTTTCCCAACATTCTCTAAAAAACAAAAGAAGATATGATTAAATTGAGGAAATATCAATTAGCTTAATTGCACTTTGAGGGTGATTAACACCAAAATGCTGCTATTTTGAAAACAGAAAACAGACCAAAGAAAACTGAAAGGGATAAGTCGAGCCAAAAAATGTATACTTAAGTTACAAAAAATTCATACAACAGACCAATAATAACTGAACTCACCACTCTCGCCAGAGACAATTATAGTGCTTCACCAAGGTCGGACTCCTTCAAATTTAGAAGTTTAAGTCCAGAAATTGAAAGCTAATTATGGTAGGTGAACAACAAAGTAAATCGAATTAACAAGGCATATGAAATATAAAAAGAAATACATCATCTAGAACGATTTAAGACTCAGTGGAAAACTGATGTAATACAATAAAACTTATCCTAAAAAATTGTGCAAGTAGGGTTAAATACAAAAAAGGGTCTAAGACCAATATTCATCTTAATTTTTTTACCGCATCAGAATATTCATTTGAGAAGTTCCCAAACTGAAGTCAAATCAATGTAATTATGATTCATATATATTTAGAACAAATGAAGTTGAATTAAGTGTGTTTCCTTATTTTGTCCCAGTCTATGAGAAAATAATAAATGAGAAGGAAATTCATGAAAATTATAAGGAATGGTTCTCATATTTTCTTGACATCTTACACTACAGAAGTTACATTCCCTCAGCCAAGACATTTACTTTGGACAGTATTGAAATTTCAGCATTAACTTAAATCCCACAGTATGAAAAGTTTTTATACATCCAATTATAAGTAATGATTTAATTTAAATTAGGGGTAATTCGACTTTTGGAGTATCATGAAATCAAAATTGAATCTTTCCGGAGAATTTTAAGTCGACAAATATCCGAAATTAGCAACCAAACTATTAGATCTTAGAAGTAAAGAAGAGGTCAGCAGATTTTTTTGTAAAAGGGAGAATTTATTGCCATTTTATTTTCGATAAGTTTAGATGGGAAGTCAAACCTTAATACCCTCGCAATATTATATTGAAATTGAAAATAATATTAGGGAACCTGATGATGAGATGTTTGAATAATCAATTATTTAAATGAACGAAAAAGAATAAGATACCTATCTAAAATTATTGTAGCAATATATCCATTCAAATAAATCGAAATATTCCAAAAAATTGAAGAATCTAGAAGAGAATATGAGATTGCGGTTAAAGAAGATCAAAGCAATGAGGAGATAATCTATTTAAGTCAGACTGAAAACAGTACTTTTATATAATTAATTTTAAAGAAACATTTTCTTAAACCTGAAGAAGAAGAGCATTTTGAAAGGAAACTATTATATGAAGATGAAAAATCAATAGAAGAAATCTAAGAGGATGCTTATGATCATATCTTACCTTAAAATACACATATTTTCAAGAAGAAATCGAAACAGATTACATCAGTCGAGGATCCTTTTCAATCTTTTAGTGCGAAGGATAACCAAAAGTTTAAGGAAATCTTGCAATTGATAAATGTTGAGAAAATAGTGTTAGAGAAGAACTTATCAAGATAAGATGTTTATCATTACCTGTCACTTTTTAAGGCTTTGATGGATTCAGATACTCCTTAAAAAATTAAGGATGTAAAATATCCCACTCTGTTTATTTCATTGGATTAATTGCGCAGGGGTGTCCCATTCATCGCATTATATAAGAATAAGGTGAACACCAAGAAACTGGCCGAAGTGTACAGTAGAAAGTACAATTATTGCGAATTCATGGAATTTTTGGATATATTCACTACGGATTACAAGGTGACAGAGTAGGAGTTGTAAGAGGTGGAATAGGAAATAATATATTCTTAATAGAAGCCAAATCAAGGAACATCTTCTGTTTTGTAGAAATAGGCATCTGTAATTTTGGGAACAGAGAATCAAAAAAAGTGAAATATATTTTGATATAACTGTTCATTAATTTTTAATAACACCAATAAAATAAATAAAGATTTATTAATATCATTAAGTGAATTTATTTTATTAAGCTGGCGTTTGCTTTCGTTGGTTGTTGATTGAATATTTATTGATTTCATGAATCTAACAAATTTCTTCCTAAATAACTTCGAAATCTTAATGATCTTCTTCGATTGCAATTTTGCATGGGTTTTATACTTGTAAGGAATTTGATTGAGTTCTTTAAGGTGTTACATCTAAGGGTGGAATATGAAAAATACTTGATGATCCTGATAAAGAAAGATTTGAAATAGATTGGTTTAGCAATTAATTCATTATGGGACTTCTAGCAAAGATGTCAGGGTAATGCTGAAATTGTGGAATCATATTGGGGGGCATATATAATTAAGGAGGGTTCATTTAGTAGACAGGAGCGAAACACTTTATAAACCAAGGATGGCAAAGTGCTTACTTGGCAGTGTACCTGGTTTGCGGATTTGGAGATAACATAATCATTAACAGCTGTAAGGCTAGAGTTAATCTAAAATTTACCTTCAGGACTAATCTTTTATTATAAATTATTGATTGTGTAATCTATTTCACAATTATAATTTTTGATAACAAGTTCATTTTTTGATTTAGTTTGAAATGGAGATTGTCCACTCAACCTTATATTTGTAAATCTTCACTTACATTATAAACATTAGAATTCCTGCACTGAACACATCGACTTTGTAATCATAATTTTTCTCTTATAATATCTCAGGTGCTACATATCCTGGAGTTCCGCATCGTTTAAATAAATATTTGCCCTCTGGATTGTAATAGTCAGCCAATCCAAAATCTGCTATATACACATCAGATGCATTGAGTGGTGAACGAAGGATTAAATTTTCTGGCTTATTTTTTATATTATAATATTATACTTTTATGTCTCTATGTATAATGCCTTGAGAATGCAAATAATCTAAAGAGTTAAGTAGGTTATGCATTAACAACGCTACTTGAATTTCGTTGAACCCCTAGGGTTAATTTCGAAGATACTGAAATAATTCCCCTCCTTCCAAATAATCTGTTACCAACCATATATGATGTTCAGTTTCATAAACTTCATATAATCTAATGATCCCTTAGAATTATATTTTTCGCATAATGCTGATCTCTAATTTTAAAGCATCCTAATATATTTGAAACTATAAATATTACCCTTTCAAGAGTGAGATTTTTGAAGCTTTTCTTCTCGAAGGACTTGACAGCATATGCAAAATTATCCCTACCGATTGCCTTGTAGACCTAAGAATTGAAAACAGATAGATTACTTTGGCAAAATTTCCTTAACCTTATATTTTCAATAGTTTATAATCTTCGTTAAAAGATCTTTAAATAGCATATTTCTTGATCAGCTGAAACCATAATTAGTATTCTTATTCATTAGTAGTAAATTCGATTTATTTTTTATTTCTGCTTAATCTAAAAGTAAATGGCTAGTTAGTTTATTCTAGAATAATATTGTTGAGATCAATGTGTCTTTTGTAGGCAGTGTCCACCTCTACCAAATATTCATTAGAGATGAAAAACTTCCCTTTTTTAATTGATTAAGAATTTGTTTTTTTGATTGTCAATATGCTAGATATTTGATATAATTTAAAGTCAGGCTTAGTTTTTTACCATAACGATTTGTTGGGCTCATCAAACAATGAAACAAAGTTTTTGTTACTCTCTTTATTCATTAAAAAAATAATAATGAAAGGATTTATTAATAAAAATAAAATGATATTAAGTTATATGATATCACTGATATAATATGACATCACCATCCTCTCGATCTTTTCATCAACTTTCGATCTAATTTTTATTTATAATCATAAAAATATGAAATATCAATAAAATTATTTTCAACATACATTTTTGAGTTATCTATGATAAACAATTTTAAATTTATGAACAATTACAAGTGAGCTTAACAAATCCCCATAAATCCACTGTCCAAAATAGATTTCAGAACTTATAATTAATTTTATAATCAAATAATTTACTGACAATCTCCGATTTCCATATTCATTCCAAAACATTCTCGTTTCTTGTTTGCCCACATTACACTAAAAATCCCCTCATTAACAAAGAAAACCAATCAAATGAGAAATAATCTTCCCTGCCAAATATAACTAAAAGGAATGGAGAACCTATTAATCAAATATCAAGAAAGCTATCTTTAGGTTAAATTTCTAGTTGATATTTGTGTTCTTTCAAATTCATCCAACAATTACACTGCTTGACCGAAATCGTAAATCCTTCATTATAAAACATGTATTTTAAGACAGATTAGATAATTGAAGGTCTTTTTGAAACAACACTCTCATAATTATTAATTATTGATATTTAAGTGGAATTATATAATCATTTATTTATTAAGGTTTCTATTATTATCTCCTTGTTTTGTCAATCCAAAGAATTCATCATTTACTATTCCTAATTGAGTCTTACTTGGTTCTAACATCACCTTGCATTTGTCTAAATTATTACATTATAGGATCTTCAAGCTTTTATACTAATTGTATCTTATAAACCTAATTGCCATTAAAATCCATAATTGGCTACACATTTGTAATAATATTAGATCCAAGAATGATAGAACAAATGTCAATGCAAATTTATGCTAAAATAATCAATAAAATGAATGTAATCTAAAAAAGTAAACACAAATCCTTACGATTCCGATTGCAAATTCTAATAGAAATATGAAAATATGAACATTTTATAGATTATCAAAATTTATTAAATAGAAAATATCATCCCTTTAATAAGGGCTAACAACCTAAATAGTCATCCATTGATCGCGTGGTGTAGGGGTTATCACGCGTCCCTAACAAGGACGAGGCCGCCAGTTCGAGACTGGCCGTGATCATGTTTTTTCATTTTTTGTATTAAAATTAATTGATTTCAAATAAATCAATATAGAAATAATTAAAACATAAAAAACTTACATATAATTATTAATTAATTAATCCTTTTTTAAGCCGATATCAGCTTATATTATAATTCATCTGAGTCAATTCAATATAAACCATCATAGCCATCGGAAATAATGATTATTCATATATTTTGATAATTCCTTAGGAACTACAAATAAATGGTATTTTTCTATATATAATGCATTTATTAATTTTTTGTAAAAAATTCAATTCACTTTTTCTTTTAAAATGGCTCAAAAATATCTGTAATTTTTTCTATAAATAGAGGATTATCTAATGGCTCTCCGTGAACATAAAATGGATTTCTTTTGATAATTTCTAAATAGTTTGTGTACACCTCCTTAAGAGTTTCTGAATAATCAGTTTAATCAGAGATGTTTGAGAGTAAGATAATTTTCACACCCGAACACATTTCATAAATGGTGAACTTAAAATAGCTGGTTTAGAAGTATTTGAAATTCGTAATTGGTTCACTTGAAAAGGCTTAACTAAAGCCTTTCAAACCTTCACTTACACCATATATATTTTGTATTCTATTTTGCTTCAAAAGATCTTGAATCTCTGATTTTATAGTGACCATTCCTTTCGCGAAATTCCAATAGAACACAAGATTCTTATATCCTTGGAATATAATCAATTCGAACAAGTTGTCTTAATCTATATATTTTGTATTAAGCATTTTGGTAATTTTTAATAAATACAATAATTTTTTTTTCCCCTATGTAATGGCTATACACTCTTTATTTCTTCAATATTTTCCTCTGTAATAAATTATTTTTTGCTTAAATAAAATTTAATATGTATTTTAATGATTTGTAAGTCAATTCTAAAGAAATCTAATCTTACAGAATACTTTAGAACTTTAATGTTATTTAGTAATTAAGAGAGTTCTAATTATTACAATAGCATTTAACTGATTCTTAATAATTCTAGTTCTAATAGAAATACAGAAACTTTAATTATATTATGGATAGTTTTAAGCATCTTTCATAACCTAATTAATTAATTGCAATGTGAATAAACCTTTAAAAATAAATAATAAAATTCAATATTCTAGATCTCTCTTTTTAAATTAATCCAAAATTGGCAATATAAACTTAAAAACATTGTTTAGGTCTTCTGTCTTTTTTCCTCCTGTGATTACACATCTACCACTAACAAAAATTAGTAAAGTTATTTTCTTTTGGTCTGTAATTTTCCTAAATATCAATCCAGGGAAGATTTCAGGTTCATATTAGACGACTGATCGATATTATTAGTCTTTCAGTAAATTCGTCTAATTTGATTGGCTTTCTGAAGTCGAAGCTTGCAACAATGTTCTGTATTGTAAAGTTTTTGAACACAACAGGGAAACCTAATTTGTTAATAATCTTTGCATATTTTCTAGCCGCAATCAAAGATTAATCTTCTGATTTTGCTCCTGTACAAACCATTTTTCCAGATTAAAATATTAGAGCAGTTGTACTAGGATTACTTAATCGCATAATCACAGCTGAAAATCGCTTAGGATCTAGATTAACAACAAAGAATACTGTATTCGGCCATTCTTGCCCCATTAGAAATGACAACCAAATTTAATTCTGTTCCCAGATCGACAGTAGATACAACATTTTAGATTTTTGGAGGGTGGGTGCTACGTATCAATTCTTCTAGTCTCTCATTGATTTCTGGTATGGCTTATAATTCATTTTTCATCAAATATATAAAAATATATAAACTTATTTTGCTGAATTTGGACTTATACTAAGTAATTATAATGATTAATCTTAAATATAATGTATAATCAATAAGCCTAATAGTCTTAAGCCTAATTTGTTCTTACAGAATTTGTTACTTACCTAACTTAGCTAGTAGCTTATTTGACAGACACAAATTTAAATCCTTTTCCACTCTTGATTGCTTCATTTTAAGCTTCTGACATTTATATTTCATCCTGCACTTCAGTCAATCTCGAATTCAATTGCATTACTTTTTATCTGAGTTGCTATAATTATAAGTCATATTCTCGTGTAGCCTCTGTGGCTGGATCATGTTAATACATAAGATCATTTAGTTTATTTCTCAGAATTACTACAGAATTCATTTTCATTCTTTAAATGTGTTCTAAATGTCCAACCTCCAATTGTAATTACTCAATCTAAACGTTAATAATGTACTGTTACTTTTTGAGTGTCTTCTGATTTGGTAGGTAAATCCTTTTTCAGCTTTTTCTAATTAATCTTCTCCCACAACTAATACATTTGTTATTCTAATTGATAAACCTGATGCCTCCAATATAATTCAATTTCTTCTTAACTATATTAAGAATTGCCATCTTTGTTTATTACTTTATACTAGACAGTTTACAAAAATGATGGAATAAAGTTTTGAGTTTAATATTAAGTTGTGAGTGAATAGGCTTGTTTCAAGGCTTCATATTACTCTAATTACTCTTGGTATTAGGATTACAATTAAGAATACGCTAAGTTGTGTTATTAAATTTCTTCAGATTATTTGTAGTATTTCTCAGCCCATTCTTTTTATTTCAATAACAATTCTTGCTATATTAACTGAGATTGTTAAAGTTATTAATTAAATTATTAAGTATTTATGTTAGTTTGAGTTATTTAAGCCTATTAAATTTAAGGTTGCACTTGATATTACTATTAAATTGGTGGTTGATAAATAGCCTATTAGATTATGTTTGATTAAGTGTTGATGGCCATAGGAGATTATTGTAGTTGAATAGGAGCTTGCTACATAATCACTGGAGATTATTGAACCAATATTGGGGACTTCTATTGAATGATGGGGGGTGTATTGATTATTTAAGAAGTTATTGGCATCACTCTGGGAGGAGTAATTGCTTATTGTTATCTTAGTTGCATTGGTGATAAAGCAACACCTTCGATCACCTTTCGAGAGACTATTCTCTCAGGAGATGTGTACACAACTAATTATTTTTAAATTTAGAACCTCTCCCTCGAATTTGTTATCCAGTCATTGCGTGTGATGACTAAACGAAATTGGATTCTGTTTATGAAGTATGCTCTCCTGATTGACATAATGGACACTAAGGTTCATATTAATCAGAGTAATAAGTCATTACTCCAACTGGTTATGGTGGCAATTACATAAATTTATTTATGAATAAAGGAAATAAATTTTATCTTAGTTATTTTTAAATTAAATTTTCTCTATATTTATTAATAAAATTCAGTCATTTAAATGTCTTATTGTTGATTATTAAACAAGAATTTCACTTCTTTTAACCATTTTATAATTATATTAATTAATATTATTATATTATGCTTGGGTAGTTTCATTCGAAATATGAAATTGACGATTTATTTAGAAAAATCATCGAAGATAAGTATGAACTCATGTAACGTACAAAAGCAGATAATCCTAATTTACTTTTACCTAAGGATTTTAGTAAATTCATTACGGAAAGATTATTCATGGATTTCCTACTCACTATTTACGATTATTGTGTAGAACTCCACAAATTAGAAAAGAAATAAGCCATTTTGGATCAATAAGGTAAGGAGAGAAATGGAGTAGCTCCGAAATTATTATCATCTGAAACAGATAAAATTAATTAAAAATTAAAGGAGATATCTGAAATCTATTCTAAAATCCTTTTAAAAAAAGGCACATACAACATTATTATCAAAGACTAGAAATTCTTCGAGACCTTGATTTATTTTATTACTTAAGTAAAATACTCGTAATAACTTAGGTGTTGAAAGAAGTCTTTGACAAGAGTGATTTTAAATATGTAGAGGAAGAAATTAATAGGATTTTTAGAACTAACCCATTCAATCTGTTAAAAAGAAAAAATATAAATGAAAAGATAGAACAAAAACATTTTGGAGCAAGAGACTATAAAGTTGTCAAGCAGGATTTTAACCCAGATGATGACTTATCTAAAAATGACTTGATTTAAAGAATTCTAACCAGGAGGGGCATGCCAAAAGTAAAATAAATTAAAATCATAGAGCATAGACAGAGAGATGATGGTTGAAAAGTCAAATCTAAAGCCTTTCTTTATAAGATCAACCCGATGTGCTGCCATTAATGCCAGATCTCCTTTGATTGCAATTATGCTTCCTTCAGTTAAAGAGAGATTATTTCAAATGGAAAACGAAAGAAAATAAATGACATCCAGATTTACTTAAAAGTAAAGACCCGTTAAGGATTAAGTGGAATTTTGGATTTAAGATTTAGAAAATAGACAAGCAAGAATGAAAAGTGAACATGAAAATACTCATGATAAATCAAAATTTAATAATAAGGGATCATAATCATTCTGCTAATGAAATATATTAATTACTAACAAATTTATAGTTGAATTTATAGCAGTTGGCTGTTAATTATCTATTAAACTCTCTTTATTGTTATTGAATAATTTTCAATCTAAGATATTTATTTTATAAAGCTTAAGAGATATAATTACATATCATGAATGATTTGAAATAAGTATAAATAAAGACAAGTAAATAAAAATAAATATATAAATTAATCTATGTAAATAAAAAATTTGTAATAAAATAATGTTATATTTTCAAGCAAATATTTTCCTAATAAATTCTTTTTCTTGTTCACTTAATTTTGCTGGCATTTTAACAATGAATTTTATATACAGATCACCTTTAACACTTGGGAGCTAATGAATTGGCATACCTTCTTAAGCAATTTACTTGACCTAATAGAATTTTATTATAATTTATATACTTCAAATGGTTAGATAATTTTATTGCTTTCGACCTCAACATAGTGATTGTCCAAATGCTTGACTCTCTTCTTAAATCCTAAAATGGCTTCCTTTAATGTGATTTCCATATCCATGTACAGATCGTTGCCTCTTCTTTCAAATAGAGGATGTTTCATTTATCTTAAATAAAAGATGACATCTCCTGGGAAATAATCAGGACTCTGTTCGCTTTCTCCTCTGAAAACAATGGTTTATCCATCAGTCATGCCTCTTTCTACCTCTATTTGTAATGTCTTTGACGTTTATTAGACTCTATTTCCTCTACAATTAGAACAATTTCCTGAACTAATCTTACCTCTTCCTCCACATCTGTCACATGCAGTTTGCATTTAGACAGTGAATCCTATACCCATGTTGACATTTTGCATTCTCTAACCTCTACCATTGCAATGCTTGCAGATTTTTAATGTTCCATCTTTAGATCCAGTTCCTTTACACTACTTGCATAAGACTTTCTTTTGCAAAGTAAATTCTCTATCTGTGCCATTATATAATTCTTCTAGAGTAACATGAATTTCAGCTTAAGCATTAGGACCTTTTTATCGATTATAATTTTGTGGATTTGTAAGGGCTTCCTCACCATAGCTAGAAATATTATGAAAAGGCCTTACAAGTCATAGATCATTCTTTTTTCAGGATCTGTCAGTATTTCATAAGCCTTATTGATATCTTGGAATCTCTTTGTGGCTTGCTTGTCTCCTGGGTTTTTGTCTGGATGATAAGTCACGGAGAGCTTTCTAAAGGCCTTCTTGATATCATTGTCACTTGCTTCTGGTGACACTTCTAGTAATTTGTAATAGTCTTCAGCAGCAACGATAGTTAGAAGAACGAATAAATACACGTACATATATTTTTAAATGATAATATTTTTTTGGTTTGTCTCACACTCATCTTTATCGATTATCCTTTGTAATAACTCTTTCTTCTACAACTGCCTGTTATGCTGGTATCATCATGTAGTATTGCATTTGCATAGTTTACATTTACAGTTATCTTTAATAAGCCACTATAAATAAAGAAAAGATAATTAGTATAAGTGTTAAATTTACCTTATTCTTCTGGGGTTCTAAACTCTGGCATAGTTTACTAGGGAGCCATTTCATTGTTGGTTATTTAATAATTAGCTAAAGCATTCGGAGGGTTGATCAACAAGGGTCTAAGTTAAATATTTTAGTTTACGTTGGAATATTGATGGTGCTGGGATCTACACAAGTTTTAGCAAAGTAAGCTCTATTTATTATCACAAATTAATTACTTTTTAGCTCCTTCTAATAGTGTTTCGATTTCTCTGATGGCAATGTTCAGTTATTCCTCAGTACCACTTAAAACAAATGCCTTGTGATCTGGTCTGACTTGATAATCAGGACTTTAAGTGATGGCAACAAAGGCACCACTTCTTTCGCTGATTGCTTTGATAGTCACTCCTTTTTTGCCGATGATTAGTGCTACAAATTAATCATGTACTTGGAATTCAATTTTCTTAGCACCAGGAGCAGTCCTGACTTTTCTCTGAGTATCAATAATTTCTTATAACAAACCCTAGCATTTTTTCACACAATCGGGATCACCAACAATAAATACATTTCTTGTTTGAGACCCAGGAGCAGAATCAGCAGCCACTTATACATTCTTGCATCCAGATTTCTCTTTCAATTATTAAATTGTTTCTCCTTTTACTCCAATCACTAATCCTACAAACTCATTTGGCACTGGATAAACATAAGCATCCTTGCTAGGGGGTCCATAGGGAGTAGTCATAGATAAGTCACTTGGATCTACACTACCAGTTGATGCTATTGGCTGAGCTGTTGTGGGAGTCTATTACGATTAAGCAATTAATTTCATTTATTCCTATCTATATCTTTATACTATTAATCAAATATCATTATTACATTCATCAGCATCAGCCAATAATATTCTCTCTATTCTATCACAAGCATTAGCTGCTTATTATGGAGTCTCTGCAACCACCAAAACATGTAAATCTTCATCGTCATCAGGTTGAGGAGGCTATTCTGGCTTTTAAGATCCTCTGCCTCTGACCAATATTTTAGCTCCTGTTTCTTCTTCCAATTTTTTTTGACTCACTCCCTTGGGTCCAATAATCAGACCAATATAATTGAATGACAGATCAGGAGGAATCTTAATCTTTCTTCTTACTTTAGTTGGGTCATTAAGCATTTTTAATATTGTCGGATTCATACCAGGTACCTTTAATAGCTAATTACCATTACAAATGTATATTGCATCTGTGTTTGCATTGTGTGAGACTATGGAACAATCAAGGCTTGAGCAGCTAAAAATTTTAATGTCTTCTACTTTGTGGTGTGGCAGAGGTTTTTGGATTATTGTACATATCCCTCAAAAAGTCATCTGTATTTCCAGTCTTTGGTTGTGAAGCTACTCCCCAACCTGTTGATCTTCCCGGTCCGGTCTCTACTTTCTTCCTATCTCTTTCTTTCGATTTTGATTATTTTCTCTCCTTAGATCTAGACCTTTATTTTTCCTTAGATTTAGATCTATTCTTCTTTTTAGGAGTCCTCGACCTTGATTATTTTTTCCCTTTTCCCATATTTTATTTATTTAAAATATTGCTTTTATTGTTAACATAAATTTATAAATAGATATTCAACCCAACTTGTTAAAATATTACTTTCTATTTGAATAGTAAGTAATTGCTATTCTATTCACTTTTCTTATATTGATAAACAAAATTAGTATGTCAAAAGAGAGATTTTCATTTTTTCTAACATTCTCATAACATAAAACTATTGAAAAAGAATACTATTTCAATCATAATGGAATAATAGGTGTGTCTCATATAAAAAGAAGGTCGAATTGGAGTGATTAAAATAAGAATGGAAGATTAGAACATTTTAATATGATATAATAATAATTATTCTGGCAATTATTAATTTTATATCTAAATTATAGATGTAATTCAAATTAATCCCTTCATTTTTATTATTTTCTCTAACTCATCAGATTGATACGAAGATTAGTAATAAAAAGGTGATATTTTGAATTTCAAGAGTAAGTTGAGTTAGTTTATGCATCTGTTCAGATCAATAGCCTAATTTAAATAATTGCATTTGTTGTTATAACAATTTTGAATTACATCCTCAATCACACAAAGGTTAATACTCTAGTGAAGTGTGTGATATTAAAAATTGGGATAATAATACTCATATATATAAATAATTTGTTCTAAATAGATTTCAGTAATTTAATAAAAATTATACCTAATTATGAACACCTAAAAACTTCCCCATTTGTCGTCGCCTAAGCGGCCTCAAACAAAAGCAAAGGCCAAGTCAATCACCATGAATTTAACAATCAAAGATTCTCTATAAGAAATTTCAACATTTCGAACGACAACTTAGAGCAGATCAAACATTTAATTATCTCAGACTGACCGATTAAAAACATACTCCGATGTTTCCTATCTCAATTTTCGAAGTGTAACTAATAAACAGTCTTCTGTCTCTTCTCCAAAAATACCATTAAGTAATATTGCTCGAGATCCATAATTATACGAATTCGTAAAATTATCGGTTATATATTTAGCACAGTTAAGCTAATAGAACAAACATCTACACATCTATTATTAAGGAAAACGTAAAAGGAACCTTTATAGACAATCCTGCTGAATTAAAAATATATGATAAAACAATCGATTTTTCACCCTTACTCCAAAACATCAAGATACATTAATTTAAATATTACCTTCAGTCGATTTTACAATAGGAGTGCAAAACTATCTTTGATACCAAATGTCCTCCAAATAGGCAGCAAGCTATTGATCTCTTATTGTGGTTTGATAAAATGATTCAAACTTTAAAGACTGACAATTTGCGATTAATAACCGATTTAACAAATTAATTGCAATAAGTTTATTAAACTTGCATCCACGAATTGGCTAGACAAATATCATACGAATGCAAAGAAAGAGGAACATTGTTATTAATTATTTGGAATTCCTTTGTCTCCTTTATAGAAATGCTCATCTAAAATGTCGCCATGAATTTCGATGAAATGGAAGCCCAATCAATAGACACAGTTCATAGGATTCAAAAGACCCATCAAACATTTGTCCAATAATTGCAATAAGAGATCTGTTAATTAAAACAATAAATAGAATAATTGGAATCAGAGAAGTCAGAATTGAACGATAAAAATATATATTTGGCTAAAAAAAATCTCTAGTTGACTAATGAGATAAAACTCCTAGGCTCTCAATTAGATGAAATGACTGACAATCATAATAAAGTGTATAATGAATTAATCCAAACTAAATTGCAAATAGAAACTCATTCCTCTTAATAAACATAAACCACTCAAAAGATTAAAATTGGAATCCAAGAAGGCCAATCTGTTGTAGCACATCTGTTATCGATGAAAAATACAATGTTCTCTAAATTGCAAAAGAAAACCTCAATTCAATTCGAAAAAGTTGAATAACTCAGAGAGGATGAAGAATATTTTAAGTAAGGATTATCAAAAACCGATATTGATTAGTTGAATTCAACATTTCAATACTAAAATATGTTGAAACTGTAATCTAGGGCCATGATACCGATTAACACAGAAGATAGTATGATATTTAATTATCTTAGAGGATGTTCAAACCGATTCCTCTTTTTCATTTCTATTCGATCATATTGAAGATTTATTCAATCATAGATAGAGTGATTAAGGTCCCAAAATGTAATCATTTTTATGAAACTTTAGTTAGATCTCAAAAAATGAGATTACTCAGAATTACAAAGAATAATTAATAGAGCTATTATAATTCTGCAATAGCAATTAATCCGAGTCTGATGGTGAAATAAAAAAGAAATTTATTGAATAAATGCTTGAATTGCAAGAACAAAAGGTAAATGCAAAATACTACGAGCAAACCTTATAAGAAGCCACTTAAGAATTTATAGAACTGCTTAAAAAGAAAAAATAGAAAATCAAAAAACTTAAGAAGAGCCAAACACTCCTATAAAATCGCCTTAATTCTAGTAAATATTATTCTATAGATTTCAAGTGCAAAGTGAAAGTAGTCCTCCTAAATAAGATATTCCATAAGTTCTAGTTAACTCACCTGGTGTAAAAACTCCATCATTTAGAAACTCCTCGATCTTCAATCAATAGGATGCTCTATAAGAAGACATTATTGAAAGTGACGAGAAAAGTGAAGAGGATTCAATAATTCAAAATATTTAATAGTATAGTAATTAGAACCAAAATCAACAAAATTTTGATTTCGATTAATCAAACATTTAACATCTCAATATGAATGATGAGGAGTTTAAATAATTTTAGGATAATTCTGCTGAAGAAGATTATCTAATTAAATAAGTAGTATAAGACAACTAAGATCACAATTAGAATTAGGAGAATAACAATTTGAGTGTAGAAGTCAAAAATAGTGAATCAAATCACTCCAAAGATATCAAGAATTCTTAAAATAAGAATAATTTAAACACTAGTGCCAGCAGAAAGAATAGCAAAAGTAGTCAGAGTAAATAAAGCATAGAAGACCTGGAATAACAACACTAAAAATAAAAAAATTTATCTCCAATTAAGAGTTAGAAGAATAGAAAATCCTTATAAATTAAAAGTTTATCAGCTATTAAGGATTTAGATGATGAACCGAAATAGTAATAATTAAAAAGAAAGCATTCCAAAGTTGTCAAACATACACAGTAAAAGTCTAGCAATACTATAAATACTCTTGATTAATCAAGTGATGTTAATGAGAGTGAAAATCTATCTTTAGTTTCTAGTGATGATTTATCGGATAAAGCAAAAGAAGAAGATATTAAGAAAATCGAAAAAATTAGAAGTCTTGTACAATAATATGGAGGAGCTAATATTTAGAAAAGAAGATTCACTAAACCAGTTGCAATCAAATTATCTTTGTTGTCTGATTTAAAAAAAGAAAAAAGAGTCAAAAGAATCTATAGTCAAAATACAGATGCTGCAAATTCATTGTTACATGAGGTTATGAATGTTAAAATGAAAAAACAAAAAGACTCAATCATACCTATTTCATCAATTATCAAAATTTTTAATACTATCTTAGCTGATACTGCAAAAAATCAAGAAGGATATAAAATTCCATTGCATGTTAGTATATATGACTTTTTCTTAAAAAAGTACGGATTTAAAAATGTGGCTGAAAAAAAAATTAAATAGGTAAATTTAAATATTACTTTTCATTAGTTACTTTAATTTATCTTTCATAAGAAAAATTAATACCCAAAATTATGTTTGATCTCTAGATTATGCTATATGGATGATGAAATGGACGAAGCCGTATATAAATTAATTGTGGAATCAATTAAATACTTTCATAATAAGTAAGTATCTAATTTATTTAGAGAAATATAATTAAATAAACCTGAAATAAATTTAACATATGAATAGCTCATTGAATATTGCAATGATTTTCTTTAATAGCTTCTTGGTTAAAGCTATATCTCTTAACTCTTGTAATAATTGAAACAAACTAATAATAAATGTAATTTTATTGTAATAATTATCAGCAATTGTTTTTGAAAATGTAATGATCTAGGTAATGAATCTCTATTTTTAAAAAAAAAGATAATGTGAAGATAGTTTGAAATTAATATTTTAGGCCGCAGATTTGGATGGAAATAATCTTATTGAATTCTCAGAAGTATAATACATTTAGCATTTAGTTCAAAAATTTGTACAAAGCAATCCATAACAACATATACGACAAAAATACTGCATTAGAACAATTCATTAGTTATGCTGATTACATTGAAGAGTTATCCAAAAATAAAATGATAACTCTGCCTAGATTTGCAGAAATGGCCATTGAACTTAATTTGTTTTCTAAGGAATAAATAAATTAATACAGCAAAGGATTCGAAACTCTATTATAAGAATGGGAAGAACAAAAAAATTTTATCAAGTATCGATATTTGAAGGCTGAAAAGTTTCCAAAAGTTAAATTCACTTTTAATTTATTAACTGAATAAATTAATTTACTGAAAAAAAAATAAAAAACAACTCATGATCCTTAAAGTAAGAAATTGATCTATCTTAGCACTTTGGGTAAGTTACAAATTACTGCAAGAGAAATCACAAAGAGTTGTATTAAAGTAATAATTATTTCTATTTTAGCCATGAAGCCAGAGAATGTTACTTTGATTTAGTCCCTCACGAGTTTTGGATAGTATAACAAGGATACAGAGCAATAGAAGAACTATGCATTTGAAAATTAATTAGATTCATTTATGAATTTATCATTTATTCCAAATTTTTAGTATTCATTTTTAAGTAGAATAATATAAACTATTTAATTATTCAAATTGATATACTGATTTGATCAAATAGAATTATCTCTAGATACTTAATATAATGCTCATTATTACTTTATGAAAATTTTTGGAAAATGGTATTATAATTCAATTTTACTTTTTGTTTTATCTTATTTGAATGATTTATCAATCAATATAGATGCGTGTTGACTATAAAGATATTCAGAATATTGAAAATTTATTTAATTAAATTAAATCCAAAATCAAATATATATAATAATGAATCCCAAATTTGGGTATGTATTTTTGTAATTATAAATCATTGCTTTTATTTTTAATATATGCTACAGGGATTTTGTTTTGTCTCAATGTATTAGCCAAGCTTTACTTTAAACTTAAAGGTACAAAAAGTAATATTGCTAATATATTATTGCCAAATATTAACATTAGCATTTCCAATAGATGGGTGGGATTAATGGAATTATAGAGATGGTGCTTTAAGAATGATGAAAAATTTGTTAAACATAATATTGATTTTTCCTTTAGTAATCGAAGTAAAATCATAAGCTTTAATATATGTTTTAATTGTACTTTTCTTTTTATTCAACTTATTTATGTTGTCAGCAATATTTTGGATTGTCAAATTTAAGAATAAACTTTCATTTATCCTAACTATTACATATTGGTATTTAGTATTAGTCCCAAAGTTGTTTTTTATCCCATAGTTATTTGTATTCATAGGATCTATGTCTTTTGGCAAACGAGCTCTATTATATTCAAATTTTGAATTTCAGGTATTTTTGCCAATTAATATATTATCCATACTTGTTTTAACCTATAACTGCTTCTTTAGCATATATTTTATAAGGAAAATGAGATTATTAAAAGATAATGGGTTGGTATAAAAATTTAGTCAATTATGTTTTCTGAGAGAATTGGTTGTAATCGCGATTATTTATTTACATTTTTTAAATAGAATACCAATTGTAAATGCACTGTAGTTGATATTAATGAATGGTTTTTTTTTGATATTACTTCTAGATGCATTACATTTTAATACATATCATCCTCAAATAAAAAGATTTGCTTTAATTTTAATTTCAGGATGCATAGGATTACTTTTGATTATATCAATAAATGTGATTTCGTAAAATAAATTAATACCTGAAGAATAATTGATAATTATTCAATTGATTGTTGCAACATTATTTGTTTTTATTTCTGTTTTTTATTAAAATAGAAAAATCGTTTATCAACTCTAAGGTGATAGTAATTCCCATTATTAAATATAATTTGTAGAATGGCTTTTTTATACATTTATAGAATTAAATTAGAAAAAGAAGAAGTAATAAAATCTATTCTTTTATTCACTATTTATTTAATATCATCAATAAAAATGCGCAAGTTGTCTAAAAAAAATCCTTCAACATAAAAAGATTGCCTCTAAATCAATAAAATACTATGTACTTAATTGTGTGTTATAAAATGCATTAAAATTGAGTTTTGGTTCAGATTATGAATTATTAGAAATATACTATGCTGATTTTTTGAATAAAATTAAAAAATAACCACTCTCATCATATGTTGAACTTAAAGGGTTTGTTTTAAAACATCAAAAGATTTCACACCATTTTAAATCAACCATCAGTTATCTGTTTGAGGAGTTAGAAGAAATCATACTAAATGAAAATAATCTTGTTGAAAATGAGAGTCATAATTATGAAAAAAACTATCTTGATGTAAAAAATTTTATCAAAGCATTTTAAATAGAAGAGTAAATATTGCCTTAAGTATTGTAACTTATTGACAAAAAAATAGAGATTTGGAGTGAATAGATTCGTGGTTTAGACACTATATATGATTTAGAAAAATTGATTTTTGGTTACTCAAAGGAGGTTGTGATTTGTTAAGATACATTGTAAAAGTACTTGTAAATAGACTTATTGAAATTTAATGAAATCTAAAAAGTTAAAAGTGTTATAGAGTTAAGAATCACATCAATATTTCTGTTGATTATTTTAAATGATTTTTATAACTCTCTTAAATGCGAATAATAAATATAGGAGATTTTATAAATCGAGAATTCTCTCCCTAATGATGTTATTAGTAATATCGACATTCTCCATGATAATTTATGTTTGGTTATGGTGAGCATGGTTAAAGATAGAGGATTTATCAAAAATACTAAAAAACATCAGATTGCTAATTACTTTGGATTAGAAGTTGAAGAAGTGGAAAGTATTAATCATATAAATTTATTCATTCCTCAATATTTAGTTGAAATTCATACCTAATTTTTATAATCTTATTTAGAAACAGCATAAACTTCTTTATTTCATTAATATTAAATAGTATTTAGTAAATTAAAAAATGAATTTGTTTAAGCATAATAAATAAAATTGGAAAATAACTTTAGTTTTTTTGATGATTATATTGTAACTGCATGTTTATCAAAAGTTAAGGAAACATCAGAGTTCATCTTATTTGATGAGAGTGGCAAGATTCTATCAGTGACTTAAGGATTTTATACAGATATCATCAAATAAGCTTTTCAAGAAGAATTAAGTGCCTAAACAATTAATTAAAGGCAGCAGCATATTTGCGCTTTTTAAAGAAAATATATTTTGGTAATTGTATAAATGTTAAAATATAATAAGATTTAATTAATTGTTAAGTTGGCTTTAATTTTTAAGTTATTAAGCAAAATTAAGAATTTTAGT